TATTTCTGTAGGCAGCAGCACTCATCTCCAACTATTATTCATTTGCCAGAATATTTAAAACTTGACTGTTTATGAACAGAGTCATTAATTCAGCAACTATGCCATGCACACACAAAGCCTGTGCAGCTACAGGGTATCCTGATGCAGAGACCATTCGGGTGATCCCCTCAGTCTACCTGCACTCCACGAAGAAAAGAGCAGTGGCACTCACACAGCACAAGGAAACTTTGGGCCAGGGAATGTCATCCTCTAACCACCTAACACATTTGTGTTGTGCTTGCTGTCACAAGATTAAGATGCACCTTATTCCTACAGCATATGGTGGGTGCTTGTCCAGTTGCAGCAACATCCATCAACTGCAATTTATCCTTTGCGATCAAAAGCAGGAAAATGTTCATTACAGAAAAAGCATCCAGGCTGCCAGAGAAAGACAATACTTTCTTTGCTCTATTTGCAGCAACAGGAATGGCTCATGTAAGTATCTCTGTTCTTTTATGGACAGCAGGACAGTGACATTCGCTCCACAGGAAAGGGAAGGAAGAAACACTCCCCAGAGGCTGAGGGGCACAACAACAGTGTGCCGAAGTTCAAGAACAGGCCCATCACTCTGCCTTACTTGGAGTCAGACAAGCCCAGGTGCTGCCTGCACACAATCCTGAAGGCATAAAAGAAGGGAAGAGGCTCAGAATTTAGTAGGTACATGAACAAAACCAAAAGTTGAACCTAGACTAGTAGATCTCAGTCTTCAAAGGGAAGGAAGTGTGGTCGTATTCTTTACCTTCTCAAAGAGCAGGAGCCATCAGAGCCGAGATACTGAACTCTTCCTGCTCCCAGAACCCCCGTACCAGGGGTGCTACTTTGTACTAAATGGTGACTTCCCCGAAAAACACCACATGAATAGGGTGAGCCCCTGTAACACCTGGTTATCAGCAGAGCTTTCTGCCCAGAACCCCAGCAGGGTCCCTCCTCCCCAGCACGCTGGCACCCACGGCCTGTCCACGTGCCCCAGCTGGGCGGTCCATGGTTTGATCATGCAGCTCCCCCGTGCCGAGGGCACGGCACCAAAAACGGGCAAGCGCTACTGAAATGATAGATGATGCTTGTCGAAACTGGGATAAAACTGTGCCCAGAGTGACTTTGGTGGTGGATCGCATTTTCACAATCGCCAAACCCAGCAGAACTACAAATGGGTTGTGACAGTTGTAAACTCTTTAGAGTGGGGAGCGTTACTTGTCACCTGCCTGGACAGCATCCAGAATAACATAATGCTGCTCATCGGTACACGCACCCAGTACTGCAAAACTTTCTTCATGGCAATAACCTTGGAAAGCAGCTACAGTAGTATCTGCTGGGTATTAAAATCTGTAAGTGAAATCCAAGGTGTAACAGAAACTAGGACTAGAGAGGACCTTGACCACAGCAACTTTAGGCCAGACAAGACTAGCCCTATGCACACAATTCAGGAGGCTGCTTCTAATCTCTTTCAAAACCCTTGAAAGATCCCCCAGTTTCCCCTTCCTCTGACATCCCAACAGGAGTTTCAAAGGCTTTCAGTTAAGAAACATGTACTCTTTGCCTTTCACCTTATTATGTCCAGTCCTTTCAGGTCCGTTTGCTATTACCCTGGGAGTGATTTCTGCTGAGAACCACCACAGGTTTCTTAGTGCTTGACTTACTGTCCACTTGCTCCTTTTCCTCTCAACTGCCTTCTTGTGCACCAGAGTTGACAGAGAAGGTATGAAGAGAATGAATAGAAAAGAAGAAAAATTAAAAGAAATAAGCCATACTCAGTAAATAACTCTTTTGCTACAACCAGCAAGAGAAGCTGCTTCAGGGGAAAGTCAAGTCACCTCGAGACAACAGAAATAACATTTCCCAACCACAATGCATCCTTTCCGTTCAGAAATTGCTTGTGAAACAAGTGCTCCCTATCCCTGCACTGAGTCCTCTTTTCAGTCTTCCAAGTACAGAGCACCGCACTGTGAAGGAAAAGTGTATTTTCTTATAAGAATTATAATCCGGGAACAGCCAAGTACTACAGAAACAAGAGAAACTACTTCAAGTAATGAGAAGTTTCTTTATGGGTAGTAAAACTAATGAAGCTGGCTTCCTGTGCGTTTGCTCCATCACCCCATGTGCCTCTACAGCCCTCTCACAACAATCCTGCAGCCAACCTCTCATCCTTTTGGTCGAACAAAAGGCAACACACATGGCAGTTGCTTTGGAGGTAGCACATTTGTACCGACTCTCAGGACACTTAAAAGCTACATCATTCCTGCCTTTTCCTCAACAGGAGCAGAACACAGGCATAAACTCTGTCCTCTATCCAGAGGCTAAGTTGGTGTTTTGTTTTGTTTTTTTTTTTTTTTTTTTTCAAACTATTCATGGTGTCAGCCTCCTTTGGATCATTATCTCATCAGGTTTGACCAAAACAACGTGGTAAGTTCAAAAAGCTATGAGGGGGGTTGAGAGAGCGATGCTAGGCTACGGAGAAGTGGGCACACGTTTTATACAGCTGACTCCTACGCCTGCTGCTGCTCACCACTGGTATTTTTACATGCAGAAGGGGGCCCGCTGAACTCTGAGTGCAGAAGTATAATAGCTCAAAGAAAAGGGAGAAGACTCACAACCACTTTAAGAGATATATTTGTGATTCCATTTCGCATTCAAATAGGAAAAAAAAAAAAAAGTGAAAAGTTTGTGGAAAGGGTGTAGACGGCACAGATCTCAGAGCGGTCCTTTCCCCTGAGCCCAGCAAAACCTCTAGGAAAAACTCAAAGGATTCTCAACAAAGGAGGGAGACTTGGGGCGAGGAGGTCGGTGCTGCTCAGCCCTCAGCAGCGAGACCTCTCAGAGAATCGGCGCAGAGCCCCACAGCAGCGGCAGCCAGCTCTGGGTCCGTGCCTCTCCCAGCAGAGCTGAGGCCGGGCGGCACGCAGCTCCCCCGGGGCAGGGCCGAGCGGGATGGAGCCCGCCCCGGGGGGAGACGGGCGCGGCCCGGCCCCGGTGCAGGACGAGGCAGCGCGGCCGCCGGCCCCGCCCCGGCGGCGGCCTCCTCCCGCGCCCCGGCCCCTCACCTCCCGGGCGGTCCAGCTTGAGGATGTCCCGCAGGTGCTGGGTCGCGTCCTCGATGTCGATGCTGGAGGAGGAGGCCATGGGGCCCAGCCCGCTTCCCGCCGCCCGCACCGCCGCCAGCGCGCTGCCCCGGCCCGGCCCGCCGCCCACGCTTCCGCCTCCGGTCCGGGCCCGGGTGCGCCCGCCGGAAACCGCCGCCAGGACGGAGGGTTCCGGGAGCGGCGGGGGGCGGAGCCAGCCCTGACCCGGCCCCAGCCCCGGCGGGAGCTGCCCCGCCAGCCCGGGCCCCGAGGCGGAGCCGCTTGCCTCGGGCCTCAAGGGCCTGCATCGGCCCCAGCCCCGGCGTTACAGCCAGCAGGCATTCCCCTCGGGTCTAATACCAGGAGGTGACACCGAAACTCTCGAGTACGAAGGGGTACGGCAGGTCATTAGGGCAGGCGGCCATCCCTCCGCACAGGCCTCCTGGCTCAGGAGCTGGCTGCTGGAGCTCCGACACTTGCAGTGAACGCGGGTAGAAAAAACAAGAGACAAGAGGTGGCAAATCTGTTCGCATATACCAGGCCTTGCAAGCGACCTGCTGGCATCAAAATTATTAAGTGATGATGAGTTAAAAACCCTAGTGTTTGCCTCCTCGGGTAAGGAACCAGAAGTGAATGGCTATGTGGAGAAAGAGAGCCCCAGAAGGATCTATATCATCAATTTCAGAGGATAACTGCTTTGAACAGCCTAAAAGAACCTCATTTTGTATAGTTTTTAAACTAACACCCGCCACACGTATCATTCCTTGAAACAGATTTAAGCAAGCTCTCTTAGCTTATGGAGGTCATTATTCACGGACTAGATCCCTCTGCAGGGCAAGGTTCCTAAGCCAGACCTATTCTTACATCCTCCCTCCTCTGCCACACTTCACTTTGATCCAGAGCTACAACGTAAGAATCCTTGCTTAGCAGTGACCACACAAAACGCCTCCTGCTAAAAGAGCTAATCTCTTCAAGTGGTTAATTTTGAGTGCGACTTTCACAGCATAGCAGTTGAGGGAACAGTCCTGCCATTGAAATGGGGGAACATATGCAAATGCTGCAATGCCGAACAGGAGCTTCCATGAAAGCTCCGTTGCAATTCAAATGCAAAAGCAGATGGATTTGAGATCTGACCAGCTCGAGCACAGCCCACCCCAGGCTTTTCTGACAAGTCTCAGGGAAATGCCAAGTCCTCTACACTTAGAAAGCCCGAGCTCAGTAGGGTGTGCAAAGCCCCTGAAAACCAGGGCCTAATAGCTTAGCGAGGTCTGAAGGTAAAGTGGATCCGATTCTGTTCCTGTGCCATCTCATATGCTGGAAAGATCAATTTAATAAATCCCTTTGCAGGTGGAATACTGCCACCGCCAGGGTAGAAGATTAATGGCAGCCAACCAGACTTGTGCTCTGTGTTGTCTTTCTAGTATCCCTTCATTAAAAGTGGAGAGTACTGCATTTACTGTAGAGGCTTTTACAAGTCTGGCCAGGGCTTTAGAGACAAATACAAACTTGATGAGGGCAGCACTATAGAGAATACAGCTGCCCTGTTTATCTCTGAGGGTGAACATAATAGCTGTCATCAAGATTAACTACAGGCTACTATTACTATTGTCATCCTTGTGTATTATTTGAGGCTTTTGCCTTGGTAAAATACAACAGCTGAGAACTATCCTATCAATGTTAAAAGCCGAGCTAGAAGTCTGTTATAAAAGCTGCTGAGAGAGAGGGGAAAAAAAAGAAGTCGTATGGCCAAGGGCAGACATGAACTGCTTTCATTGGCAAAACTAACAAGTGCTCTTCCATTTGAGTTTTAGGCTTGTAAGCATTTCCCCACCAGGCAGACACAGGACATCCAAAGCAAACAATATCATATACTTCGTATCCAAGTCATGAAAACAATTTAAACGGTTAAGAAAATCTCATGGGTTTATTGTGTAATGTAGCATTGAAACATCTGAACAAATCAGTATCTGGGCTGTACAGGCTGCTGTTCTTTCATTTCTTTGGGTTATAGAGCATCTTGTCAGTACATAAACAACAACCTTTTGCATTATAAATTCTTTCCGAGGCATGCTGGTACAACACAAATTTCTCTTGTCAAATGCAGCTAAGTCTAACTTCCAAACATCATGCACAAGAAACTCATCTAGTGACAATGTAAACTCAGCAGAAGGGCAGGTTGCAGGTCTTGCTTGCTCACGCTCTGCAGTGCTGCAGGTTTGTGTATGATATTTGGAATGTTCCGTGAGTGTGAATAATACCAGTAAGAGGAGAGAAGGAAAAAAAAAAAAAAAACAAAAACAAAAAAAAGCACGGGTGCCTCGGGGTGACCAGCTCAGCCAAAGTTGTGCAATGCTAGCCTGAACATGTCATTGGTGCAAACCCAAGCATCGTTGATGTTCTTTAATAGAAATATCTGGTGGAATCCCATAATAGGATCTTCATCAGCCTGTAGAAAGAGAGGAAAAAGAAGTTCAAAAAGCTATTTTTAAGAAATGCATTCCAAAACTTACAATAAGGCAACTTAAAAGCTAACATTAACAGTGATGTCACATGCTGTAAGATGCATAGTACCTCAAGAGACACTAATACAACCAGAGGTTCTGTTCCAACGTGCTTTGCAGACAAGCACCTAGGGCCCAGTGACACAGAAATCCTGCAGCGGCATCTGAAGTTGGGTTTTTCTGGAAGACTTGCAGACATCTCATTTCAGCAGCTTCACGACACTGATAAGAGCATGCCTGCCTCAGTGTTTAATCACAAATTTTCTTTGGGCCTTGCCCAGGAACCAAGCATAAAAGGTGTTTCAGAATTAGTTTTTGGTTGCTGTACTTTGGATTGATGATAGAAAGGGGTTTCTGTAGAAGTTGGTATCAACAATATTGCCTGAATGATCTTGGTAACGATCGGGGCTTTTGAAAGGTCTTCCAGAGCAGGTACAGCTGCCCAGAAACATAGTACTTCCCACTTCCACTGTCCAGAAACAGCTTGAAGGGAGCAAAGTATTTGCTATAGCTGCAAGGAGGTGTTCTAAGCACAGGGCATCTTTGCAGCAGTGCCTCAACTCCTGTCTTTGACAATTTAACTAGGTGCACTAGTATAGTGCCTGTACTATAGTTACTATATTACTACAAAAGTAAAAATTAGTATTAGAGGGAGACTAGTTCTCCCACCTAATGTTTACCAGTCTCCTCAGAGACATCATGAAGGAATTAAAGCCTCAACATAAATGATTCCCAAATGAACTGGAAATGACACAACAGGATTTAATCTGAACAGTGCACAGGACTAAGCTACAAAACAATCTTCTGATACTGACCACAGTGTATTCAATTCAGCATTTTTTGAGGACTTTAAGCTCTATTCTTTCAGCGCACGTCTATTCAGCTTCAGAAAAGGGGGGAAATGCGTAAAAAAAAAAAAAAAAAAAAAGCATTGAAAAGCAGCAGCCAGAGTAGCACATGAAAAAGGCTGTCAAAGTGCTGAATGTTTATTTACAATGCTCTGCTGCTGTCCGCCAAGAAGAGCGAATTAAAAGGTTGAAGAGCAAAGCAGACTACAAAATAACAAAAAATAATCTTTAAAGTAATATTAGTGTAGGTGATAAATTGACTGTGAAACAATTTAGCTTTCAGGAGCAGCTCGCTAAGGACATCAGTTGTATCACAAAACAGTAAGTCTGCCAGAGCACTGGTAGGGTACAGTGCGTGTGAAAGCAGCATTCCAAATGAAAATCACTGCAAGGATTTCCCAGTGACAACCGCCTAGGAAATAAAACGGTGTAGATGAAGTGCAGTTGCAGTAAGTTTACGCCAATCCACAGAGGAAAAAAACCCAAAAGCGCCTTAGATTAGCGATAGCCTCTCAGGAAAGCGATACTGAAATCATGATGGACAACTTTTTTGTTTCATTTTGTTTTTTAAACCAGCTCAGAGCTCAAGGCAAGCACAGTGTTAGCAGTTACTAAGAAAGGAACAGAGAACCAAAACCCACAAGTAAGCAACTGCATAAATGCACAGAGAGCATTCACGTATCAAATCCTGCATGCACTTCTCATTTAACAAAAATTAAAATGCTAGAAAGGGAAAGGCCAGAGAAGGGTGAGAAAAATAAGCCAGCTATGGGATCGTTTCCTACTGAAGAAAGTAAATTGAGTATGACTCTAGCTTGCAAAAAATGTGATCAGTGTGGGGAGGATGGACAAGCTATCAAATTACTATAAAACCATGAAAGACAAAGTGAATGAGGAAACTACTACAGCCAGAAATTAAGAAGGCAACAAGTAAGGTCAGAAGTACGAGCAAGTCCATGTGTTCAGGAGACAAGCTGATAAAAGAAATTCTCAAGCAAAGCAAGTGCCAATAAAGCCACTGTTCAACAGGCTGATAAACCAGGCAGCTTTTTGTCACATCAATATACGCCTTCTTTTGCTTTAGGCAAGAGGGTCCATAATAATCAGCAGAGTGTGAACACAAGCAATCATGCTGGATTAGACCAGCGATCCAGCTAGCTGATGAGCACATAAGACAGCAGTCATGCCAATTATTTCAGGGGAAGTATTATCATTATTAGATCTGCCCAGAGAAGATGCTTGCAGATCCAGGCTGAAGCAGTGGCCCGTGCACTGAAACCCATGGGTTTATGCATTCTCTAGCCTTCTCCTAGGTATCAAATACAACACTTACATCCTAATATAGCTTCATTGCTGCTTGGTAGTTGGTAGGTTCCTGGACATGAAGGAATCTAAGAAAACTGAGTAGCATCAGAGCCCCTGAACACTAGGGTTTGACATATACCTTTGCAAAGCATCTTATTAATGCCATCCCTTTTGACTAAGTTGGAATGAATCCATACTTTGTCAGCTCCTTTCTAATGGCTTAATTTAAATCAGCCAGCCAGAATAATTTCAGCTTGAATCCACTTCTAATCACAACTATTGATAAGCATTTAGTATACTCTCAGTTGCCCAACAGTCTCCTCTCCTTAGGTCACTGAGGCATCTATTACAAGTTGCATAAGTAGTTTTCACACCAAATTTGAGCATGTCATTACTGACATGAGTACACTTTAAAAATACCCTTCTGGAAAAAAAAGATATCACCACCAGACTAGTTTTCGTGTGTGTTTCATCAATTTCTGATAAGCCTAGCTGCACTGCAGCAACTAGTGCTTTGCCTTGAAGAGAATTTCCTCCTTTCTTACACAATTCAGGTCTGGACACATGAAAAAAAAAGATTAAAAGGAATTCTTCCCCAAACACTTGCTGTTGTACAGATGGCAAATTCCGACAATAAAGTCACACACTGTTGCTTTCTTTATTCCTTTCATGTTACATCTTCACATGACAGAGAAGCAGTACACTTTACACTTTAAAAACAAGGACAAATTCTAGACTATATTTAAGGCAAAGTAATTTATAGTCTGTTCCCAAAATTCTGAATATGCCCTATTAACATGCAGCAAAGACCCACAGTTGAGTGACTTGCGATGCTCTAGAAGGTACAGACTAATCCTATCCCACTTTATTTTGGATCTTCATCGCAGCTCAGATAATGTCACTGAAACGCTTTGCTTTCTACTCCAAATTCAGCTGTGTCCAACTCAAAATTTGCATTCCAAATGTGAGTTCAGGCTTGAAACACAGGGGCTTTATTTTTTGTACAAAGCTTTCCTTTATGCAGTTCAAATTGTTTCATATCCTTGATTCAAAATAAAAAGTTAAAAAAGTCACAGAATCAGATTGCAAGGATCCTCTGGTTTCTGAGTCCAGCCTCATGCTTGCAGCAGGACTACCAGCAGCACTGCAGCAGCCACAGCTTTGTGGTCTTCCAAGCCTCCAAGAATGGAGGTTTTACAGTGTGTCCAGGCAACATTTCCCAGGGTTTATACCTTCTGCTGAGATAGGGGAAAAAAAAAAAAAAAAGCACAGAACCACACCAAAAAACCCACCCTTGTGTCCAATCTGAACCTCCCAAGTTATGGTTTACAACCACTGTCCCTTGTTACACTGTCTAGCACCACCAAGAAGAGTTTGCATCCAGGTTGTTGGAAGTACTCAACTACTTTCCACCTATGTTTCAGGCAGATTGCCCTCATCCACCTCTTCTCACAGCTCAACAAGCTCTCAAACACTGGCAAACTTGGCAGTTTTTTGACCTCTCCCAGTTTTTCTACATCCCTTCTGACCTAGAGGCTCAAAACTATAGAAAATCCTCAGCTCACAGAACCATGGGTCATGTCAGAGTATTAGATATGACACCACGTTGTAATCCAAGTTTCACTGCAAAACGTAATAGGAAAATACAACTTTTCTCCTTTTGTCTGGTCAGACAGTTTTACTCTCTCACCAGCACCCCACAGCTGTTGATTGAACTGCAGGCTTGCAACTATCCTTATCTCAAATGAAAGGCTAATTACTTAGGATAGCAGGTTCTTTCAGATGTTGATCCTCATTTAACAGGCTTTAAGCAGCACTTTAATCGTTCAGCATGCATTACAAAAACATCCAATGATTTTAATTGCAAATTTTCCTTCCCTTTAAAGACTAGGAAACAGCGCATAACAATTAGTTTATCACAATTAATTCTGCAACAATCACTTCAAACTTCACACTCTCAGGAGAGCCACAGATCTGCTGGGGTCGCTCTGAGAACCACACAAGCCACAGCCATGCCTCTCAGCCAAGCTCAAGCGACAGAAGAGAGAAGAGAGCACTCCTTACTCAACCAGGACAGCGAGGACTGCATAGAAGAGAGGTAAGGCAGAGGGTTAAATGTTGTGGAGGGCTAGCCTGAAGACTTCGTTGGTGCACACCCAAGCACCTTGAAAACTTTTCAACAAAAACGTTTGGTGGAAGCCTAGAACCTGGTCATCATCTGCCTGAGCATGACAGGAGAAATACATTACTGGGTGAAGCACACTGAAAATACTGGGTGACATTCTGGATGAACATTGGCAAAGTAGCATCACACTAAATGAAACTCACTCCTAAAGGCTTAAACTGGTGCTTACTCTTCCTAGCTGAAGCAAGCAAGCATGCACACAGACAACGAACAGCAATAAAAAAAAAAACAGAATAAGTGGAGGTATATATATTTATTATACCTCCACAAAAGGATAGAAAACCCCATAACTACAAATCCCAGCATCCATTAAAAACGATCTTTCATATGTTTACTTGTAAATATGTTTCTCTGTGAAAGTGTTTACTGTACTGCTGCTGGTTAGATCCTCGCTAGTGACATTCACCCTACTCAGATGCTCTATTATTCTCCAATATCTTCTCCAAGAAGCTGTTGGATCTGGTCCCCTCTCAATGCAGATGATTATTCTGCTGCAAAAGAGGTTGCTTTTTTTTTTTTTTTTTACAGTTCATATTGGTATTCACATGCTGGGCTGTAGACTGGAGCAGCAGAGGCAGATGCACATCCTGACCTTGTCACGGGTCAGTAATGATTTCTACCGACCCCAGTTAAATCTCCTTCCAGCAGGGGAGGCCAAAGGCTTAAAACAACTCAAATCTGCAGGTTCACTTAAGGCATAATACTCTGCTGAAGGAAATACAGAGTTTGACAGTGATAGTCCTTGGCCCCATTATTTCTTCAGAACTATTCTTGTATAGTTAAGAAGAGAGCTGAGGCCCTGTGACAATTTGGTAGCAGTTCACCCCACAGTATATGCAGAAAGAGTAGAAGATTTTTCTGCTTTGGTTTGAGTTTTCTCCCTCTAAAATAAAAAAAAGATCAAAATATAATGGTTTAAGGAAGAAATACAAGATGTGTCCAGCTCACTTAGGAATGAGTTTCCACTGAACTTTTGGGACTAGCAATTCAAGCAACTAAGGCTTCAAGTTCATGCCAAGATGGCTTCTTAATAAATGCACATTACAGGTATTTTAGCATTATTTTCTTGGAATACTCTATTAAAAGCATTATGCATGCTCCTTCATTACATAAAATGCAATTTTTGAAAAACTGCAGAAGACTCAAAAGCATATGCATTAATTTTACTGGGTTTTGAAGAATTTGGTGCTCGGCTCCACGAAAAGGATAACTGAATAATAATCAGGAAGTATGGCTTTTCCCTTATAACCCTGCTACTGGTGGTCATGAAAGTGCCCTTCCTTTCTCAACAGTTTTCCTCAAGACCAACAGATGAAAGCGGTGCAGAACAGCCACACGATTAAGAAAGCAACTTTTGAATAAAATTAAGTATGTCACTCCATGTTTGCATGTTAAAGTGTGCCCTGTTTGACTGGAGCTATAGAAGCGCCGCTTATTAAAATGCATTAACTGAACCCAGTTGTTCTCAGTTACTGTATCGAGAACAGCACTGAGACACATTAAAATGGCTGTCAGCACGTATGTATTAGCACAAGAAAAAGTATTCACTACATATGTCACAACCATGTTCACGTACTGGCAGAAATGGTTACTGTATGTGTCATGCTGCAGACTGTTACTGATTATTTCACTTGTCCACCTGTGTAAGTATCATGCAGGGCAGAAGCAAGAAGCCAAATTCTAAGCTGAGTTTCTGGACATTTCTTCAATGAGGAACAGAATTCCCAGGCATTAAAATGTGATTTTTAAAGCTACGATTGGAGATACATACATGTGAAGAGTGGAAAAATGTTCCCCCTCCTACTAAAAACAAGTTGTATTTGATCATGACACTAGGCATACTTTAATCCAATGTATTCTTTCCAAGTGCCCAGATGCTCTCTCATGTGATCCCTGAATTATTCAGTGATTTCAGCAAAATGAAGTTATTCAGAGGATAAAAATGGCACAGTAAGAAATACTATTCCAAGCCATGGTATTTATGGCAAGCTCCTGGACTGCACCTACAACTGTAACAACCATACCAAAGGATGAGAAAACCCAAAAGCTTTACAGAATCTTGAAGAACTTTGTATCTTGCCACAGGATTTAACACAACCACTGTTACAAGCTGTGATATGCTTAATGATTATGCAATAACCTTAAAAACATGACTGTGCAAAACCAAGTGTACATGTGACTGGTCCAAGACATTGAGTCAAAAGATCTTGGTCACATCATTGGGTTTTAAGCACACCCAAGAGTAAGACAGATGAGATCAGCATGTCTGACTTCATAACTGTTCTGCAATTCAGTGCTTTCCGTGGCCACGTGTGGCTCTTTTTCCTCAGAGTGTGTGCAGGTGGGATTGAGCAACAAGAAAGCTGGAATCCAACTTACAGCTAGGAAGCAGGAACAACTTTAGTGAGAGCCAAAGCTATCTATGTTAGGCTTAGAAGTGGATGCAATACACTGGCTCTTAACTGCCCAGCCCGAAACAATTAAGGGGAGCAGCTAAGCAAGCAGATTCAAAATCTCAGTCCTGTGTTTGCTTCCTTAACAGTACAGTCTGTGGAAGTTTAAATGTTTTGATACCAGAGGTGCCATCCAGAGTTAACAGGAAAAGCAAACCTAAACAGCTATTTCAAAAGAAACCGGGTTCAAGTAACTCTAAAGGCTGGATGGCTTCAGAGTCATGACTTGACCTGGCTCGACCAAACCCTGACAAAATTAACTCTGATAATTTTAACTATTGCTATGTAATTTCACACTTTTTAAATAAACACTGCCCACTGTGAGCAAGTTCTGCCTACAGCTGACTTTACATACAGGATATTTTTTTGCAGATTCCAGGACAAATTCTGTCATTAATAAGTGGTTTCATGAATTTACAAGTCTGTGGCACCGGTATATTTAGATGCAACATTTCCTCAAAGGAACAGGAGACTGAGTAAGTTTACACAGTTCAATAGTATAACTTAAATCACACTATAGCCTGAAAAATAATAGGAAGGAGCTGTTTCAACAGTTTTTGAGCTCAGAAGCAATACTCCCATTGCTGAACCAGTTTTGGCTACTGAGGTACTGGACTGCATTAACACCAGGACTGTATTCTTGTGTCCTGTGGCAGCAAAGAAAAATATGGTCTTACTGAACAGTTGTCAGCTAACAAAAGTCTGCTAAATCACAGCTCGATTAATATGTTACATCAAAGAGCACATTAATAGCAGATGTGCTTATCTTGCCCAAGAACGGTGTAGTGATGCTTTTAAGTGCAACTGAGGAAAGGAAGTACTAATGCTTCTAAAGCCCATGTGATATTTGTATGCACAGTAAAAGCCACGTTACTTTGCTTGGCAGGAACATATGACTGTCAAATTACAGGTATTTTACCTACTGCTAATTATCTGAAGGTATGAGTGGTTTCTTGACAGTCTTGAACAGCAGAAGGATGACATCCCAATGCAAGCTTATCAGTGTTCCTTCCCCACCCAAGAGAGCATTTTATTTTTTTCAGATATTGGATGATTTACGATCCTGCAAAAATCTAAGACAAACATTTGTTAATCTGTAATAGAGTGAGTTTACCTTAAGCTGTCCCACTACCATACTGAGTATACAGCTGTCAGGTGTGGGTTGGTGGTCTTGTGCTGTGATGCTGTGTTGTATTTTTTGGAAAGGGAGGCTCTACAATGAAAAGAAAGTAAAATAAGGCAGTGTACATTCATTGCATTATTTAACTTACAAAACAAAGATCGAGCAAATCTAACATTATGAAGTGTTAGACTATTTTGGTGGTACTGCACGGAGAGTTGCTGCGACTCATGCTGGGTTGAGCATAACAGCTATGTTCTTCAAGCACCGAGACATGAAATATGTCACCGTATGCGTTGAGCAGTACTTCTTCCTAATCTAATTACACTTCAGTTCACCTATAAACTGAAAGTTCATATGATGAAGGCACAAAGCTTTTGTACTCTGAACAGTGTTAAAAGATTGTTTACCAGACCACTCCAAATTTGTTTCTGTGTTCAAGTGTCTATGAATACAAAGGAAAGGTGGTTGACCAAGAACCAGTGTTTAGAACCTGAAATACATATATCCACCTTTCCCCTTTTTATCTTCCTTGATAACTGCACCTGAGGGGAACCAACACAGCAGCAGACACCATCCTTGCCATGTACCGGGCAGGAGCAGGGGAAAAGGAAGAAGAGGTAGAGATCAAAAGCACACAGTGAAAAGAAAAAAGCATTCCATGCTCATATAGCAGGTGCAAGTATGCCTGGAGTTAAGCGTAGAAGTAACACACCTTGAGAAACACCAGACATGAGGGAATAATTCTTCTCTTTCAACTCAGACCATATTCACAATCCAACTATGGATGACTCCAAGTGGTAAACATCAAATATGGAGGGGATCTGAGAGTCCTGTCACACAAATGCAATTTTGGTCCTGTTCTATCAAAAGCTGCATTAACACTGGATGCTTCATAACACTGGATGTGGCAGTTCAGCACAGATGGAGCTCTGAGTGACCACATGGCTGATACCGAGTCCATGCACAGCACAGGACAGCAACATGTGTTTTTTTTTTAAACCTCAGGTTGTACTTTGATGCCTTTGCTTCATTTCCCTGATTTTTGAACAGGCTGAGGCAGACCCAAACACTTTGACAAGTTCTGCATTTCACTCTAGTGGAAGGAGCCCAGAAGACTTCCTAGAAGGCCAAGATACAAGAACAGGAGACCTAAGTCCTATTGTCAAGGATGTGAATTACAGTCTTGGCTCTACAATAAGGCTCTAGGAAGAATATCAGGAAGCTAAATCCTTAGATAATAGAGAACACAAACTGTGGAAGGACCACGACCTGGGGAAGCAAAGGAAGTGTACAACAGTGCAGCCCTCGAATCGGAGGGACGCTATTCAAGAACACTCTCTAATAGAGCCTGCAGTGCTTCCTCTTGGCTAGGAGAACAATCCCAACCTACTACGAAGTACAAAGTGAGCCTGCTGGTTTGTAATATGGAATAGACATTTAGTAACACAACAAAAAAAATCCAGAGCAGTCTTTTCTGAACTACCAGCAGAGTGTTTTCCCGTGTCACCATCCCAAACCCGAATGTGCAATGCATCTGCACAAGCACAGACTGAGACATTGCACACTCTTCCTTCAACAAAAGAATACTATGAAGCCTGGTCCCACTGCAACGCAACAGCTTCTTGTTAAGCAAGTCCTGCAAGAAGTCTCTTGAAAAGGCTGAGGGATGAAGGGGAACGAATGTGGTTGTATCCAGAATCCAGCTTTCAGCACCACAAGATGACAATGAGAATTGAGACTGGAGAGAGAAAATAGGCAGAAAGGAAAGGCTTCTGAGTCAAAAGTTCTGCAAAACCTTGACAAGAAATCAAAGACAAGGCTGGGTAAGACAGTGCCTATTTCGAGTACCCGATTGTCCCTTTCAGAGAAAAGGACTCCAATAGTTGGCCAGCCAAGTGAGCTACTCCTGTAACGAAGTGTGGGAAATTCCACTGGAAAGAGCAAGATCAGCTGATAGGAAAGATCACTGATTTTTAGGATAGGCAGAAGCTACCTCAAAAGGATGGTTGCTTATGGACATCCACCTGTACTGGAAAGAAGCATTTTTTGATATAAAGAGTACAATAAAAGAGACTAAAGTGAAAAGTCATACAACAACCAAGGCTTTTTTTAGTGTTCTCTGATACTAAAACTTGTCTAGGCTTTCACTACCAGAACTGTGGAATCCTCCTTGAGGACAGGTAAGAGGAATTCTGCAAGAATAAAGTCAAGTAGCTTAAACTCACTCCTGGCAACAAAGCCACCTGTCCCAGCTTCCTCCTTGGTCCAGGTGGTTTGTAGAACAACAGGATTATCTCAAATGCTCAATGTAAATCAGCTGCCTCCTAATTAGGCCAGGCACTCTATTTGAAACAACTCTCGAGTCCAGCACCAATTAAGACAGAAGGAAGAAGTGTCAAATCCCACTCTGTAACATACAGGTGCACCAGTGCTGGCAAAGCCATGTCTTCACAACCTTGCCCTCCTGTGTTAGCCTCATCTGACAAGAGTATGTCAACAAGGTGCCATAGCATTGCTGTTACCCAGCAGAGAACTTGCTGTAAAAGAAAAGGTCACCTCTTGGTGCTTACACTGATTAATCAGCCAGGCACTGAAGAACCCAAAACTAAAGAAATGCAAGAGAATTTCAGTGCCAAACTTTCAGCGATCTGCTCAACTGACCAAGAAGCTTCAGAAGCCCAGAGTAGGTGAGCACATTAAGTTGAAACAGCAGAGCCCAAGTAGCTCAGTGCTGACAGAGGTATGCTGAAAGACATTAGTCACAGTAAGTTGATACAGCCCCATAACAAGCCATGGCAGTGGAACAGCATGGAATAATTTTACTGCCTTTCTTCCTTACTTTAAGCAGACAGATACAAGTCAGAAAGTTTCCCTGAGGCAAAGTAGCATGCCTTCACTCATCAAGACTGTGCAGCAGGCACATGAATCCAGAAAGTCCAACTGGCACCACAGACAGGGAAGGTAAAGATGAGTAACACTCCGGTGGGAACAGGGCCGATCTGCACTGGGCCAGATCCAAGGCAGCAGGTCTGAGACACTGTGGCCAAGCAAATGCTTAGCTGGTTGGGTATCTAAATGGCTGCTAGCCCAGAAGTCTAAAGAACACTGAGTACACAAACAAGCAACTCTGGAGCTTATCTCCTCATCTAGAATCAAGCAGTTGCAAGCTGTGCTATTTCTGAGGTGCTTGGCCTTCTCAAAGGCAATGCAGGCACCTAAAACACAGATCCAAGGGCAAGCCTCCGCCTTCACAGTTAAAGATGTCCTGGATGAGAGGAGTGATTCCAAAACACAGGAGCAGTAGCTGTGCAACAAGACAAGCATCCAAGTTACAAGGACTTTTTTCTTCCTGATGTGTAATAAAAATGGTGTATCTGTCTGATACACCATGCTCCTAGCAGAATGCCTAAGGACCTAAAGCATGCCCTCTGTGTATCTTGAAAGAGAAATAAACTTCCTAGTCTCATGACAGCTTATGAGTACATCCCATTTTATAACAAACATGGGTTTACTTAAAAAGATAAAACTTCCAGTTTAACTAAATGAATGTGGAGTTTCAGTCCCTATGCAGTAAGAAATGCTTTCCTCTCGCTTGACGAAGAGGAAACACCAGTTTCAAAGTCCTGAATTGTAACTGCTCACAGCTGAACAGCTGACAAATGCTGCATTAAGAAGTCAGGTTCTTTACTATAGAACTTATTTGCAATTTATTTATCAGAAAACAAATTGTTTCTTGCAAATAAACCTTTAGCATCTATCACAGGCAGATCCAAATAACAGGTTTGCTACTGCCGCTTCCTTGGCATGCTTTAAAAGAACAAAACCCCACCTTTCACCACCAAAAACACACCTTTGACCACCACAGGGTCAGCTCATGAACTGTATTACTTGAAAAATACAATGTCAAATGTAATTGCTGTCACAAAATAACCTTGCAAAGTAATGGAGTCAATTAACATTCCACCATTAGAGCCACCAATGGAACATTCAACTACATAGAATTAAATCACAAGTAACATTTCTTGAAGACCAAAAGTTGGAAGCACAAGTTTCATATTCAAAAATTTTCAACTTCAAGTCTAACTCAAATTTTCAGAAGCAATTAATTTATAGTCTCCAGAACCATTTCCCAAAACATTCAGTAAGGATTACAGACTTACAGAGAGTTTTTCAACAATAGCTGCTTTGCCCTGGAACTGCTGTCCTTCCCACGTAAGGCATGACGCATCAATCTGGGGGGAAAAGAAAAAATCATGAACCTGCTTAGGTAACTCTTAAGCAATCCTGGTAAGAGACTGTTTACTCAGCATATATCCTTAGAGTCCAGCTCTTTGGACACTACCTCAAAGAGAGATAGAAAGAAACCACAAAGAGCAACTGAAAAAGTTTGGAACAATCAACTATAAATTAGGTAGACTAAATTTCATTATCATGATTCTACCAGCAAAAAAAGTTCCTGCCTTGGATCAAAGTTACCTTTCGGAAGAAAATATAAAGGATCCCATAAAATAATCCTATGGACACACAGGCAAACATGCAGAGAGACAAAAATATATAAAGACATCTGACAAGATGAGTTGCACCACTACGTTTTTCTTGGTTTTTTTTTTTTTTTTTTTTTTTTTTTAACTCTCAGGTACTAATTTGCATATTTTACACCCAGAAAAGTAGAATATGCCCCTGAAGGTCTTTAACAGACCGCCCTGTACGGCATGAAGGTACTGAGGGGCTTCAGTCTACAAGCTCTTCCAGTATATGAGGGAGGGTATTCTGAGCATACTGTGACAAGTGCAACAGCAACAGGCAAGAAGCTTTCTTTCAGCTTAGGATACTCTGTTTAAACCTGAGTCACAATATCCTACTATTGACATAGCTCTGCCTTCCCAAATCCAGTTTTAAACCTTAGCAAACAGACCATTTAAACTGGTTTCCACTGAGCTCAAAGTCTACCTGCTGCCATCCCCAAACAGCACCCTCACCCCAATACCCAACAGCCTTTCTTGTGCACCCTATCAGAGATGGCTATTTCTTCTGCCCTTTTAAATTTAAATATCTACAGGAACACAATTCCCAGCTCTTTCCCATCCAGTCTTCAACTCTAACTGAAGCTCTGAATGTCTCAACAGAAAATGGCAGATTCCAAAGAACTCCATTTCTGTGCTCTTTGGTAGATTTTCCAAACCCTGTTTTTGACCCACACCACATCAAAAAGCCACTTCTTTCAGCCATGCATGCTGTGCTGAACCTGCACAACTGCCATAACCACTCTAAAAAAGCTTCTGGTCCTCCATGTATCGTCAGAAGGAACTATACAGTGCAGCAAGAGCCAGAAGAACAAAGGAGGGAACCAGGAGCAACAGCACAAAGCATTCCAGGGTTGCAGATGCAACCAAAAGCAGTATGAAGAGCCTCTGAATACAACCTCCCCTTCAGTTTGTATGTGTTCCTCTTACGAGGAAACAGACTTAGATTGTGTAATCTTGTTCTGAGTTGAGTGAGTGGTGGAGTTTTTTTGGTGGCAGGGGAGGGGGCTAAAGGAGCAGCCCCCTGTGAGAAGCTTCTTGAAGCTCCCCCAGCTCCAAGTCAGCTCCACCTCTGTTTGGGAAATTGAGACAATCAGCTGCACCTCTGCGGTAACGTATTTAAGAAGGGACATGGTGACGAGCAGTGGGACTGGTGAGGAGGAGTTGCTGCAGCTGCATGAACACCAAGGTCAGTGGAGGAACGGAGGAAGAGAGGGGGGAGGTGTGCCGGAGCAGAGACCCCCCTGTACCCTGTGGTGAGACGGCAGGGCGGCCCCCCCTGCCACCCATGAAGATCTACGGTGGAGCAGACATCGATTTATGGCCTGTGGCTTCTGCTTGGCATAATTAAGGTGCTGTGCCCAAAGAAGGCCGGGGTCTCATGGGAAAAGGCAGCCCCGCTGCTGTAATTCAGTGCTGGGAGGATTGCAGCATGCGGGGGAATCCCACGCCGGAGCAGCTCGGGAAGGGCTGCAGCCGTGGGAGGGAATCCAGTCGGAGGAAGTTAGTGACCCATGACGGAGCAGTGTGGGGAACGCTGCGGCCCACGGGAGGGACTCATGTTGGAAAAAGTTTGTGGAGGACTGTCTCCTGTGAGAGGGGGACCATGATGGAGCAGGGGGAACAAGTCCCGGAAGCTCCCCCCCACCGAAGGGAAGTGGCAGCACTGACTGCACCCCCCATTCCCTGCCCCTGCGTCACTGGGGGGAGGAGGTAGAGATATCGGGAGCCGAGCTGAGCCCGGGAAAAAGGGAGGGGTGGGGGGGATGTTCTCAAGATGTGGCAATGCTTCTCACTGTCCTACTCTGTTATGTGTTGTCAGTATCTGTAATAAATGTATGTTCTTTTTTTTCTTCCCCTAACGAGTCTGCCTTTTGCTCATGATCATAAAGGGGAATTTTTCCCATCCCAGTCCTATCTCGAACCCCAAACCTGGCTCTCTGTCCCTTCTCATTGCCAGAGAAGGGAGAGAGAGCTGCTGTGTTGTGGTTGGCTGCCAACCAGGCCGAAACCACGACAAATCTAAAGTCACACAGCAAGTCATCTGGCTGACACCACTTGCACCTTACATGACATCAACCCCTCACATCAACAAGTTGAGAGGCCAGGTGATGGTACCAGGGAATAAGACTATCCTCTCAAGCATTCAAGTTACAGCCTTCAAATATGGAAAATCACAGAAGCTGAGGGGACCCAGAACCTGCCTTACTGAATCCACTTCAGCAATGAGCAGGTGAACACAGTGGTGCAGGACCTTCCCGATGTTTCAAAGAGCAGCAGTGGACAGATTAAGTTGGTGAGGAAATATGCTCTTCCTGAAACACACCACATCACATTGTACCCAATTAGTGTCCACCTGACTGTCTGCTATAGGTTACCCCCATAGCCACCTGCTGCATCAACAATCTGGGAGCAACTGCTTCAAGAACAAAAAGCAACCCTTCTATCGCAGAAGCCTTATCAATGAGAAAACAACATCAAAGTAAGAAAATATTTCATAAGTAGCCACACACCTGAAGCAGAGGGAAGAAGTAGTTACAGCATTTTACTGCAAAAAAACTGCAGGGGGTTAACTGTAAAACAAGTCTTTAACTTAGTACTTCAACTCAGGTAACTCAAGCAATTCATAGCAGAAGTGACTGGCCCAGATCCCTACCTGGAATAGGTGACAAAAGCTCAATTGACTTGGATTACACGACTAAAGGAGAAAACTGAACCTTGCGGTGGAAAGTAGCAATACAGGAATGCAAAACAAATCCAAAAGCTCCCCTGCTGCGTTCCTGCATGCTACAAAATTTGTTTGCTCCCAGTGTCTCTGAAGGCAAAAAGCTCATCAGTAAGAGCACATTTCTGCAGAACCTCTAAGTTAAACAAGTTGTGACCTTGGTGCATTTTAGCCACACAAAACAGGGTCCCATCCTCCTTTGTTTAGAAACTCCTCAAAACAGATACACATTGGTGACCTTCCTAACAGCTCTCCTGACCACATTTGCATAGGTACCTTCACTGAATGGTGAAAGGCAGAAAGACCCTAAGGGCAGAAAAAGCCCAGGAGTTCATTGTGTGGAAGGTCCTGTACTTATCAGCCTTCTGAGGGTTGAAGGTGTTTTGGCAGTAACATGACAGAAGATGCTAAGTGCCTTCATATTTTGAGCTGTGGATTGAACACACAGCTACTTGTTTTTCTTGCTTTATAGGCTCTTTGTACACAGTTTCTTGGCCAAAATACGGCAACAAACTAGCAGATAGCAAATACACAAAAGTACAAATAACAAATGCTGGTGGATACTGCTGAGTTATAAGGATGGGTGTCAAATGGTGCTTGTGAAGTAGTCTCAATCCTCAAGAGCTTGGTGAAACTTCACAAAACTCATCCAGCAGACAAAAAAGAGGTCAGAAAAACAGGATATGCTCCTATAAGACTTGTAAGACTCGAGTATCTTGCTGAAATGCCTCAACCACCCAGCAGCATTCCTCACCACCTGTAATCAGTTCCACATGCAGAGTGCTTCGCATGCTCTGGGGGAATCTTCCCCCAAAACTAAAAGCTGATGTTCCCTGGGTTTGTTAGTCACAGTCTTTGATTTTGGAAACCAAATGTACTTTGACCCAAATAAGGAGCAAAAATAAAACATAATTTGGAGAAATTTAAACTGAACTTTTATTTATTTAATAAATTTTAAATACTTAAACTGGATTCAAAATTTTAAATCTATTTAAATCTTTAATGTTCTGATGATCAATACAGAGTAAGATTCCAGAAACACCTGCAAGAACTGCTAAACACAGAGTAGGGCTTAGATCACATCCCACTTCAAGAACAATCCAAGCAAATCCATGCCTAAATTAATGGCAAACTAAGGCTAGCATATTTCCTTTTACAGAGAATTTAATCACAGGATCATCATCAGTCTCCACCACTACAAACCACTGTCTACAGCCAGCCTGGGGTTTTACAAGTCTGACTGCCTATAGATAAGGCAGACAAAGCTCAAAATAGATGTGAAATGTAAAAGAAATGCAATAAATAAAATTTGACTAAGTGTGATTGCGCTGACATTGTAGGGTCAGGATAAAGCCCACTATCCCACCTTGTGTATTCCCACACATCAAAATAAGGAAACCTAGACAGATAATGGGCCAAAGCCCCAGCCCCCTTTTCGTAGATACTTACATATATTGCTCCTAACTGAGTCCTGTCTGCATCAAAAAGCTGGTAGTAATGTTGTACGAAGCTGGATCCAATCTGCTCCCAGATAGGCTTGTCTCCCATTCTGAATCCTCACCTAAAGCCAGTGACTATAAAACAAACAAACAAAAATATCATCAGAAAGATCACATAAATAAGCATAACACTTGGCTTGAGTATTAAACATCAGTAAACACAGACCCTCTCAGCTGGGCAGAAATTTTCTTTGGAAGAAACAGGACAAATCTCACCTCTGTATCCTAGACTTTTGTAAATAAAAATCTTGGATACCAAATAGTTTAATTTCTTATCATAGCATTTGGTGATTTCTTGAGGTATTTCAGTACAAGGTCACAACTCACATACAAAAGTGTAGAACAAGACTAAAAATTAGTGTTACCACCTTATATTCACATACTTCAAAGATTACACCACTTGAAAAAGCTGGCAAGCACTTGCTATTTCAACTTGATCTCATTTACTGTAAACAACTGACATGTCAATATGGATTGTCTGCAAGTGGCTTACAACAATTGATTTATCTATTCAGCTCCTCAGGTATTTCACCATCCACCGGCCCTTCTAAGGAAGAGTGTCCTTTCAATGGCACACAACAGGAGTTAATTCACTAGCTCTTCGCTTAACACAAGCTTACTTTCCTCTTCTATCCTGTCACTGAAGCTGAAGAACACTCAGTATTTATCTCTGAACCTCTAGTAATTTCAAGATAAAAACCATGACTTTTTCACAGTAGTGAGAATCTGCAGTTCCCAGTGAAGGTACTGGAAGCTCAGAGGCATCCCACACTTCTGAACACAAGGCCCTCTATTCTAGAGGGACTAAACATACCACATGTGCAGCAGTTCAGACAGACCCAGCCTAGAAACTATTCTACATGATCAGTACAGATGATAGATAGCTTTATCATGCTATTACATTTTTCAAGAAAGCAAATACTCTTTTTCTTTATCCTGATATCTCTCTGAAAGACTGAAGATTTGTGCTAAAATTCGAAACACAACAATGCTGCGCTCAAAACCCACTAAATCACATTTTAAGATCTGACTTTACTACAAGAAAACTAAATCATATTTGCTAAATATCAAGATCTGTCAGCCACCAGTCCCTCTTGGCAATCCCTGACCAAGGTCCCTTGAGCTGCAGGTCTGTATTGTACTGCGAGTCTGGAAAGGTGTGAAATTCAGTTTTAGAACACGGGCCACAACAGTTACTTTGGCTTCCTTTAGATGTCAATTACTCAGACACCTGTTTAAGACTTGACAAATTCTTAAGAGAAGCAAAAACCATAATATTCCTAAGATCTCCACAGGAAGTATTACCAGGCCTAGCTTCCTGCGCACAGTCAGACAAGGAAGCTCTTTTCATATTTTAGGTCTTTGGCTGTTTGAGCTTTGTTCATACAAATGGGAACTGAAATGGGTTCAAACCCTAGGCCTAAATTTTTTTAAAGGTTTTAACATTTTTTAAAACCTAAGTTTTAAAGTTACACAAATTTGGCCAGACTTATAGAAAAAGTAAGTATATTTTATTACATCAGTGGCATAACAGGAGGTAGCATACAAGTTTTCAGGGCAGTAAATTCAACTACCAAAGTAAAATACAAACCAAGAACAACAGTTAGAGCTTAGACACCCAGGCTACTTGAGGGAGAAAATGTCTAGCATCTGTGGAGCAGAGAATGTGACAGCATAGAGACAGCATAGGTGGTTCTCCTTGCTGAAAAATTGATGTTTTGTAGCCTGTGGAAAGAGGAGAGGTTCAGCAGGAGCAGCTTTGGTTGTGACAATGCACCACGAAAGCATGCCACAGACTCCATGGCTTTTGACATACAACTGATGCTGGCTGCACACTAGTTCTCAAGTGCACCTTAGAAATTTGTTTTATTCAAGGATGAGGTCAAAAATTAGCTTAAAATAGAAACATACCTATCCCATTTTTAAGCATCCTTATTTCAATATCAACCACATAGGCAATACAGTCAACATCAAACTCAGTAACCCTGCACACTAACACAGAGTAAAAATTCAAAGACTTGTTGCCACATAACTAGCATTTGAACTGCTCCAAAAGATCTACAATCTGGCATCAGTCACCATCATATGTGCTCCAGTCATACTTGCAATACATGACTCAGTGTGAAGAAGTTTTACCCAGTGTGGTCACTCCTCTGGGAAAACAGATCTCAAATTAAAAACCCATCCAAGTACAACAGGTTTAAATAACCAAAGACGTGCACACCCTGAACAACTTAAACCTACTTCTTTACCAGAGAAAAAGTTGTATTGATTGCACATCCCCAGTTGCCACATACCAGTCTAGCCTGGAGCAGATGTAGAAATGAAACAACTTCAGCCTGTATGAAAGGATTTTACGGTGAAAGAAAACCACCCTAAAAATCATTGCACCAACTCCCTGGAAACTTTACTGAGGGATGCCCACCTTGCTGTTAGGCAGGGCTCTCATGTCTTGTTTGGAAAATGAGAAGTACTAGTATTTAGTTTTAAAGTCTTCTGTTTCCATTCCAGATCTGCAGGTGCCTAGAGGTATGTCATTTGGGATCGCTGTGGTGGAGCCAACAATCAGTCCAAGTAAAAATCACTTCTGTTCACTTTACACAGATCATCATAGCTTCAACTCATGAACTCTCAAACACTATCAGCTATCCTTCCTAAACATTCAAGTGCAAATTTAGTTGACAGTATTGATATTAAACAGCCACACATCCAACACTGACATGAAGTAGTAAACAGCAAAAAACCACCATCTAATTCTCCTGAAACTAGTTAGCTATTACTAAATTAATTTTTTTTTCCCCACATACACAATGTGTATTCACCCTTAGCAGCTCACTGTACCATCATACAAACCCAAGACCCAGCTGTATGCTGGCACCACACCTCATTCATACCCAGAGGCTTTCAACTCCTCAGGGCACAACAGCCTCACTCAAGCACCAGGGCCTCCTGTTCAATCCTGGAACAGTGAGGTGGCGCCTTTGAGACTTCAAGAAATTAAGAAATTCATATTTTAAATATAGAAAATAGTATTATTATAGTTTCTGAAACAAAAAATAAGTATGCTAGCTTGCTATCTCCTAAAAAAATGTATTTGTATTTTCATCAGCAAAATACCATTAAATAAATTTAAAAATGCCAGTATTAACTTGACTGGTTATAATGTTCACTTTGCCAGAAGTGAGAACCAAACTAAAAAAAAAAAAAAAAAAGCTGCTTGATTATTTTTTTTTGTTACAGCCTTGCTTGCTCTTTTTCCTGTGCCATTCATAGATGCTTTTGCTGAACACTCTCACATTCCTTGAAAAGGTTTTTTATTTTCCATTTCTGATTTGTCACCTTTTCCTCCATGCTGTCTTATGTTTTCTGCCTGTCATCACAGATGTAAGAAGCTTAGAGATGTACCTAAAGAAAGAACAAGATAGGAATGATTTTCTGTGTCATTAAGCCTAGCCCCTTTCAATGAAATACAATCTTTTATGGATTGTATTGATACATTTATCAGGCTGGTTTAGTGAGATATATGTAATATAAAAGGCTTTTAAGACCTATTCCAAATCTAGGAAGAATGCACATGTTCTGATGTTGTCAAACGCTAACAACACAGGTGTGCCTTAGAAACATCCAGCCAAATCTATCCATGGTTCACTCGAAGTTTGGCTAGAGGGGCAAGAATATTTGGTTAATATTAAGCCAGATGAAAGAAGTTTCAATAAGCTAGAAAGATGTTGCACACCTGTCCTTTAAAGGCACCTGCTCAAAGTTACCACTGTCTAATTGTATCATTGGATATTTCACCTTCATTCCCCATGGAAAAGGACACTGTTTTCTTACACTAATTTTCTTTCCTTTGTCACTTCAAACCTACCTCATCACATCCACTTAAGAACATCACAGCCCATTTGATTAACAGCTTCTTTGCAGAAGTACAGCAGCAAAGCTGAGCTACCAACAAGGAATGTAATACTTTAACTCACCTTACTCGATTTCTTGGAATCTGCTCATATTAGAGAATTTATCCCTACCTCAAATACCACCCAGCAGTCAGTGCTCAAGCTGAAACCCAATACAGTGCACAAAAGCTGCAGCAGCCAGCAACAATCTCTTCAACAGGTATACGCTGACACTGCAGGACTGGGATCGCAGCTCCACAGGGAACTTTTCCTCAGTGACATCTAAATCAAATTTTCCAATGCTTTTGCCAGGCCACACACTGACACATCCTCAAGTGCAAACTCTGGCTCTCTACATATCTCTCACCACGCTTCCTACAAATGTCCTACAAGGTACCACAGTATCCCCAGTATCTTCATCCTATGGATATCCTTTGGCCTGGCACTGCTGCACGTGGGGTACAGCGCCCCTGAATACACAGCAAAGCTCCTGCGTTCAGCATCCCACAGCACAGGAGAGGGAATTCATATCCTAAACCATGCAGAACTTCCCAGTTCTGCACGATACCAGGTTTTCCTACATGCAGTCACAGACTCCCAACATCCAGAGGACTTCCACAGGGCCCCACAATCCCTGCAGCCCAGCCCACACAGTCTGTGCTGCCCAGTGCTTCTGCTGCTCCTTGATGTTGCCAAATCATCCAAGGCTACACTACACCCTGAAGCCTCTCTCCCCACGTCCCCATAGGCTTCTCCAGCTTGTTGTGCCCTGTGCCACCACCCGTGCTGGTCCAGGATAAAGCTCCTTCCTCATGTGCTTTGGCACATGGCAAAAGGCACCAATATCATGTGAAGCCATATGACCCACAGAGCAGTAGCACCAAAGAGGAAGATGCATCAAGGTATGAGACAGAGGACAACCAGAAGAGAACAGAGCCTTCACATGGGCCATGAGTGACCTTGAATTAGGCTAGGGTTACACTGGCCTCAGGCAACAGGTTTCCTGTCCACAAAATCCAGAAACGCAGTATCTTTCCCACTGCCTGTCACAGCTTAGCTGTTCCTATCTCTACACTCAATCCCTCTTCCTTCTCTGCCCTAACTCTGGGCACGAGAGATCAGCACAAACACAGCAAGACTGCCCGTAACTCCTAGGGGGAACACAGCCCTTAACAGAGCCATTTCTGCAAAAGGTCTAGGTGAAACCTTTTCTCCTTGCTTCCTTCAACAAACAAGAAATCACAAAAGCCTTGAGACAGTTCTCTGTCAGCATGCTACAGCACAAAGTCCATCTTTCTGCTGAAGCAGCATCACTGGAACTACTCAGAGGCATAACTTGAGGAAAAGCCACCTTTTTACTTGGCAAAAGTTGAAAGAGTCACCTGCCAACAGACAAACAAACAGATCACTTTCCCTGAATGTAAGCACCAGTGACATTTGGAGCAGGTGGACTATCATCACATCTCCACAGTATGGAGAAAGACCAAATAATTGTCTCAACCAGCAGTTATGTTTACTGCATTATCAGACCTAGACATATGCAAGTTTACTGCTATCAATGTAAAAAATTAAGTCTCTTTGACTTCAAGCATGGCAGACGTGCACTTCTGAAAGAATCCTACATTGTCTGAAAAGGGCAACAAAAACTAGTATGAGAAATAGTGAAGTATAATATAAATTGCTACAGAAAACAAAGGTGGTCTCCCAGGGATTGCCACATCTAAAAATCAAGCTGTAGTCAAAGAATCAATGAACCAGAATCACAGGCAAATAACCTTAGTGAAGACTTTCTAATTTGCAGAATACCAAGAAAGAAAAACACTGAATTTAAAGAGGAAAAAACTCAAACTGATACATTCTAACATACAAGTGGAGAAAAAGACATTGTCATCTACTATCCAGTTTTGACTACACTTACTCCACAAATAATCAGAACATAGATAAACCACACTCCCTGGATATTAAAGCTGGCCCTACACACCACTGCACCCAAATAAAACTCTCTCAAGATTGAAGTCAAGCTTCTTTTCTGGAAGATTTGAAAATCAGTGTAACAAGACAGCATCAATGCTCCCTTTAAACCAGTGCTGTCAGTCCAGGGGTACATGTGAATCCACGGCAAACACGACTTAGACCATCAGTTGCTGCACCCTTCACTATTGATTAACAAGAGTAAATAGGGACAACGAAAGAGCTCTCAGTTGTTTCAGTTCCTGTTGTTCATACAGCTTCTACCCCACATATATTTTTGATCGCTCAGGTTAAAAAAGTGAGCAGCCTTTAGGCTGCAGTAAAGAAAGAAAAAGTAAAGCAACAAACTGTATTTAGAGTATTCTTCGTTCAGTATCTTTCTATTGCCACTAAAACTTACAAAGACAGGAGTGTCTCCTGTGCACACATTCTAGCAACACAATGGAACCAGCATCAAAGGACCAGTTAATCTTCTCTCAAACAGATCATCTATTCAACTACACTGAGAATCACTTGATAAATCTTCCCTTAGCAAAGGCATACACTTTCAAAAGAAGCTACGCAAATTGTCATAGAATCACAGAATAATTCAGGTTGTAAGGTACCTCCTTCAGCTCAAAGCAGGGTCAGCTAGGAGACCAGATCAGGTTGCTTGGGCCATTATCCACTTTGACCCCAAAAAGCTCTGATTATGAAGACTACATAACCTCTGTGGGCAATGGTGGACCATCCTCATGCAGAGGGCCGCTCTCCCATGTCCAACCACAACCCCTTCTGTTCCAATTTACACCCCTGTCTCCTGTCCTCCCACCAAGAACCCCTGTGAAAAGCCTGACTGCATTTTCCTGATACTGGCCTGACAGACACTAGTGGCTACAATTAAACCCCACTCAAGCCTTCTCTTCTCTAGGCTAAACAAGTCCAGGCCAGGTAGAATGCACATTAACACAAGGGATGATCAAATACTTGGAACTTACTCTGGGGCATCGTACATCATCAGTCATTCACCTTAAACACATTGTACCTCTTTCTGATAAATTCCAATATAGTGGTCAGTCTCTCTCTGTTTGAAAACCTGTGAAGTTTCCAGTTGAGGAGCAAATTCAGGCATTCAGAGACTGAAAGAAAGAAGTGCTTCTCTTGGGTGTCTTCACTATCATCGCCACAGTAGCTGACTGATCCACAGAGGCTAACAATCTGAAAATTACTGCTCCAGGCCAGTAAGAAATTATTGATTTTAACAGAGATCTTCACCTAGTAATTGCTATGGGCTACGATGCACAAGAAATTACATTATTACGAATACACTTTAAGATCTAAAAATAATTAAGTCTAGATATGTGAACAGTGAAAGGATGGAAAGGGAGGAAAGGGAAGAGTGACAAGGTACAGACTGTTTCCTTCTGAAAAATACAGAAAATAAATTGACTTTCCCCTTCCCAGTCATCTTATTCTTCTACTCCAACTTCATTAAAACAAATTAATGCAGGAACTATGCCAACCTGAAGTATATTTTTTTTTTTTTGCTTACAGATGTCAGCAAGTACAAGGCCACTAGTAAACAAAGCACACAGGGAGGACTCTGGAAAAGCTTTCATTGGGCCTACAGCTTAGTGCTCATCCCGCCTGCAACCTGACAACCCAACAGTCACAAAGAGTCAGCCAAGATGATTTTCAACTCTACAGACACATATTACAATACATATAATCAGAGAGGAGGACATGTTTTGCTGTTAAGCAATGGCCACAATGCTACTTAAAAATTTAGGTTCATTCATTAGCTCAATAGCAAAATAATATTCAGTATTCATTTTTATTCTAAACAGAAATTCTATCAACACCTGCAATTTGACCCTTGCAAGTTTTCTTGTGGTTTGCAACTGAAGTTTGGCACATTTGAGAACACAGTTGTATGTTTATCAAAGTAGACAGTTGCGTAAATAGTAGCCCTGAACTAAATAGCATAAAAGTAGTCACCCCGTAAAACATAACTCCAGGTACCCTGGTACAGTGCTAAATGCAAGAGGACCAAAAGAACATTGCTATTTTGTATTATATTACCCCATAATTCTAGGTTTAGCCACAGCATTCCTCCATTATTGATTGTCAGCATTCAATATATGGAAAATTGTCGCCAACATGCTTTATGATCCACAAACTTTTCATGGATGTAAGCAAGGCTTGTTATACCTCACCTCCATAGGATTGGTACCAGGTCTTTGGTTGAGCTCCAAATTTCCAAGATATACCTGGGGAAAAAAAAAATCACCAAAACTTTTCCTACAGTGTCTACCTATCTTACACTTCCAAAACCACATATTTTCCCTCCTGCTTTGCTTCATTTCCCCCCCCAGCAACACACAATAGTCCTGCTTCCAGAAACATTGTATGAAAGCACACAAATCGGTCATACACAAATATAAGTATCAAAACTGTATGCGAAACCACAATATCTAGGAGTTTTAAAACTGAAATAAGTCATACTTACTATGTTACCAGCTATTAGTGTATATTGAAATCCTCACACAAAACATGCCATCATGAACTAGACAATCCTATTACTAATGACAGAGACAAAAGAAATCCCAGGAGAGAAAACTGCAGAAAGTTGTTACTATTCGCATTTTTGTAAAGAACTGAACAAAACCAGATGTTAAAGCAAATATATCTCAAATCATCTACCAAATAACTTGCAATCTCTTAGAGAAGAACATTAAATAATACTTAGGACCCCAGCAGGAAAATATTTAAATAGTCCAAAAGCAAGCCAAAGTATCATTACACTTCAAATTCAATGATGTGTTTCACTAATCATACCACCATACACAGTAACTTCTCTACTTCCATACAGATATCTGTGAAATGACTTTTTTTAATTGCTGCTAAGAGAAAACTTAGAAGTCACCACACACAAACATAGAAAGCATTGCTTCAATACAACTCCTCCCAGAAAAAGAGAAATCAAGAGAGTATCAACTTGAGAAGGCAGCTGATTAAGGAATCAGATTTAACTTTCAAGCAACAGTTCTGCAACCGATTCCTATTCAAGTATCTCCCTGGGCTTTGTTCCAGTCCAACTGCAATACAGTGCGCATAACACAAATCCAACTCTAAAAGACAAATTTACACTAGACGTGATGGATTTCAAATGAGAATGTACAGCTGAAGTATTATTACAATATGCCTTCAACACAAAGTTAAATTTGAATTGCAAGAACAGTGTCTCGAGGACTTAAATGTCTTCAGAAAGCCATCTCATATTAACAAAATGCAACGTACACGCCTCACTACTGTAAATCCTTGCAGGTTTTGATTGTTTTTACAGATAAAAAGTCCTAACAGCTATAGAGGTGGAAGAAAAAAAAAAAGTCATCTGTTGTAGAATATCACACCGGAAACTGGCAACTCAAAGGAAAAAAAAATAGCTACAGCAGATCACTGAGCACATCCAGTTTTGCTAGTTTTACTCCAAGGATGCAAGAACCCTTTATTTTGTACATGAAAAAGTGATTCAACTCCAGATTAACTTCAGTCCTCACACAACCTTCTGGCAAGGCAGCGATACAGTGGAGCACATCCCAAACCCTCAAAGCAGAAGGCATACTCAAATCCACCTTTCACTCCCCACAAATCTCCTTGCAGCTCCGAGAGCTCACCCCCCCTTCTACCTCGCCGCCCTGCCACACCAAGCCAGCGCAAAGCAAGGCCGGAGCACCGACGGGGTGCCGAGGAAGGGTGCCGGTGCCTCAGGCAAACCTGGGGCACGCCGGAGCCGTCGGCAGAAACAGCACTCCTGCGAGAACCGGCTGGGCACGCCGGTGCTCCCGCGGGGCTGAGGAGCAGCCTTCCCCTCCCAGTTACCGGCCGGAGGAACCTGCTCCCCCAGCCTGCGGACCGGGCTCGCCCCACCGGAGGCCCCTCACTCCCCACAGGAACCGGGCCGGGAGCTTTCCCCCGCCCCGAGCCCACCGCCGCCCGCCGGGCCGCGCCCGGCACGGCACCCCCCCCCCCCGCCCCGCCCCAGGCAAAGCCGGCGGCGGCGATTCCCTCAGCCGGGAAGCGCGGGCTCCGGGCCCCAGTCGCCAGCCCCTCGGGGACCGCGCTGCCGGCGCCTCAAAGACGGGGAAGGTCAGGGCGGCTCCCGCCGCCCGGTTCCCGCCCAACCCGGCCCGCGGCTGCCGGCAGCGCCGCGGGGCCGGCCCGCGAGCGCGGGGTGGGGGCAGCGCTATGCGCCGGTCCCGGTCCCGCCGCCCCTCCGGGGGACCCGCCCCCCCGCACTCACCCCGCGGCTCCCACTATGGCGGCGGCGGCGGCGGTACCGTGCGCGGCGCGAACCCCCTCAGCCTTTCTCGCCCGCGCTCCCCGCCCCGCCCCGCCTTGCCCCGCCCCGGCGGGCCCCGCCCCGCGGCACGCCGGGACAGCGAGTCCCGCTGGCCGCCGGGGCGCGCACTGGGAGGGGCGTGGAGGACTACGACTCCCGACGTGCCCCGCGCCGCCGCCCGCCGGGGCTCATTTGAATGAAGGGAAGGGGACCGCGCGTCGCCGGACCCGCAGGCGGTGCCCCGGAGCAGTGTGGGATAGCGGCGGGGGAGGGGAAGGCAAGCTGTCCCTCCCGCCGCTCCCCGTGAGGGCCCCACGGTCCCGCCTGCCCCACGGCCACCCAAACCGTCCTCGGGTGGGAGGTCTTCTCTCATGGAGAGGCTTTGCTGGGCCCTGTGACCCCCCCCCATACCGCGGGATGGCGGCAGGAGGGCGGTTGTGGCCCCGCGAAACGGCCCGAGTGGCTGCGGGGACCCTCAGCCCGCCCTGGGCCCCTCGCTACAGCTGGCGCTGGGTTGTAGCAGCGACAGGATTCCACCCCAAAGAGGGAGGCGAGGAAGGTTTCCACCCTCACAGCGCTGTCGGCAAGGAAGTAGGCAGTGAGCCACAGCCAGAACTGCAGATCCTGAAATGTATTTTTAACTCCCCTAACATGAACTATACAATGAAAAATCTTCCCTAAAAAAAACCAAAACGGAATTGCTCAGCTTGTTTGCAGTGAAAGAATTTAGCACGGAAGGTGTGGGGTGGTGGAAAGATGCCTTCAAATAAATACTTGTAAACAGATAAGTGGTCTAAAAACCGGAGTTGGCGTCGCTGAAGGCCCGTACCACATTCACTCAAGTAACAGCACAGAGAGCTTCTAAAAGCACAGAGGTTTGTGTTACCAGGTAGTTTTGATCATAGGCCTGAGCCTGAAAGACAGCTCAGTGGTTGTCTTGTACCAAGTATGGCATTTTGGCCCAGCTTGGACGGTTCCAGGTCTCTGCCAGCAAACCCGTCTGCTTCTTAGAGATGGCATTGCACAACCCCGGGGGGTGGAGATGGGTCCACCAAGCATTTGTCTGGGCTTGCTGCTGAAGGCAGTACTAGGAAAGGAGATAAAGGTGGTTGACCTGGAGCCTATTTTCTAGGCTCTTAACGTTGCACCAACAATGTCTCTCAACAGGTTTCTCCTATTAGAAAAAGGCAAACCTGAGTGTCAGCCACTATCTCGTGGCTTCATACCCTGCCTGGCCTGGAAATGGAGACTGCAGACAGCTGCTGCTCTGCCAAGTCCAGGTGAAGAGTAGCTGAACAATAACAGGGTGATTCCCACCCCACTTGTTTTCTGACAGAGGTGCTGCTGGTCCATGCCTGGGAGGAAATTACCAGATTTTTCATTGCCTTTATCATGGTGTTCCCAGATCTCCAGCTGCCAGCCTGAGACGTGTTCATGCACTCCGGACTTTATGGTCTCTCCCCTGGGGGGAAACATGCCAGTGGAAAGACTGGCACCATCTTGATCACAGTTCTTTGTGGACTCAGCCTAAGGATTCGTGTCATGAACAAAACCTAATTTTTAAATCACGGAGCCAGTCTTACATGAGTAAATAATTTGTGCACAGTAAGCTCGACGCAGCAGACTTATCTAGGAATATCTAAAAACTGGGTTGATTATACACCAGTGCAAAGCTCTGAATATTCAGAAGAATGTACTTCTTATTTGTTCTTCACATGGAAAGACAAAGGAGAAAGATTTGTGTGATATGGACCTCTTGGGGTCCCTTGTTCTAGCCAATATGTTGTGGAATCAGTTCCAAACACAGGACCCAAGCCTGGAACTTGCAGGCTTTAGGATAAAATGCTGCCGATTTTCCTTCTGCTGTTCCTGTAGTAGCCACTATAGTGGGATAAGCATCTTTTAGGATGTGACTGCTCAGCTATAGTAGCCCCTTTCTGCTCTGTGCAGTGTAGTTTTTAGTTTTTGAGGTAGAATTGCTATATAATTTGGGTGGAAAGGTAGAAATGAGATCTGAGAGCCGAATGGAGGATTACGAGAAGGGATGTTTTGCTTGTGAGAGAGCCGTTTCTAAATCATATTCCAACTGAAAATACATACCCAGAGAGAATGGAAGCAGTGAAGGTCTGTCAGCAGACAGTAACATCACCACCCACAAGACCACACCATTTCTGTTCTTTCCTGAGTAAGTGATTTCCAGATGAGTTATGGGACCAGCACAGGTGGGGCTGGTGCTTTGCAGTCGCCCATCTGGTCTCTGGGCTGCCCCAGCACACTCACCTGAACTGTAATATTTCTGTGGAGAAACAGTCAGCCCTTTGAAGTGAGAACTGACTGCGCAGCAGCTGAATGATGCCGATTCTTTATTTTTGATTAGAGGTTAGGAAGGATATCGCCTAGGAGCCTAGGCAGCATCAAAGCTCTGTTTTGCTGGGCACTACATACAAGTGGGTAAAAGAGACAATTTTTACCCTAGAAAGCGTGCAATCTAAAAACTGAAGAATAATCAAGGCGATGAAGACAGGACTGTGCTATGAAGCATGTGACAAAAGCGCACACTTGGCTTCATAGCATGCATCCTGACCAGAGGTGAGCAAATTTTCCTTGGCTGCTTCTCAGCCAGCCCTTAGGGTGATGATGAGTTTGTGACGCGGGGACCCTGGGAGCGTTCCTGGGTTCTGCTCAGGAGCAAAGTGAAAGCTTTGGATGCTTCCTCCTTACCGTTGGTCCCAGGAGGCTGCTCCTGCTTTCTGGACCTGTGAATGATATGAGGAGCCTGTCAGATTACCTGGGCTCTGATCGAGAATGCCAAGGGCAGCCAGTCCCAAGAATGGGCCTCAACACCCCTCATCATGAGAGCAAAAAGAAGGCATGTGGTGAGATGCAGAGAAGGAAAAGAAGGGCAAGGGGCAGAAAGTTGGGGTTGTTTGCACCGTCTCTTTCCATTTATCCTGGATTTAGCCCAGAATTTTGGCATTTTTACTGTCTGTAGAGAGCAAGGAAGTCTGAGGCTGTATCAGAGAGATACCCACCATCCAGCCTATCAATCTGTGCTTTCTAGCCCACCAGTTCCCAGAGGAGTCTCCAGCCTCTGCGTGACGACGTTCACTGTCACAGTAACTTCTGCACTGTCACATCAGGGCCCTGGGCGCGGGGCAGAGGTGGGAACAGCGGGAAGGACTGTAAGAGGAGGCAGTTTCTGAAGCTGGAGGCAGGACACAAAAGAGGGAAACAGAGGTGGAGTCAGCACGGGAACACACTGACTTCCAACGATGGAAGAGAAGAACTGCAGATAAAGAGTTTGGGCAGAATGCTGGAGAATATTCCTTCTGGAGGGAACCCACCCTGTGAAAGATGCTGTGTTAGAGATCATGAAACAGTCATCTGCCCAATAATTTAATGGGAACGATACTGATCTCTGAAACAGAGGCAAACTGAGCAAGCCTTGTGCATGTGCAGAGAAATCAGTTAGGGTTTCATCTACAGGAGAGAGGGGTTTGCATTCGAGAGGTTTCTCTGTCTTCCTCCTGTTTGGTTCTGCTTGTTAACTTTTCTTGTCACATAAGAGCCCATCTGTCCCTTCCCATCCGTATCTGATCACAAAGAACTCAACACAGAGCTCAGGCTGCAGGTCACCACCTTCCTCTCACAGGGGCTCCATGGCTAAAGCTCTTTTTATACTCCCTTCTCGCAAAGACTGATTTTATCTTCAGAAACCTCAGTCCTTGGAGACGCAAACACTTTGGGTAGAGCCAAGTGACTAGCCGTGCCACCTTCAGAAAAACATCTCTTTTGTTTAATCCAGAGGTGTGAATTAAATTGCATGGCTTGTACAGATGCATAGAGCCATTAGGTAAAGACTACGAAAGTTAGAATGCTGTTTTCACTCAGTCTAGCCTGAGCTTCAACCAGTCGTGGTATGATTTTGTCAGCTAGTTTGGGGAACCAGGGAAGGAACAACCGGAAAGTCTACAGATAGCAAAAACCCCATCAGCCAGCTGATAGTCTGACTAGCAGCTCTCCCCATTATAGGCAGGCTGTGCTATCCTCATCCACATTGCCACGATTTTAGCATTACATGGCTAAACGTGCCATAGATAGAGTTACATTTCTAGATTTCTTGTGTGACTGGACAGCTGAACTGGTAGGTGAACTTGTACTGCAGTGCTGGATATAGGCTACTCGGGGAACACATGACTCATTTAGTGCTTGAGCTCTGCAGCTTGAGGGTGTTGAGCAAGAATGCATCATCTTAAATAAAATAAAATTATTAACCCACTGGGTTAAATGGTATCTTACTACTACAGAAAAACTTAAAAATATCTTCAAAACCCAGAAAGGGAGTTGCTCTTAATCTGTAGGGGTGATTGTTATGAAGATGAAATCAAGGTTTTCCCTTGGAACAATAAAAGCCATTTTAAATACATGCTCATCAAGTCTTTTTCTAGGGCTAACGTTTCAAAATATACACATGGGAAAATAATAACCAAAGACGGTTGATGCTGGTAGAAGAAAAATACCACGAGGATATAGGCTAGATTAGAATACAGGATGCAGAAAGCTGAGGAGTTGAAATGGAAGAAAAATCATTTGGATTGAGCAATAATACAGTTTATTTGTTAACATATTAAGGTACCTCCCTACAGAATTATCCTCTTAATTCACTGCCAGTACCGCTGCTCACTTACCTCGATGGAGCAGCAAATGGAGGAAAGCGCGGATGAGGAAGTGTTCATTTTTGTCATGCAGCTCCATTTAACGTTCCCAGTTCAACCCAAAAATGTGATGTTGGAGGCACAGCTGAAATTTTTTTGCCGCTTACAATTGTTCGAGGTAAATAGCTCTGAATCAATCCAAAATTAGGAACTTTGGGAATTACAGATTCAAAGGTACTACATGCTAGCTCTTCCTTGCACTAGGCTGGTTCATGGGAGGCTGTGCTTTCTCCTTACTCCACCCCTGGTGCACTTCCTCCAGTAGAAGCCCCGAGGGAAGCCTGGCTCTCTATTATCTGCTAAAATTGCTCCGGGCTATTTAGAGAGCTACTCTGTCCTAACAGCCATTTGTTCATCAAAACAGTTCTAATCTCTGTGTAGGCAGGCATGTAACACACTGAACAGATCTCTAACTCCTCTTCCTCACCGTACATCAATGCAAAGATACTCACGCTGTTGCAGCTGTGGAGTTCATGAGGAATGAAAAAATGTTGTGAAAGAGAAGACAAGCTACAGGCTTTCAGAAATACATACACAACACAGAAACAGGAAACATAACAAAACAAAATATACTTTATTAAAATTAAGCATGTTAGCACCTCAGTGTAACCTGGAGAAGGTGAAGAGTCCAGCAGTTAACCAGTCCAGCAGGCTGAATGGCTGAACGTCCTGAAGTGCATTCCAATGGTAGAAAAAGTACCACGACTGTTACGACACACACGTTCTCAAGAAGCTAGGACCCACAACCGGTCTCGTTTGTAAGGAGAGACGTTGTGCTGCCTATTGTCTTGATGGGAGCATATAGATCTGCTGGACCAATTACATATGTTAAATCAGATGGTGTAGCAGGTATCTGCTTTCCCTACTGAAAAACAAACAAACAAACAAACAAAACAAAACCAAAACCAACAGCCAAACCAACCAACCAACCAACCAAAAAAATTGCTGCTTACTTGGCTTGCAGGAAAATCAGTATACCACAGAGCTGAAGTTAAGAGCTATATATCAGATTGGAGAAAATAAATTAAAATGAAATATTGGGAAATACTTAGTACATGAATAGACCTGTAGTATCCTTACAGTCGACCATCCAACTCAGTACACACGTTAATAGAAAAATGACCCATGCATCACATAGCAGGCTGTGGCAACCAATGCCTTTAGCTGAACGGGCTACATGATCAATAAACCTCCAGCTACCAAATCCCACTGTGCCCTTTTGTTCAGTCATACAGAGTATTGAAACCGGCAGTTGTAAAGCTACGTTAGCCAGTGTTACAAAGATTACAATATTTTCAAACTAAAGATACTTTTTACATTTAGAAAATACTCCTATAAAATTTAGTAAAACTGACATCCCAATCTACCGAGCGTAACGCACTCCAATTACAGGAGAAAGATCACACAGACCCAGAAGACACCTGGGCACTCCTCCCTCAAGTGTAATTACGGGCACACTGTGGTGAACTGCCTTTTAGTTTTCAACATCCATCGCTATCAAAGCCGTATCCCCTAAGTACATATCACCACAGAACTACGCAGGTGCACCAGATACCCTCCTCCTCCTTCTCCTCCTCCTCCTCCTCCTCCTCCTCAGTGCCGAGGTATCTGTTCCACCAGCTAACCTGGAAGTATGTTTCCAGGCCAGACTAGTAGCCTTGCTACCCTCACTCCACTACCCTCTTTCTAGCCAACGTTGATTTGGTTTCCTGTTGCTGCAAGTGAGGGGACTAATGCTGGCTAGAAACAGAAACTACACAATCATTCCACATAGATTTGTTACAATACTCTTAAATCTCGGTTTAGAACACGCAAGCACGTTTCAGTGAGGTCTTGCCTAATGTACAGATTATTAGTCATGCCATCTAGTTTAGGATTAAACAGCAAGGGTTTGCAACCATTGCAGATAAACTCGCTTCGCTTCTGCTTCATCCCGGTTCTCTGAACGAAAGCCAAGTATTTAAATTCCGATGTGCTACAAAGCCTCCATTTCATTAGAGGGGAGTTCTTAAGCCAATGAGATAAACTACAGCCATCAAACGCCACCGGGTTCTTTGTACCAGATCGCAATCCTTACTAGTGTTGAGAGCATCGAGACATCTGTAACAAATACGTATGTACTGCGGAGAAAGCAGAAACTACATAGTACAAGAGCACTCCTTAATCTGGGGTTTCTTTCACGCTAGAAACAGCAGTCTTTTATGGCATCAGTAATTTACTGAAGAAACACATCACCCTGAGAGGGTTTCTAAAGCTCTCCTCGTGCCTCTGCTAAGCAAGGCCAAACATGACATCGTTGTTCGTTCCTACGAAGGGTACAGTGCCAACCACGCTTTCAGACACGCCTTCTCCAGGGGGTAGTGTTGCTGCTACCTCACTTAACACACAGCGAGTTTATTTGCTGAAAACTTGACACCCTACGTCCACTTTGTGGTGACACGGGTCCCATCTAGCCTAAAAAAAAAGCGCTTTTTGCCTCTGCCGGCACAGAGAGGGTGCTGATGGGCCCAGTGGAGCCCGCAGCGCTAGCTCTGGGGTGACGGTGGATCGGTAACGGGGCTCAGCATCGAGTTGACAGCGGCCGCCCCGTCCAGGCAGGGGAACCCAGGTTTGCCTGGCTGGGGGGCTGCTTCAGTGGGGGGCAGGAGGGAGCGGGCAGCGGGGCTGCAGCCCGTCCCGCCGCCGCTCAAGCCGGGCATCTCCCCGAGGGCGGCAGAGGCTGATGGGGAGCCCCGCGCCGTTGCCTGGCATCCCCCCCCCGCGCCGGGCCGGGCCCCGGCAGCCCTCAGAGGCCGTGGCGCTTGCGGGTGCCGGCGCTGGCGGCGTGGAGCAGCCGGTCCTTCTCGCGGATCTCCTCACGGAGCTGGGCCTCGGCCAGGCGCAGGCGGCGGATGCTGCCCTTCATCTCCTTCATCTTCACCTCCAGCAGCGCGATGATATCGCGCTGCTCGTTCAGCTTCCTCAGCAGCTCCTCCGACGTGGTGCCCGACGACAACGAGTACGAGTGGTCCGGGGGGCCGCCCTCCACCGGGCCCTCCTCCCCCGCTGCCGACGGCAGCCTCCCGGGGCCGGGCCCAGCGCTCGCCCCGGGCCCCAGCTCCACCTGCACCGTCAGGTCGATGGGCTTCACGTCCTCGGCCGCGCCCCCTGCCGGGACCTCGGCGGCGGCACCGGAGCCCTGCGCGGCGGCGGCGGCGGCGGCGGCGGCGGCGGCGGCGGCGGCGGGGCGGGGGCGGCGGGCGGCCCGCTGCGCCTTGCGCTCGTTGACGCCGCGCAGCGGGAAGATGGTGGGGACCCGCACCAGGTAGGACTTGCGGCCGCCCTGGAAGTGCTCGCTGCAGACGCGGTGGCCCGTGGTGGGCTGGAAGGTGCTGAAGCAGCCGCTGACGCCCGCCCGGGAGACGTTCTTCAGCCAGAGGCGCCGCAGCTCCTCGTCCTTGGGGAAGGTGTAGAAGTGCAGCGCCTTGTCGCGGTGCGAGTTGTTGTAGCAGCCCGGCACGCAGCAGGTGAAGCCCGGCATGGCGGGGCGGCCTTCCCCGGCCGGGGAACGGACCCCTGGGCGGCCCCGGCGGCGGGGAGAGCGGGCGCGGGGGACCCCCGCCGAACTACAGCTCCCACAAGGCCAACCGCGGCCTCTCGCCGCCCGCCAACGCCGCCCGCCGCGGCCGCACCGGAACTACGCGGACCACGATGCACCGCGGCGGCGGCGCCGCGCCGGAACTACCCGCCCCACACTGCGCTGCGCCCCCGCCCCCGCCGCCGACCGTCCCCCCCCCCCCGCCCCCCCGCGGCAGGCCCCGCCCCCCGCCGCGGCAGGCCCCACCCCCCGCGGCAGGCCCCGCCCTCCGCCGCGGCAGGCCCCGCCCCCTCCACCGCCCGTGGGGCGTCGTGAGGCGATCTCGCGCGAGGTGGCTGGGCGCGCGCGGTGGCCGTTAGCCGGCCATGGCGGACAGCCAGCGGCGGCAGCGCGGAGGGGCCCGGCGCAGCGGGCGTTACCTGACGCGACTCGCGGTGAAGGTGGCGAGTGGGGTCCGATCCGATCCGATCCGATCCGGTGGTACCGCCGCGGGGTGTGCGGGAGGAGCGGGGAGAGCCGGGCTGGGCCGCCCCGCCCCGCGGGTGGGTGGGGGTCGCCTGGCGCTGCTTGCCCGCTCCCGCCCGGTGCGAGGGAGACGCCAGACCCCTGGAGTAGAGCCCGGGGGACAAAAGACGCTCCCCTACTCTCCTTCACCTTTAGACGCGAAAAACAGGCCAAAACTCCTCTATTTCCCGCCTGCCGAAGGGTCGTTACAGCCTTCCACCTCGGTTATGTTTTTCTTCTAGTTCCCCTTTTTGGGTTGTTTTAGGTCAGGGCTGTGAGGGATGGAGGGTCATGGGCCGTGTTTTCAAGTCCCTCGGGCTTTTGCCCAGGGTGAGAGTTGGGCATTGAAGCCACCCTGAATGGCATACTGTTGTTCGAGTTGTCTTCTGCCCAAAAATGAAGCGTCAACATTGTTAAAAAGTAAATGTGCGCAATTTCTTTTACAGAATTTTAAAAATGTTTCATGCTAGCTAGCTTAGGTTTTATTAGAAGACGGATGCTGAATGCTTTTGATGCTAGGGTTCATATTTAATGATAAGAACAGGATTTTTGAATTGCACATTGCTGATTTCTCTCTGTAGACTGTACCTGATTCAGGAAAGAAGAATAATTCTGGCAGAAGCACCACAGTGAAGCAGCGACCAACTGTGTTCCCTGATTTTGACAACGACACGCCACGGACTATTATCAAGAGACTCATCAAGACCTGCAAGTATCTTTTTTTTTTTTTTTTTTTTCCAGAAAGAATGAGAACAGAAGGACAATGTTTTGGTGGGGCTGAGAACAGGAGGTGTTCTTTTGTACTGTTATTCTGCCCCTGTTATGGGGAACAGAGATCCAGACTGATGTATGTGAAAGAGGAATGGCTGCAGTGCAGTTGAACAAGGTCATGCAATACAACTCTGTCTCAAAGACCAGGTCTTGTGGTGATGAAATCAGTCTTGAAAATCCTCTTCATTCAGTCTTCTCACACTCGTGAGCAAGGGTGTAGTCTTTGTGCTACCTCTAGCTGGAGGATTGTGTGTAAATTCTAGAGGCGTGCGCTGTTGCAAACTTCAGCTCAGCTGCGTGGCAGGACGTGGGAGCCCCGTGCTGCCATTTGTCGCTGTTGGCTTTGTCACTGTACGTGCCAGCCCTCCTAGGAGTAGAACCCAAATAGTTTTCACCCGGTCTTTATTTTAACCTGCTAATAAATGTAATTTACAAACTGTAGCGTAGATTTGACACTCCGCTGTATTGAATTCTGAAAAGGAAATGTTTTGGTTTGTTGGCAGTACCAGAAGTTTCACCTCTAGTACCTCAAATATCTAAACATGAAGAAACAAAAGAAGCTCAGTCAGAACTCCCATCGAAAAGGATTTCCAACACGTAAGTAGTTTTAAAAATTTGTACTTTTATTTTTTACACTACCAGATATAGCTGTAGTTCCTATGGTGGGGTTGGGGAGCAGGATTTCTCTACTTCTGTTTCAGTGATCAGAATTGCATTCTGTCGGGTAGGGTTTTCAGAAATACCTCTCCAGCTTTCAGAGCTGCATAGGAATCACTGGCGCTGAGGGACTGAATGCTGCAGGTTTGTGCTTAGTCCCCTTTCTTAAATGCAGGCTTTTGATATCTATTTGCAGTGGAAGTGCTGGATGCAATAAGTCTGGTGGAAGCCAGCTTAGTTGTCTGTGACATATTAAAATAGTTGTTCTTGGCTCTCCCCGAGGCTACAGGCGGTGTGCTGACGATGCTGGGGTGTAAGGAGTGACTCCTGTGTCTTGTATTCAGAACACAGGCTGCTGTAGCTTTTTACGGTGTCCCTGCTTCTTGGTCGTCCTTGTTTTGGGCTGCTGGGGGTAACTTCCTTCCCGTAGGATGGTTTGGAGGTGAGGTTTGCCTAAGGCTCAGCTGCTTTTATTCATGTTTAGTCACCATTAATATTTTAAGTTAATAGGCCTGACTGAATTGGAGAGGCTGAAGGGTGGCTCATTTACTTCCATTTTGTTATGAAAGAGGAGAAAGCCGGTAGCAGTGATAGGTCTTAATTTGCTTTTGTCAGTTTTGTCACAACACTTCTGTGCTTTTTTGCTTATTGCAAAGTAGACTCTTTTAAATAAAGTGATTTCTTTTGTTTTGCCTCTATAGCTAAACTTTCTGCATTGACCGTAAGCAACCTTAAACAAATCATCTAAAATATTAGGTAAACTTGTGTCTTTCTGTTTTTTTAATACGAAAACTAAAACCAGATTTCTGTAAGTGCGGTAGCTTGGTTTCTTTTGGGTTTTGGGGTTTGGTGTTTGGTTTTTTTTTTTTTTTTTTTTTTTTTAGATTAAAAAAAGATTAGCGGTATTATTTTAATTCCTTCTTGATTTTGCTTGTTGTAGTTCTTTAACATCTCTGAATGTGCTTCTCACCAGTTTGTCTTAAATGAAAAGATCAGATGGTTGGATCTTTACAGGCTTTTATATTCCATATGTTAGCTAGTTGTTAAACAGGTACAGTCTTTTTGAACACATTTTAAAATTTTTAAAAAACGCTTAGCCTTTTTTAAAAAATTCCATCTCACTTCAGCTCAAGGAAGGATGTACTTTCTTGAATTTGGAAAGGCACTGCTTTCACTAGTTGTAATAGCATATTCGAGGATAGATGCAAAAAAATGAGCAATCCTTTTCTCCACGGCTTTACATTTGTTCCCCATTACAACCCAGTTAGTTCTAATGCTTAGGCTTATGTTATGCTCGTAATAAGAAATGAAACTTAGCTACGTTTCTGAGTGGTAGAGAATGTCTTTGGTAAGGGGGAGAGACCCATAAACACGATCACCTTGCCGTTCTTGCTGTATTGAAGCCACATTTGTTGCAGCAAAGAATACAGAGCTGCTGAATGTGGGCCCTTTGCTGTGGGAGGGATGCTCTGCTCTAGTTCTGCAGGGCACGGTAGGGAGTGCTGGCAGCAGCTCACTGCCTGAGTGTGACCTTCAGGAGAGGGGATTCTTGGAACTTCTTGGTGAAGGGGGAAAACAACTCGGAAACTTTGTGATCTGGATCCAGTGCCTCACTGGGATATTCCATGTACCAGTGTGCTTTGTGATACTGATACCTGTGAACTGAAATTATTAGAAAATATTTATTTGTGGAATAGAATTATTAAGATCAATTTAAGCTGTTTTAACTATTTAACCGTTGTGCAGATGGGACCAAACAAACTAATGTTTTGAGGAATAGGTAGAATAACTGTAGGATGAGGAACTCATAAATAATCTTACTTGAGACAGTTTGGCCTTGTAGTATCAGGTGCAAAGAAACATAAAGAAGCTGCAAATTAGCAACAAAAGCAGACCAGGCCAGCCTTGGGAGGACAAGATGTACGTGACCACAGGACTGAGTTTGTGCAGAAGTAAGGGTCAGCTGGCAGACACGGTGAAGAAGACTACGAGCCTTCATCTGCAGACCCCTGACAACCACCTGAAGACTCCAACTGATATGTGCAAAAGACGTTAACATATGCTAAATGAGTTCCTGGAAAAGTTACAAAGATGATAAAAATGTAATGAATATGTATGATTAAGATAGTATAAGTCTTTGTCAATTATTGTCTTTACACACACGCATTAGGAGGAGCTCTCCCCTGTGTGGCCAGTGCTGTAATGAAGAATGCCTGCTTTCTAAAACTCCAAAATTGAGTCTCGGAGAGTGACTTAATTACCCCATTCCAGTAACAATACCTGATGTTGTTTCATGATGATGGCTTTTTCATTTACACTATAACGATTGACAAACCTGATTGCTTCTGTGTCCTGTAGAAGAGACCTATGCGGCTTGTTGGAAGTCCCACCTTTTACTCTAGTCTGACCTTTCTCAGCCCAGTTGTTTTGAATACATGCTCAAGTTTTGATTCTCTTTGTGAAATTTACTTTGATTTAGTAGGAGGGGATGGCATGTTCCTGCATTTGCTGAGCTAATTGCTGATTAGTTCCTTGTGCTGCAGCAAGGACAAATAATTTTAATTTGCTTTTCAGCATCATTACAGGGACGTTTCTAGGGTGGCTAAGTGATCATGTTGTCCTTTGTTAAAGGCTTGGTTTGTATTGGTAGGGTGGAAATGCAACTGCCAGACTTTGTTCCTGAGGACACATATATCCCCACATTCCATATGAATAAGAAGAGAAAGAAAGTCAGCATTTCTGAATTTGAGAGAGCAGCAGACAGACGACTTCCCAAGAAAAAAGGTAAGGCTACAGTCAAAAACTGCCTTGTTCAGCACTGCATTTGCTGCCAACTGATTTTCATCTGCTGCTGTTTAGTTCTTAGTAACTTCTCAGCTGGGCAGTTGTACGTTTGGAAGCAAGATTGTAGCATCTTATGCAAAGGGGATAGCAGAGAAGGTAAAAGCCCCCCTCCTATCAAATTTCAAATAAGCCTTTTTGAGCCAAGGTACAGGCTCTGCCCTGGTTGTTTATACCTCCTTGACCATTTTTCCAACTTGGTCCTCTTTGAGTTTTGAAGTGTCTCCAAAGGGAACAATCCCTGTCTTCCCCTCAATTTTCCAGCAACTTGAAAATACAACAAAGGGTATACTGTTTGTTGCAGTTATATCGAGTAAATTGTAAAGTTCTTGTTGGAGGAAAGAAGGGGTTTGTAGTTTTATAAAAGAAATAATGTTTTATATTGGCATAAATCCTCTCTTTAAACATGAATTTGCAAATGTGGTAAATGTAACTGTCATTTTAGTTGCAGTTTGAGAGGCAGGTAAAACACCACACCTTGGTTTTACATACCCTGTTGGCAGTAGCAACTAGAGCAGAATTCAAGGGTGTGATTCAGCTCTGAATTAGGGATGATCGGTGCCTGTGTGTGCGGTAGGTAACTGAGGCCCTTAAGTTTAGGGGAGATCTAGTCAGTGGAGTATGGAGGGTGGTACAGCTCACCCTAAAGGAGACACCTACATTTGATTAATTGTGCTTGACTGTAATGGGAACATAGATACCTGTGCTTGGATATTTTAATCTGGAGCTGAATCCCACCCTGACTCTCCTGTGGTCAAAAAATCAACTTGTCTTTAGCCTGATACCCGGTCTGAAGGTATTCTGATAAGATGCGGGCAGCTCTGTGAAAGCAGAGGAGGCATCCTCCAGTATTTTCTAGTATGAGCATGGTTATGTCCCTGCTCTCCAGATCTGCTTTTGGATTTTGGGGACTTTGTGAATAGAACAGGTTTGAGTTACGGTTTCACCAACAATCTGTGGAGTAGTTATCTGTAATTCTAAAGTTTCCACATGCTATAATGTTTGGTGTGGGTTGCTGAAGGGTGGTTGTGACCGAGGCCCTAGACTTGCATCTTGCTATTAATGTGGTAAAATTAATGTTATTGATTGTGAGGGCACGTGCCGTATTAAATTTTGTTTGAAATAACTGGTTTATTACCCTTTCAGAAATTGCTTATTAGAATTCTAATACACAGTTCTGAAATGCAGACAAGAAATTGTAAAGTGAAGTTGTCTCCTAATTATTTTCTCACCAAAATGTAACTTTTGAGGACTGTCATGTAACTGACTCTGGAAAGAGGAAGGTCCATTGGGGCGTTCCTGTAGCCTGTTGTGTAGTGGGTAATTTCTCAGCTAACATGTCACCAATTTTTTCTAGCTCAGTCAACGTTGGACAGCATTATTTTGGCTCGGTGAGTTTAAACTAAAATGTCTTAATTTCTGGCTGTCCTAACTAGAGCTGCCTTGATTCATCACCTCTGTAGTTGTGAAGAACAGTACACAGTACAGATACCTGGGTTCATGATGAAGACCTATGTTAGTAATGATACAATCATCCCCTCTCTGGTGGTGGAATTTGAAGGTGTTACACTACATACTTTGTGATTTTCAGAAATTGTGGCTCTGCATTGTGTGCCCAGGTTGGCCTAGCTTGTTTGCTACTATCGCTCCTCTTTTTACTTGTTAGGATCATTTCTTTTTTCCTTTCGTTTTCACGTTTCCAGCAATAAATCAGTACACAGTATACCTTAGAATATTATCTCTGCCTGTTAATTGACTCATCACATCACTTGCATCTATGCAATCTTTAGTCCAACTTTCCTGGACTTCAGAAGCTTTTTAGCAAGTTGAAGCACTCCTTTCCCTGTGTTGCCCGTGCACTTTGCTCATGATCCTAGCTGTGGTTAGCAATTTACATCACCTTTCTCACTGCAGCCCTTGCCAGTGTTCCCATGCAAGGTGATTCATAGGGCTGCATTCTGTACTTCCTGTCTTTGAATCCTTTGAACCCCCTTTTTGATTGGGCTCACTGGAGAGAGGGACAGGAGGTAGCTGAGCATGGCTCAGCCTCTTTAGGATACAAAATATGTACAGTGAGATAAATATTTTTCTGTGCTTTGCATGTTGCTGTCTTAGCTCCCATCTCAAAAAAAGTTAGCGTGTTGGTAGCTGTACTTTGCTGTGAATTCTAAGCATCTTCTTAGACTTGTTCTGAAGTCCTACCAGCCTGCTGCCATCTAGAGGACATCTTTACTCTCAAACATTTGTTTGTTTTGTTTGGTTTTGTTTTGTTTGTTTGGGAAATGTAAAAATTTTAAATCTTTTGTCAGGTATACTGTTGCAGCCCTTTCAAGGTAGGAGACTGTGAAACAGTCTGTTTCCTGATCTCTGTGACACATATCCTGATAATAGGTGATCCCATGAAATTAAACTTTGTTTAAAGTAGACCGGCATGACACTTTCAGGGTAGGTTTTTTTTGAGAAATGCCTTCTAGCTAAAGAATTTGTGAAATGTCTTGCTGTTAGTGGCACCCGTGTCTGTAATCTGAGGGTAAAAGGGGAGTGTGTGGGTTTGGAAAATTATTTCTTCCCTCTTTTTACAGATCTCTTCACATGTCTCTTGGTTCCTTGAGCCCATCAGGCTCTGTTGAAAAGAGAGGCTTGCTCCGGAGGCCAAAACATCGCAAAGCTATTGACATGGAAGCTTTTGAAAGCGGAGTGGAAAAGAACATGCTGAAGAGAAAAGGTTTCTTTTGTGGTGTTACTTCTGTTTTGGGAGGGAGAGCGTCATATAAGGTGGCTTTTAGAAGCAATTACTGAAGCATGGTCTGTATTTTACGATTGAAAGGCTACTAACACGTTCACAGAAATCCAATGTAATTTGGGAAGCAAGATTAGAATGAGGCTCTACATCTGTACCTGTTCTGATTCTGTGCACTTAAATATGTGCTCTAACCAGTTTGATGATTTATACCACAGGAATCGTTTGGGATCATGTTCATAACTGTGGGTACCGGGGAGGTGGTTTGGTAGAGCAAGTCAGGGGCACTGAAGTGTGGTGATACAGTTTCAGTGTTTGATCTGTGGAGGATGAATAAACTTTGATTGAATGACTTAAAATGTGAATTATGCAAGTCCTGATAATAAATCTGTGTCTCTGACCTTCAACAGTTTTTCACATAAAACTTGTTTTAAAACTTTCTAAACAGCAGAGGACTATCTTGTGGACTCAAAAACAGCATCTGGGATTCAAACAGCTATGCAGACAAGTGATGCAGAAATCGTGCTGAGTAACACGGAGCTCTTTCTTCAGCCTCAGTTTGATGAACAGAGCCAAAATAAGCTTTCTCCTCTTGAACCACAGCTATCAGGTTCAAAAACTTCAGCACAGAGAAGCAAGATTTCTGATGCAGCTCAAGAGGAAGCAGGGCTGGTGCACCTGGTATCCAGAGTGGGCACAAATGAGAGAAGATATTCTGAGGGCTTAATCTCCAATCGTGAGCATTTTGATACTCGTGTATCTCCAAAAACACCTGCAAAACAGCCAGAAGGTATGCAAGATCATTCCCAGCAGAGTAACGCAATGGAACAGCTTCCTGTTTTAGAAGAGGTGGTGGTTGGCGGTGAGTACTATGGGTTAGGACTTGTGGCTTAGCAGGTGTTATCTGAAATCACAGAATGGTTGAGGTAGGAAGGCATCTCTGGAGGTCATCTTCTCCAACCGCCTTGCTCAAGCAGGGCCGCCTAGAGCAGGTTGCCCAGGACTGTGTCCTGGCAGCTTTTACACATCCCCAAGGATGGAGACTGCAAACTCTGGGCGATCTGTTCCAGTGTTCAGTCATCCTCAAAGTGAAAAGGTGTCTCCTTATGTTCAGACAGAGCCTCCTGTGTTCCAGCCTGTGCCTGTTGCCTCTTCGGCCGGCACTGAGCACCACTAAAAAGAGCCTGGCTCTGTCTGCTTTACGCCCTCCCTTCAGATAGATGCTTCCATATATTGATGAGATCCCCCTCTGAGCCTTCTTCTCCAGGCTGAACAGTCCCAGCTCTCTCAGCCTTTCCTCCTAGGAGAGGTGCTCCAGGCCCTTAATTGTCCTGGTAGCCCTTTGCTGGACTCCAGTATATCCATCTCTCTCTTGTACTGGGGAGCCCAGAAGTGGATGCTGTAAATTGAGCACAAATATGGTGAGATAAGGAGGTAATACGTAGGAATTGTAGACAGGGTAAGAAGTCATCTTGGGGCATTACTAGTCTAGACCTTTACCTTGGTAAGGTCGTTTATATGTCACAGATACGGTTGGTGTGTTCAGTACTGCTCAAGCCAGGAGAAGAGTTCTTGCCATGGAAAGCTCAGAAATTAATGCCTGGTGGATTGTTACACCATACTCTGCTTCTCGCAGGTTGTCTGTGGCAAGCTTGGTGGGAAAAGTTGTTTTGAAAAGGCGAGGCAAGAGATGAACAGAAAAAAGAGATTCGTTGCTCTGAAGAGTCCACTGGCAGGCACTTTTAGGGCAGATAGATTAGATAGATAACATGGAGAAAAGTGTGGAGGACATGGAATAGGGGACTGGATTAAATGAGAGGAAGAGGAGGGGCAGCAAGAGAGTGTCTTAAAAGATGCTGAAGTTTGTAAGGCATTAGCAAAGTTAATCGTTATATAGTTCTGCTGTTCTACCAAAGGTAGTTGACGTCAAGGTTGCTCCTCAGTGTGAACTGAAAAAGAGTTGCGAGGACTTTTCCAGCTGGTTCCTAAGATACAATGTGAACTCCCTAAACTGTTCCAAGTAAAGAAAGAGCATTTTCTTTTGCGTATTCCTCTCTCTGCTTGGTTGGTTTTTTACTTACCAGGAAAGATAAAAGAAAGTTTAAAAAGGTACTGAGGGCACAGTAATGCTCTCGATTTCTGGCTATTAATAGATGAAGCTTTTCCTTGTCATCTAGAAGCCAAAGGAAATGTTTCAGCTCCCCTGTCACTCTAAAGCCTGAGAGATTTTTCAGGGTGTCTGTGAGAAAAATGTCCCATATAATTGAAGACCTAGATGTAAGTGATACAGAAGAAGAGATGGCTAATGCAGTGAACAAAGTGGAACAGGAAGAGATTTCCAGAGGGTAAGAAGTGCTTTCAGTGTTGCAGGGAAGTAGGGTACTTCAGTCTGATAAAAACCAAGAGTTTTTTGGCTGACTTGCAGAGTAAAATAAGACTTTATTGTGCAGTAGATGCTGGAGATAATTTAATTCAAGTCATATCAGAAACACTGTGAGCACTTCCAGACAAGCTTTCTAAAAGTACGCTGTGACTTGCGCATGTGCTTTCTTGTCAGTATTTGCTTTGTTCACAGTGACTGCAAATAGAATAAAGGTTCATGGTTTTTTGGTAGGTCCGTAGTACTGCTTATGTTCCCACAGGAGAGATGAATAGCTCCCTCTTGGCAAGGAATACGTCTGGCTAATCGCTCCTTTTGTTTGTATACATTTCAACACTTTACTATATTTAAGCCCTGTTGGCCATTATTTTTCTCCAGTACTAACCAGCATCTTTTTCTGTTAAGAGCTTGAAGGTTGTCCTCCCTTAAGTAATAAAGGTTGTCACTATAGGTTGGGCCTTAATACCTCTTTGTTCCTGGAAGAGAGCAAGCCATGTAAGTTGCCTGCTTTCACAAGCACATTCTTTGTTTTCTCTGAAATCCTTTTGCCTTACTCTAAGACGGCAAAAACTGCACAGGTGCTGAGGGTGGCAGGTGTCATCCAGTCACTCCATAAAGCTTTGAGTATGTGTGGTCACAGATTCTCATTCTGTCGAATTCAGTTTTCCGCAGTCGAGTTTGGGATCCTTTGTAAGGCTTTTCCATTGTTCCTTCAACGGTGTCTGGAAATGAGAGAAGATCATTGCCATGCAGGCTTAATTACATCTGAAGTTTCATATGAATTACCTTGTGGCAGTACGGAATCTGAACAGTCTATAGCACCAACAGTTTTGTTATTAGAACTTTAAACTGAATACTTGCAGTGCCCAGAAGTAATTGCTTGAACATACTGGGTGTATCAGGAAAATTATGTTGCCTTTTTATCATGATAATACAGCCTTTTGTTTTAAACAGTTCTTTTAGGTTAGTTCATTAAGGTAGCAGATAGTCTGCACCTCTAAATTTACAGTTGCGTAAGGTTGGCATCCTGTGAGCTTTCATGATTCTTTTGTCCTGTTATATTTTTACGTGGGTGCGCCTGTGGAGTGTGAAGTTTAAATGGGATGTGACTCTTGAGATTGATTGAAAGTTACCTCAGGGTTGTTACAGTTCTGTGAACACCAGCTCAAATCTTGGGGGATGGTCAGAAGAGCAAACAACGTAAAAATTATTATGAAAGGAACAGATGACAAAATGTCACTTTGCCTCTATGGACATTATTGTCACTCTCACCTTTTGAACACTGCGTCCAAATAGATTTAACAAAACTAGAGAAGGTGCAGAGAAAAACAGTTTTACCTTTAAGGATGATCAAATAGATGGAGCAGTTTCTGTACATTGAGCGACTAAAGATAAGGACTGCTCAGCCTGGAAGAAAGACAATGGGAGTGAAATACAAGAAATTTAAAAAGAAAAGCCTTGAGCAGCATGGAGGAGATAATTTAGCAAACAAATTGAAACAAACAGCTTGCTGATCTCTCAGTGCAGAAAGCAGAGAGTGGCAGCTGGCACGGACAGCTGGCAGGTTGTACTGAACTACGGGAGGTATTGCTACTAGCAACGGGTGAAGAAATCAGTAGAAATTAAGACCTGAGTGTGTCAATAACATCTGGTGCTCCAGTGTTAAAGTACTGTATCCCAGCAGGGATCCAGTAGTGTGAGAGATTGACTGGTGCCTCTCTGCCTTAGGCAGGGCTTATGTGAAGTTGAGCTTTTGTTCTCTCCCCACAAAGCTAGTTAATATTTTACCTAACTTTAGGCAAGATTTTTCCCCGTGGTGGGGTAGGTAGCCCCATATTCTGGTTGGTGAGATTGGTATTACTGGTTTTTACACGATCTGTGGTCCGATTTCCTTGTCCCTTTCACTGGGGTTTTGGGCTCCCAAGACGTTGCTGCTTGTAGTTTCGAGTGTGAAAACTCCCCGTCCCTGGAGAGGATGGTAAAAATCCACTTTCACATCTTCCAGTTCTAGGCTCAGCAAAGATTTCCAAACCCTTCAGCAAGTGACAATACTCTGAGTTCCCAGTAAGATTTCTCCAAACAATTATCTGCATTGGTTTCTGCTGGGATTGAGCTACGTAGTAACAGACGTGTGGACTGTAGATATGGTAGGTAGGGAAAAGGCGTACTTACATACTCTTTGGTACTTCAGTAGCTGACTTCAGTTTGTTTTTTTTTTTTTAAGGCATGCAAACCACCTGTCCATTGATTTATCCTCTCCTTGCCTGCTAGAGGCTTTCCTGAGTTGGTTAAAACCACTGCTAGGTGCTCCCCTCTTTATAATGCAATATATCTCTTGCAAAATTGTTTATTTAGAAAAACAGGAAATGGGGAGGAGAAGCTGAGCACAAACTCCATGTATTGTTAGACTTAAAGGAAAAGAAATTGGTCTTTCAGACAATCCCCAAAGGTAAGAATAGACATAGAGATGGCAGATGTGGAGGAGCTCTGCTTACTGATAAGTAAAATTCCTTCATTGGGATCTGACGTGTGCCCTAATTGGGTGGCTGTGGAGCAAACACGGGAAAAGTGCATTTTGCAGCTGTAAACTTGTGGAAGGGAACTACATCTGCTTCCCTTATTTATAGTTTATGGCTGCTGCTGAGTTTACTGCATGAGTAAATTTTGTTGGTTGTTGAAGTGTATGGTGGTGGTTGACTGGGGTTTTTTTGTAGATAAGATTGATGATAGAATTTCAAGTTTTAACTGCAGAGCATCGTGCAAATGCTGGATGTTCTGAACATTTGGAAAAGAAACTGCCCCAAAAGGCAGAATTGTGGATAACTATGGCACACCATGCCAGAGCTGAAACAGAAATGGCCCCTTCAGAAGACGAGGGAATAGCCAAAGGCAGTGTTCAACACCAAGGCTCTCCCAAAGGTGGTGTGGCTAACCTCTAATACTGAAGACTATCTCTAATGCCAGAGACCTCTCAGGCTGCATTATTGACACCAGTGCTGGGATAGAGACTTGTTAGCTCTCTGCATTATGGAATTTGGGATAAATGCTGGGAAAATACTGAACTAGTTATGGCATTTTAAGCTGAAAGATTGCGTTCTGCTCAAATGGAAAACAAAATTATATTGGCAATACTGCTTAGAAATATATAATTGTGTGAAGCTTAGTTAAAATTTACTAGTGGGAGTTCTAGAACCAGGCAAAGATTGGTAAAGCTTGGAGACCTTCTGTGTGTGTTGGCAAATCAGGATCTCCCAAGTTACTTTTCCTGAATTGCTGGGTTCTGTGTTCAAAATGCTGCACTAAGGGTTCGGTAAGACTTCTTTTGAGATAAAAGTTCTTATTAAAGGAAGTTCATTTCAAGCAGCTCAGATAAAAATTTCACTCAAATCTCACGGGCTTTTTCCACATTACCAAGTGCTTTTTTTTTGTGTGTGACCTCTGCCCACCTAGACATAGTAGAGGGAAAAGTTGAGGATTCATCAGTGCCTTAGGTTATCTAGCTCCATGTATTGACACCCTAATCCTTGAAGATAGGAATATAATAGGTGGCAACGTTTTCAAGAATGGAAAGTTGGGTTTCATTCTCATGAGTGCTCTGAAATTTTGGCTACGATACTTGTTTCAGTGATATTTTTTTCCTGCTTTGGAATCTAGAACATGAGATTGCCAAAGGTGTTGGGGCTGGAAGTCTGAGCAGGCATGCTCATGCTTTTTCCTCCTTTGAAAAATCTGGGATGAAGCCATTAAAGGAAGATGTTGAACAAGCAGATGAACTAGACCACCAGCCAATCATGGTAGAATTGGATGGTCTGGAAGAAGAGCCTACTGAGGATGAAGCTGAAGACCCTGGGAGTGAAGGTAAGAAAACTATTGCAACAGTAGCAGAAGGCAGTTGGAGAATTTCTTCCCTGTTATCTCTCTATAGATCAAGGAACAGCATAGGTTAATAACGTGATTAACTGCTTAGTCCACCAGATAGTCCAGGGGAAGCTGTTGGCTGCTTTTCCTAGGGCCAGATTGTTCCTGCCTCATCAGGTGCTTCGGGGATGTAGACCACCTTGTACTTTTTGAGGTGAAGGTAATGGAAATGCACAAATAGACAAAACTGAGTGCAGAGTGGCTTTATACAGTGACATAGGGTTTTCTTCCATTTTATTCTTCCTTCCTTCCCAACTCCTTGCTTTGTACTGATGTTTTAATGTCTTAGCATTGAACTGCTGTTTCCACAGCTGTTTACATGACTCCAGACTTTAAATCTAATTTAGAACCCCATATTTTGTACATGTATTTACAGATTTCCTTTCCAGCTAACCAGAAGAGTAGGCTGGCTTTCCAAAAAGCTGAGAGGAAGTGTCTGTTTCTAAACAGTTCTTCAGACACTGCATCAGTCTGCTTTGTTGCCCCAAGAGTGCTTATGCCTTTTGGAAGAACATGCACATCAGCCTGAGTTCTCTTCGAACAAGGTCATGTCTGAGAATGCCCAGTGTGTTTCAGTGGTGTCTTTTTGGGACTGGTCTTAAAGTATTTTGAAATACAGCACACTGAAATAAAAAACTGAGCTAAAGACATCCTAAACGAATCCTGTTGCCAGGATTTGAGGCACTGTGGGAAAGTACAGCTGTAATGAGGAGGATGTCAATGCCTGTATGTGTGTGTGTGCAGTGTGGAAAGTGCAAAGATGACAGCTGAACTGGTACACTTTTGCAACAAGAAGAGCTGTAGGTGGTCTTGGGGCATCTACAGTAGTGTATCAACATGCTTTAACACAGCTGTATGCAGAGATGGGAAGATCTCAATGAAAATCTCTGCTGGTAGGGTGGAACAGTAAGAGTAGCATCTTACAGGTCTCATTGGACAAAGAAAGGAAGAAAAGCTGAAAAATTATGCACTCTTGTCCTAAAACGTAGCTCAGAAATCTCAGCATAACTAGCTTCTTCCCCTGCACCCTGCTCCCTGTCCCTCCAGCACACAGACATACTTATTCAGAAGAAGCTAATGCAAAGAACCATGGTAGTTCACCCAGCCCTGCTTTCTCCAAGAGACTCCTGACCCTTTAGGTTGTGGAATTAAACTCTCAGTAGGACCTCTGAGGCCTCTAGCAGTTGGACTTGGCTTCTGTAATGGGGCAGGTGTCCTGGCTCTTAGGGAGGGTTGCAAAGTTGACACCAGTACCAGATATGCTGGATTTTTGGGCTACACTCAGCGTGCAAGGGAAACTGGTAGGCAAGAAGCCCTCCATGACCATTCCTCTTCTAGGCAGGAAGTTGGTCAGTATTTCAATTCTGTTAACATTGTTTTCTTTCCTGCTCTTGCTTGTTAAGAAGTAAAAAAGTTCAAAAGTGAAGTTAGAGGATGCGGATTAGACTTGGAGGGAAACTGCTTTGGGTAGTTCACAGCAAAGAGGAGGTGAGGTACTGACTATAACCTGAGCCTTAGCTGGAGGGATTTTATGAAAATCTGAATATGGGAGATGCTCATAGACCAGCCCTTGCAATGCGATTTTGTTGCTCCGCTCGTCCTGTGTTAAGTAGAATTTGCCACTGGTTTAGCAGGATGGCAATGAGGTCACTTGCAAACTTTGAAATTCTCTTTGGGAAAAGATGCTACAGCTTGTTGACAGCTTAAGTCAGCCCAGCCATTAGCTCCTGCAGCCTGGCCTGAGCGTGTGTTCCTGCTCAGGGCTGGTGGGCTGGGCCAGCGCGAGGGAAGCAGTTGTGCTGGCTCTGGACCAGATGTGTGGAAAGCTGGCTGGGCTTCTGTCTGCTGTTGCACTGCTTGATGCAGGAACTCCAAAAAAGAGAGTTCAGTTCCTCAAGTACTTTTTTTTTTTTTTTTTCTTTCCCTAGAGGTTTCCATGAAGACACCCGAGTTTGTCCGTGCTGCAGCCTGCAAGCCACTGCTGTCAACTCCACGTCCTGCAAAGCTCACTGTTTGTAAGTAAGTATAAGCCACCTTCAGCAGTGGCCTGGTAGAGGTGTGTGTTGGGGGGAGAGCACTGAGCCCAGCTTTGTCTGTTGTGTGTTTTATCAGCTGTAGCACAGACTAAGCAGTCCTGAAGTCTTTACTTCATTCACTGCTTTAGCAACTGAATACTGTTCTATCGAGCAAGTGCTAGCACTCTCCCAGAGCAGAGCTGATGCCTCAAGCCTTTCCAATGAATGTTCTTGTAATATTTTCTTGTGCTGGAGGCCAATACCTTTACCTAGGAGCTTTTCAGCTGGTGTGCTACCCTGGAGCCATAGATTCCAGTACGGGATGCAGAGGCCCTTGCAGAAGAGGGGGAATTACAGATTATGTTACACTGATCACGTGTGTCATGGTTTGGGCCTGGTCGGCAGCCAACTACCACGCGGCCACTCTCTCTCCCTTCTCTTCTGGCAATAAGAAGGGACAGAGAGCCAGGCTTGGGGTTCGAGATAGGACTGGGATGGGAAAAAAAAAATCCCCCTTTATGGGCACGAGCAAAAAGCAGACACGTTAGGGGAAGAAGAAAAGAACATACATTTATTACAGACACTAACAACACATAACAGAGTAGGACAGTGAGAAGCATTGCCACATCTTGAGAACACCTTCCCCCCACCCCTCCCTTCTTCCTGGGCTCAGCTCTGGTCCTGATATCTCTACCTCCTCCCCCAGGGGCGCAGGGGCAGGGAATGGGGGGTGCAGTCAGCGCTGCCACTTTCTTCATCTTCGGTGAGGGGAGTCTCTGGAACTTGATCCTCCTGCTCCATCGTGGTCCCCCTCTCACAGCAGACAATCCTCCACAAACTTTCTCCAACATGAGTTCCTCTCATGGGCCGCAGCGTTCCCCACACTGCTCCGTCATGGGTCACTATCTTCCTCCGACTGGATTCTCTCCCACGGCTGCAGCCCTTCCCGAGCTGCTCTGGCGTGGGACTCCCCCGCATGCTGCAATCCTCCCAGCACTGAATTACAGCAGCGGGGCTGCCTTTTCCCACAAGACCCCGGCCTTCTTCAGGAACAGCACCTTGATCAGGCAGGCGGAAGCCACAGGCCACAAATCAATGTCTGCTCCACCGTAGATCTCCATGGGTGGCAGGGGGGGCCGCCCTGCCGTCTCCCCACAGGGTACAGGGGGGTCTCTGCTCCGGCACACCTCCCCCCTCCTTTCTTCCTCCGTTCCTCCACTGACCTTGGTGTTCATGCAGCTGCAGCAACTCCTCCTCACCAGTCCCACTGCCCGTCACCACGTCCCTTCTTAAATACGTTATCGCAGAGGCGCAGCCGATTGGCTCAATTTCCCAAACAGAAGTGGAGCTGACGTGGAGCTGGGGGAGCTTCGAGAAGCTTCTCACAGGGGGCTGCCCCGATAGCCCCCTCCCCTGCCACCAAAAAAACTCCACCACTCACTCAGCCCAGGACAGTGTGAAACGACATATTTGTATTGACTTCAGAAGGCTAAAGCTGTATGCAGTTGCCATGTATTGAGCATAAAATGAAGCTCACCTAGAGGCAGAAAATGAACCTGTCTTCTGCATTACTCCAAATTAATTAACATTTGTCACTCTCTTAACTAGAAATTTGGTGAAGCCATATGCTTCATCAAACCAACTAACAGTGGGTCCTAGGGAACAGGAGGAATTTTCCAGCCCATAAAACCAAATTCTTGTGCCTTTTACTTCTGTCAGCAGAGGTGAATGATGCTTACAGAAGCTGCTGGATGACTGCTGTAATCATGAATATTGAAATATAAAGTAGAAAAAGGAATCTTTGATACTCTGCTGGAGTGGAACTGAATGAATGCAGATTTGCTGTGGGATTTTGCACTGAGGCACGCTCTTTTTATATGTATATATGTACACAAATATATAGAGCATGTCTGAATACTAATTCCGCTGTGGACAGTTTTATTCCTCATTGGCTAAAGATGTCTGTGTATTTGGATGCATGTTCTTTCTAGGAATTCCTGCATGTTAATAGACTGACAGATTTTTCAGGCTTTTAAGCCGTGCTGAGATAACAGACGATCATAGTTACGGGTTCAGAACCTTGATTACAGGAAGCTGTTGCACATAAAAATGCGCGGTTTGTTTGCACTTTATGTAGCCCAGTCTGACCCTGAGTTGGCCTGCTTGCTTCCCGAGGTAGTGATGCTCACGTTAAAAACCCAAGGAATACTCTAGGTTATGTAGTGGAGCAATAGCCATGCGAGAGCCACACTTAAAGACATTCTGCTATAAAATAATCTTTTCATATTGGTATAATTCTACTGTGATCAGCTATACCAATTAGGGCCACAGAGCATTTCATTTAGAAACACCAAAGTCTCATACAGTCCTAAACTTCAGTTTTTGCCCTGCTCCTGTGAACCAAACATACATAATCATTGACAAATGGGTAAAGTGAGGCACAGAAGCAGTAACCAAGGAGACTGAAATGATGACTGGGGTTTTTGTCTCACACATTTTATTTCTGGGGCTGATCTCTTCTACCTGCCTCTGAGGTTCTGACAGAAAAACGTGCAGGTGGGCTGGAGAGAGAATCAGATGATCCATGCACCGCCTCTGTGGGTTTTGCATGTGTCAGCCTGAGATTCCCAGTCTTTTCTGTTGTTTTCCACTTGTCTACTGAGTGAAGCCAGGCATTTGACTTCCCTTTTTTCCTATTACAGTTTTTCCTTTTTTAGAATGGAAGAGAGTTGTAATTTCTTTTGGGACTTAATGTTATTTAGGAAAAAAAAAAATGCAGAAACAACCAAACAAAAAACCCCCAAACCCCACTAAACAAAATGTTTAATGGTGTAAAAGTGTACCCTGCAGACCAGACTCTCCTGTCTGCAGATGCAGAGGTAGCCTGTGGATGCCTCAAACTTTGTGTGCTCCTGGACAGTTAAAATTACAGGATGCAGTGAAAACTGCATTTATGTGTTGGAGGGAGCTATAGTTTGCTGACTATCTGTTATGGTGGCACGGTTATTGCAGGAATCTTGAGCCTGGATTGCTCCTTCCAAGGTCATAATGCCACATGAACTGTCTGCAAACTGTACTTCATGGGCACGAGGGTTTTGAAGAATTGGGAGGGAGAAAGAATGAAGAGCTCCATGTAGTTCTTACGCCTTTAAATTCAGCACGAAGTTTGCCCGAACTCAGCCTGGTGTTCTCTGCTTCTCCCCTGTGTTTGTTCATTTGATATATGAATTTCCAATTTCCCTCAAAGGTCTCCTCTGCAGCCAGTGCGGGCTAAGCCAGTTCCAAAGAGCTCAGGAGTGCCACGGAGGAAAAGTAGTGAGCCTGAAGTAGCAAGTAGCTTGATAAAAAAGATATTTAGCCATTATGCGAAAATGCCCGTGTCCAGAGACGCGTTCAGAATCGTTGAAAAAAGGTAAGCAACAGCAAACTGCTCCTCTTCCCACTCTTTTTAGTCTTTTTTTTTTTTTTTTTTTTTTTCTTTTCTCTCCTGAAATAACAAACCTGTCAGGAGTGCTGCTGCCAAGCTGACAGCCCTCCCTGTTCAGCTGGGGAGAGTCACGGGCGGGCTGGGTAAAACGAGGGCAGAAACGCGCTGGGTGCTGTTGCCTGCTGTGAGGCTGTCCGTGACCAACGCAGGAGCCTTGCAGGAGCGCTCTGGGTTTTTGCCCCAGCCAGTACAAACTGCACCATGCACAATCTCCTCTCGCTAGCAGCACGCTAATCCTGTAGGCGCTGCGGCGGTGGGGTGGTTCTGGAGCGTTTCTTCTCCCCCAGGTTTCCCTGGCAGGCGAGCAGCTCTGGCGCAACTTGCCCTGCGGAACTGGGTGAGTTGGGTGGTGGTCACACGCTCGCAGCCTGATTTTATTTCCCTCCTCAATCCTTCAGCTGCAGTAGATACTTCAAACAGCTATGCAATGATCTGGAAGCTTACGCCAACCACGCAAGGAGGAAGACGGTGGAGTGGGCTGACCTGGAAGTCCTCATGAGAAGGTAAAGGGAGGGTTGTTACTAACATGTAGTAGTTATTTGGTGGTGCTTTGGTAGCCCAGTAAGACTGTCGTGGGCAGGGTGGTGTGCACTAGCAGTATTTCCACAGTCACCGTGGTATCTTGTGATTTACTCTGATGCCACTTGGCCTTCTGTCCCGGGAGGACATTTGTGGACTTGAGTTTTATATTCCACAATGACGGTGTAAGGGGAAGTAGAGTAAGATGAGGGGTAAGAGGAGGTAGTGAGGGGATGGGAGTGCAGGAGGCAGCTGAGGAACAAGTAGCAAGAAGAGGGGGATGTGTGCAAGGGCGAAGCAGTTAGGGCTGGGAGTGAAATGGTGTCGGTAGAAAAGGCAGAGGAACAGTAGGTGCGAGAGGCTGGGCTGCACCATTTGCATCCCTGAGCGATCTCTTTGCTAAAAGTGCTTCCACCTGAAACAGCGTGAGCGTTTTCACATGCCCTGCTATCTGTTTTGATGACTCACTCTTCCAAACAAAATCATAGAACCATTTACATTGGCAAAGACCTTTAAGGTCATCGAGTTCAACCGTTAATCTCACACTGCCAAATCTACCACTAAACCATGTCCCTTGAGCACCGCATCTACATGTCTTAAATACCACGGGGGTTGGTGGCTCCACCACTCCCTGGGCAGCCTGTTCCAGAGCTTGACAACCCTTCCAGTGAAGGAGATTTTCCTAATATCCAGTCTAAACCTCCCCTGGTGCGACTTGAGGCCATTTCCTCTCATCCTATCACTTGTTACTTGGGAAAAGAGTCCGACACCCACCTCGCTACCACCTCCTCTCAGGTAGTTCCTGCTTCTGCAAAAGCTGATAAGGTTTGAGCTGACAGTTCCTCTCCAGAGCGGGTGAACGAGCCTCCAGCCTGGCAGGTCAGGGCTGGCTGCTCCTAACATCTGTGTTCCCCTTCGTGCTGCCGCTTTGCGAGCCCACAGAGGGGCACAGTGGCCAGAGGCCCGGGTGAGCTGTTCCCAGAGCCTCCGCTGCTGCTCTTCCCTGTGGGCTCCCTCAGCTCCCCCATCTCGTGCCTGAATTTATTTTGTCCCGTGACCGAAATACAAGGGACTTGTTCTTGGCTTGGGAGCCCTCTGTAAACCTCTGCAGGGCCCAAACCAGATTGATCCCTTCTCATTTACAGTCGTTACTCCAGGTTGTTATTCCTTGTCTCCCACTGGCAGAGTTTTCAGATGGGATGTTAAAGTCACCTGAGAGATTTTGCAGGGCACATCTGATTAAAGGCATTGGCTTTGCATGGGCCTGTGCAGAGCTGGTGCTGCTGCATAAAAAGAATATTCTGTTGCTGTCCTGGGCCAGGGATTTAAATTTTCTCACATGCCAGGTTTGTGCTGAAGTTAGTATGGACAGGCTGAGGTGCGATGGTTTAGTTGGCCAGGTTTGAGGATTTTGTACTTTTGCTATTTTACCTTTTTCTGGATGTCTTTATACCTTTCCACTGCTTCATAAAGTGATCAGGAATTGTTCCTGGTTCATGAATAAGGACAGTATTTTTGTTCCTTCCACAAGGAAAGCATGAATAAACGCTCCTTTTTTTCCTCCCTCCTTTCTACAAGACTGGGAGATACTGATTTTTCAGGCCAATCAGCTAAATGGTGTACTAGAAAACTACGTGGCCTACACAGTTTGAAAATGCCAACCACCTCTGAATTGGGAATGTAAAAAATCTGCTGGGTAATGAGCTCTTTGCTTCTGTTACCTCATTCTGTGTATGCCTATAAAAGGTAAAATTTATCCCATGGCAGGTGGATTGTGAATTTAAAAAGCAATGAGCTTATTCTTCAGTAAAGATCGGCGCGCTGGCTCTCTCCCCGTGACAAACACCCACCTGCCGGGGAGGCTGGGCTGCACCGCCCCTCCCGGGCTGCGTTCACGGGTGGGCTCACCCCATGGCTGCGCCGTACGCGGGGCCTAGCTTTTCTGTCACAAGCAGCCACAGCCTCTCAGCTGTTAAACGCAAAAATGTTACTCTGCTCCTAAGTTTGAGTGGAAACACTTTTCCCTAACAACCCTGCTTCTTCTCTTCTCTCCTCTTTTTTTTTTTTTTTTGAACCAAGGCAAGGGCTGGTGACAGACAAGATGCCGTTGAATGTGCTGATAGAGCGTTACCTCCCGTGGGAGTACAGGAAGCTCCTGATCCCGGTTGCTGTGAGTGGAAATAGAGTGATCCCCAGCCGTGGTGGCCCCGGGGCTGGGAGCACGGGCTGCTCCCAGAGGCGGGCTCTAGGCAGTTCCCTCTAGCTGCTCCCTGCACTGGTTTTCCACCAGTAACTAGTGGGGCAGCAGGCGGTCGACGGCATCAGTTCAAGAGAACGGTTGTGCTGTGGCTGCCACGCCAGCCTGCTGGATCTCACCAGCTGTTAGTACGTGTAATCTGACTATCCTGAATTTTTAGTTACCTTTGAATACTTGTGCAGCTCTGATAAATAAAATATTGCATATATTCTGTGTGATGGAAATGCTGCTTAATTCCAGTGAGCTGAAGGCTACCGTATTGCGTTATTCAGAATGTTTCTAGCAGGCATTCAGCTGTGGTCATGCTTTTCATACTGACTAGTTGTTTGCTCGAAAGACAAAAGTTGTGTACTGCTTCCCCCCAAAAAAACAGACCCTTGTTACAGCTGTGTATTTTTCCAGAGCCAGGGCTTTCAAACCTGGGGTTCGTCCCCCTGTGCAAGTCTAGTCTGTGTCAACAATACGTCATCACCCTCCTGTGACACCAGGTGTCCACTGATGCAAATTGAAATGGGAAAATACACTTTGTATATAATTCTATATAACTAAATCTCATGTGGAATTAGCAAGCAATAATTTAAGACCATTTGAGAGATTAAAGTTTCTGGTGCACACGTGGTAGGTAGACTGGGGGAGAGATTGGCTCAGGTGGAGTTAATTGTGTGTATTTGGTTTATGGGGCAGGGTGTTGGCAGAGGGATGGGGGAGGCTGTGGGAGCGGCCTTTGGCCCCCCCGGGTCAGACAGAGCCAGTTCCAGCCCCCTCCAAAGCTGAGCCCAGCAGCGACGCTGGTGGCACTGCTGTGATAATGGGTTTAAAAAAAAGGGTAAAAAGGCTGTGCAGCAGCTGTGGGAGGAAGGAATAGGGAGGAAATGCATGAGGAACGACGCTGCAGCCAGCCAGGTCAGTGAAGAAGGAGGTGCTGGAGCCAAGACTCCCCTGCAGCCGGGGGAGAAGATCAGTAGGGAGCAGGTTGTCCCCTGGCAGCCCACGGAGAACCAGAGCGGAGCAGATCCCCACCCTGCAGCCCACGGAGGCTCCGGATGCAGAGCAGAGTCAAAGCAAAATCCCGGGTGCCACGTCCCCTCTGCACTGCCTGGCGGGGAGGAGATGCTCGAGCCTGGGAAGGAGGAGGGGTGGCAGGGGAGATCTTTTTAGTTTAGTCTTTGTTTCTCACTGTCATGGTTTAGGCCCGATTGGCAGCCAACCACAATGCAGCAGCTCTCTCTCCCTTCCCCTCCGGCAATGAGAAGGGACAGAGAGCCAGGCTTGGGGTTCGAGATAGGACTGGGATGGGGAAAAATCCCCCTTTTATGATCATGAGCAAAAGGCAGACTCGTTAGGGGAAGGAAAAAAAGAACATACATTTATTACAGACACTAACAACACATAACAGAGTAGGACAGTGAGAAGCATTGCCACATCTTGAGAACACCTTCCCCCACCCCTCCCTTCTTCCCGGGCTCAGCTCTGCTCCCGATATCTCTACCTCCTCCCCCAGGGGCGCAGGGGCAGGGAATGGGGGGTGCAGTCAGTGCTGCCACTTCCTTCATCTTTGGTGAGGGGAGTGTCCGGAACTTGTTCCTCCTGCTCCATCGTGGTCCCCCTCTCACAGGAGACAGTCCTCCACAAACTTTCTCTGACTTGAATTCCTCCCACAGGCCGCAGCGTTTCCCACACTGCTCCGTCATGGGTCACTAACTTCCTCCGACTGGATTCTCTCCCACGGCTGCAGCCCTTCCCGAGCTGCTCCGGCGTGGGACTCCCCCGCATGCTGCAATCCTCCCAGCGCTGAATTACAGCAGCGGGGCTGCCTTTTCCCATGAGACACCGGCCTTCTTCAGGACTAGCACCTTGATCAGGCAGGCGGAAGCCACAGGCCATAAATCAGTGTCTGCTCCACCATAGATCTCCATGGGTGGCAGGGGGGGCCGCCCTGCCGTCTCCCCAGAGGGTACAGGGGGTCTCTGCTCCGGCACACCTCCCCCCTCCTTTCTTCCTCCGTTCCCCCACTGACCTTGGTGTTCATGCAGCTGCAGCAACTCCTCCTCACCAGTCCCACTGCTCGTCACCACGTCCCTTCTTAAATACGTTATCGCAGAGGTGGAGCTGATGGGCTCAATTTCCCAAACAGAAGTGGAGCTGACGTGGAGCTGGGGGAGCTTCGAGAAGCTTCTCACAGGGGGCCGCCCCGATAGCCCCCTCCCCTGCCACCAAAAAACTCCACCACTCACTCAACCCAGGCCACTCACTCTCCTACTCTATTTTCAGTTAGCAGTAAATTAAATGAATCTTCCTCGAGTCAAGCCTGCTTTGACCGTGCCAGTAACGGGCTGAGCAATCTCCCTGTCTTTATCTTGACCCGTGGGCTTTTCCATCTTATTTCCTCCCCTGTCCCGCTGCGGAGGGAGAGCAAGGGGGCGGCTGGGCGGGTGCCTGGCAGCCAGCTGTGGTTAAACTACCCCAGTGTGGGTGGTGTAACCGTGCACAGCTGGAGGCTGCGCTTCCCCAGCTGCTTTCCACCAGCCCTGCTGCTGCCCCCCAGCTCTCCACAGCCAGAAATGTCTGGAAGGTCACTGCTCCCGCCCGGCAGCGCCAGGAGCTGCCCTGTGCCGCAGGGTCCCGCTCCGTGAGCTGCAGCGTGCTCTGCAGGGGTCAAGCCCTCTGTTCCTCAAAGTGGAGACAATAAAAAGCAAAATCCTTGGGTGTGATTTTGCTGCTGACAGCGAACCTAAACCACGGCAGGAATGAGGTCAGCCACACCAAAGGGAGAGGGACTGTGACGTTGTAAAACACCACAGAAGCTGGGGAAGAACGACGCCTGTCACACAGGCCAGTTTCGGAGGGATGGATAGGGTTATCAGCCTGCCTCCTGTGTGTTTTACACCAGTGTGCTCTTCAGTGTCTTCCTGGGGGTCTGTCTGACACACTAGTGTGGTTTCCTTTTATTTAGCTAGTCAGTAATTCCCAAAGTAAGTGCTTATTTAATTTCTGAGGAAAATCAGTAGATTTTATTTTTTCCCCCTAACTCACAGCGTCCCTGTCCTGAACTTGAAAAACCTGAGTCTTTAAATTAATTTATCTGATTTAGACTTGAGTCTTTAAATTGATTGATTAATCTCCGGATGCCTGTGAAGAAGGGAGAGCTCGAGGCCACTGCTTTGCAGTCTCAAAACAGGGCAGAGCAGGGCTGAGCGTGGTCAGCGTGTCCCGTCAGGGTCAGCACAAACATCACCTGGATGCCCGACACCCTCTAACTGTTTCTCCCCATCCTAAGCCTGTCCTAAATCCCACCCTTGGATCCTCGTGGCTGCGTTAGGTTTTGAGCACAGTACGGTTTCCTAAACTCCAGCCGAAAGGCGCGGTTCATAAGGACCCCTGGAAATCCAGCCCACGTCATGGCAGCACCACCTGTGAGTTAAACAGGATTCGCACACCACTAAAGGAAATGATGACCAACATAATTAAAATTTCTTCGGCAAGCAATACAAATTTGCAAAGGATATTGCAAAAAAAATTCACTTTGTTGTATTAACGGAACTTGAAAAATGTTTGACCTTTGTTTTTGCAAACGCTCACAAAAATAGTGGGGTTTTTAGGAAGATGACTTCTGATTCCAGCTTTCCTCTTTCTACGTTTCAAACTCTTGTGGGAAAAAGAACAGGTTTGCTTTCTTGGGTTTGGTCCACTTGGCAATGGAGGCACAACCATCACAGAGCTGTTTTCCTACAGAAAATTCCCCTCCCTGGAGAGGGCTCTGTGCTGGATAGAGAGGACACTAATGAATAACAAAGATTCACTGATGCCACTTGTTGGGAAGGCTGTTACCAAACTGCGTGTGGTCTTCCTTGAAGCCAGGGACAGATTTCAGTGTTTCTGGGCTTGGATTACTTTTCCAGCTCAGTTGGGTTAAACCTGTTTGTGCGGCAGCACTTTTGCAGTGACTTCACCCTGGACGACAGCAACTCCACCGCGGTTAAAGTGTCTCCTTGGGGACAAACGTGGCAACAAACGCGGGGTGGGCCGGACTCACTGAGCGTGCTGACGGCGCCTTGTTTCGCGAACGTACCTTTGCAACCCTGCCTCTTTGGGCCAAGGAACCGTAAGGCCCAAGGGCTAAAGCAGCCCCGTTGCAGCCGGGAGTCTGACGGTGGCTTCTCAGGTTCCAGCAGAGGCTGCCGGAGCGCGGTGGTTTGGTCACCAACCCGAGTCCAACACCCTGTGGTGCCCCAGTGCCGTGGGGGCGTGAAGCCTCTGGGGATCCCACAGCCTCCCCCTGCCAAGTCTCGCTGAGCTGAAATCGCTCTGCAGAGGCTGCAGAATTGCACTGGAGTGCTTTGCTGCTTGAACTGAACGTGCTTCTGGCAGTTCAAGCTAGCCTACCCTCTCAACTGTTAGTTACTAGATGTGTCTCGGTACGGGTGGGGTAAAGGACGTAGGGCAGTCACTCTGACTCCCAGCTTGGTATCAAAACCTGTAGATTATTCTTAATACGGGAAGCCTGATTATTCTCCTTCAAAGCCTGTTGTCCCTCCCTCCCTGGGTGGGGGCCCTACTCGTCTCACATCTCCAGCAAGCAGTCTCTGGAGCGCGGTTTCCACAGGCTTCTTGGTCTGGCTGTTCTCTTCCAGCGTGGTAAGCCAGGTCGATACCGGTACCCAGCGTCTGACCATCGATAGCAGGATCCCTCACGCCGAAAGCGGTTTTCGGATCATCCGCCTTCACCTCTCTGTTCAAAAACAGCTTGGTCCCTGCTATGCGGTGGTATGTGAAAGGAGTATTTACTTAATTGTACCACAGTGAGAATCCACAGCTGTTTGAAATGCAGAGCAGAGGTGTCTTGATATTGTTATCTCTGCCTCTACTAGCACCCCTTTGTTTTTTTCAATACACGTGTCATAAAGACTGCTAAATACTAAATTTCAAACTGAGTGGAAGTTAGGAAATGTTACATTTGTGGTAACCTGGGAAGACCTTAATTTCATTCCACTGGGCATTGTGATATCCTTTGTTACAGAACTGTTGTTTTTCCGTGATAATTCAGTGCCCATGTTGGACAGTACTTAACTTCATGGGCATCTGCCTACCTTCGGTGTCCTCCTCGGTGCTCAGTGCATGGCACCAGACTTTTTTCCTATGCGGCAACTGCCTCTTATTTTGAGGTGGAATTATTTCTCACATTTGCACCTTTAAATCTGCAGTCGTCAGTCCTGTTCGCTCTTCCCACTCCTCAGAACTGGTCTCTGAGGACGTCCAGGATTTTACTGCTATTTCTGGAGAGCTGAGGAGTGTTGAGCCACGAGACTTCAGGTACCGAAGGGGATTATTGGTACAACCAATCCTCTCCACTCACTGTCTGCCATATCCACGTCCTTTGGGCCAGGAGCTGACGCTGTGCAGTGTTAGGCAGAGCAGGGCTCAGCCAGGTTTTGGTATTTACTGCAACGTTCACAGCTGGGGCCCTCCGTAGCGCAGGGGGCCCCTGTGCTGGCCATGCACTCCGGCGTCCACAGCGGGGTTCCCTCTGCACATGCTGCCCTGATCTACTGCCCACGCCAGCCCCTTCCTTCCGGACTTACATTAAATCTCCCAGCTTGTTCTTCAGCTCTCTCAGATACTCCTCCTGCTCCCTGATGTACTGGCTCCTGAGCTTTGCAACAAAAGGTTCAGCGTTCCCCTCCTCATCCTGGAAGAAGTTACAGGTGTGTTAGCATGGAACGTGCGGTCCAGCCTGGCCAGGAGCTGCCTCCCAACGTGCATTAAAATAAATAACTTGGCTATCCTAGAAATGGAATTTCCATGTGAAAAGTGGAAATAAAGTGAAAGACTAGGGAAAAACCCTATTGCAGAAGAGGCACAAGCTTTCAGTGCCATTGTCTGCAGGTGGCCTTCAGGTGTTAGAGCTTGTGGAGGGCACTGCAGCTTTGTTAGTCTGATAAACCTAGTTAGTCTGATAAAACTAATTTAATCCCTAAATTAGGCTTAATCTGAATCAAGAGGAAAACTTAGATAACATCAGCTTACTTCTTCGAATAAGGATACGTAGTCGATGAGGTCTTTAGTGCTGGCCAGCTTGTACCTGCTTGCATCAACTAGCTCTTGGGTTGACTCTTTCCTTTTCAGGGGAAAAGCTTCCCTCAGAGCCATGCTGGATGGAGACAGGCAACACGGACAGAAGTGTGGACGCTAGCACAGTACGAGCGCTCCGTGACAGCCGGTGTGGCTGGCTGGTTTTTAGGCTGCCGGTGTGTGCCTGCATTCCATGGGCCAGCTCTTCAAAAATTCATTGCTTTCATGGGAAACACGCTTCAAGAAGCACATGCACCCTTCCGACACCAAACCAAGGGCGAAGCTTAGGAGCTCAGGACTCAGGTAAGCGTTGGACGCTGAGCCATGTGGGACGCTCTGAATGCAGCCGTAGCGGCTCGCTGGCAGCCCAGCCCGAGTTGGTGGATGTGTCTGTACCGGAGCCGCGCTCCCAGCTAAGTGCTGGAAATGGCTGCTGCTTCTCTTCTGTGCCACGGCCCAAAGAAACACTGCGTTTAGAGTTGCACAGCTGGCTGATGACCTGGGAGAAGACCGACAAAGCTTGCGCCCCTAGCAAAAAGTCCCAGAAATGCTTCGTGACCTTTCGTGGGAGCACCGGGTAGGGTCCCGTGTCCCCTCAGGCAGCATGGCAGGGTGCAGGGGCTGCCAGCCTGTCCCCCTGCACGTGTGAAGCACCCCGCGTCTGCTCTCAGGCCTCTCCAATTGCCCTACTCAAAACCCACAGTATTCACACTGTTCTGAACTTAAAGCAGAGGTTAACAAGTATAGGCTTGCTACAGCTGTCCGCACAGAAATTTAAAAGAGAGAAAAAACCTCCTCCCTTGGCTGTGCTGGCCGATAAGCAAAGCAGAGGCTCAGCAGATCACAACATCTGCTGTGTGCCAGACATGGGCAGTGCTCGACAGGCAGCAGTGGGCCTCTTGCCTGAACTGCTTGGTGGTCAGGGATCCGCTGTTTGAGCTGTCGCAGGCAGCCAGCTCCTTTTGCAGGTTGGAAATCAGCTGATTCTGGCGATGGTACTGTTCTTCACTCACCTGTGAAACAGGTCAGTAACCACCCCATCTGTCCCTTGGACCGCCTCCAAGAGGGAAGCAAATCTGCAAAAGGATTGTGTTCGCTTCTAAAGCAACTTTTAGCTTTTAGCAATTTACAGATCATCAAGCCAGCAACACAGTGGCTTGCGGGGCGGCCGTTCGCAGCGGCTTCTTGTTGAACAACCTGTTTAAGCTGTTAAACCCTCAGGTGCAGTTGCACACGTGCACACCTGGGATCTGCCAGGATGGTAGCAGCCTCCCTGCCCGGGTGGTGGCACTTAGTCCCAGCCACTTTTCCGTTTCCAAGCAAGACATAAGTAGGGCAAATATCAGAGGACCTTGGGGTGGGGGGCTACACGTCTTTGTGTTACAGGAGGTGGAAAGATGTGGCCAGGCAGCTGGAGCTCTCCAGCTCTGACGCGGCGCTGGGGCGTGGGGAGCAAGGCTGCCAGGGCCTGCACAGTGCTGCAGTTCAGAGACTGTCCCCTGAGCTTCACAAACACTGCCCAGGGACAGACCAGGAGCTGTTTCAGGACAGAACTACTGAAAGAACGAGGCAACGTATGTAAAGAAACCTCTCCTTGGGGAGAACAGATATGATGTGACTAAAGTGTTTGAAAAAAATGGGGCGTTCTAGAAGCTCTGTTGGGAGCAGTAAGAGCCTGCCACGTCTTACACGGACAGCATTCCCTTCTCTAGTGTGTGGCAGTGATTACTTTTATTTCATGAGAAGGTGCAGCTTCCCAGGGGGAGGAATGGGAGGTGAAGCTGCTTCTTGGAGAAACACTTGCCTTGCCTGCTGCCCGTCACACCAAGGGTGTGTGGGCAGAGGTGGGGCATTGGGCTGCGGGTCGCCTACCTTCCCCCTGAGTATGGTGTAGAAGGAGCTCAGGATGTGGCTCGATCGACAGAGTCGCATGTTCTCGTAGAGGGTGTAAGACCACTGGGAAGCAGCGTCTCTGTACTTCTTCTGGAGGTAGCCGAGAAAGAACTCAGGAAGACTGAATCGCTTCCCTGTTTGCAGATAATAAGTGAGTAACTCCCATAAGCAGCAGAAGTAAATCAAATCTGCCCATCTGATTCTAGCTCCTCGTGCGTAGACATCTGCCTTTCGGGGATCTCGCATAGTGCTAGTGCTGGCTGGTCTTGCCTGTTATGAGGTCGTTCAAAATGTTTCTCCCAGGTTTGCTCTCTAACTGGGGGTAAGTTCACAATGAACCTCTTCTGTTGCTGAGACCACGGATCAAGTCTCTTTTCTCCTACCTCTTTTAGTGAAGTAGGTAGGAACTTGCTACCTGTGAGGCGCTACCCCTCTGTCAGAGTTAGCTGAGCTTGGCTCCTGGCTTGGGAAATGGAAGCAGAGTAAAAGTTGGGGAAAAGTAGAGCCGGACCGTGATTGCAGCAACTCTATTTCCCCAGGAAATCAAGTTGAAAGTAAAAGACGGCTGCCATAGAAAACATTAAGCCACTTAGAGCTGATTTCAGAGATGTTTCTAGGCTTCTAGCTCAAGAGAAGAAATCTGTAAAGTGACTCTGCCTCTCTCAAGGTTGATCTCCTATGACTGAGGCACGGTAACAGGCCTTGTCCAGTGTCTGGGGAGATGGTATCATACTCGTCCCTAACAGGAGAAGAGTTAAACAGCCACTTTTATTCTCTTTTTGAGTCTTGTATCACCCCAGACAGGCAACCCGTAATTTCTGCTTTGGCAGAGAACACCACCATACCCATTGGGCCTCCAGTTGTCACTCCCAACCCACTCTGGACAAAGAAGGGGAATTTTTTTTTTTTTTTTTTTTTTTTTTGTGTAACAAAACCAAAGCACTTTTATATTAATTTATTAATATAAATTATTTTTTGCCTCCGCTGCTCGTTTTTCCTGCAGTGCCACATGTTACTCTCCCATCGGCACAAACACTATGGAGCTGATAACTGACTGGCATGGGTTCAAATCAGCCCAGCAATAAAACCCTGGCCTCCCTTTGGCTGCACGGATGTCGCCAAGGTTGCCACCAGCCCAGGACAGATGCTGCACAGTCACGATGGCACGGCAGCCTACCGAGCACCATCACAGCCCAGAATGGCAGCGGTCGGTCTAGCCGAGGTCTCCGACCCATGAGTGTGGCTGATTTAGCTCAGGGGGAGAGCAGAGGTTCCTCCCCTGGGCACCCTGCCCTGCGGAGGAGTCTTCACTGACAGCTCAGCTCCTCTTGCAGCTGGAGCTGGACCACTGGAGTTTACAGCCCCGGACATCGAAGCAAACAGTGCTGGCTGCTGGTTCCCTGAATCCGCCTGCTGCTTCGTGAGCGCTCTGCTGTCCCGGGAGCAGGAGCTGCCGAAGCTCTTAACCCTGGGATGGAGCTACTCCAGTTATCCCCGTGACACTCCCCTAACTCGTGAGTCAGACCCCTGGGGAGCACTGGCAGGCACAGGGTTACTGCCAGCTCTGGCAGTTCGCTCTCACAGGGTTTCATGCAGCTCAGTCCAGATGAAACACCAGGCAGGACATGGGCGAGTCCCCGGCTTCCCAAACTGGACTGACTGTTGTAGCTGTTTGTGGAGAAGGAAAATGGGACAAACCTGCTGTTCTAGTGCAATTTTCTCCTTCCAGACATCCTTTAGGATGTTCACCACATTCTTCTTAGTCAGCTTTTTGTTCTTGACTTCACCTTCATGCCTCAGGTACACAGGAACGTTGGTACCTTTGCCCTAAGTAATGGAAAAGAAACACGGATATAGGTAAGGCATTCACCTCAGCAGCAGCAATGCAGCATTACAGCCATGTTCTCACCATCTAAAGCCATTCAAATGAGTCATTTGTGTGGGTCTCATTCCCAGTATTATAAAACACATCTGACAGCATCTCTGCAGCGTGTCTCAAGTGCTCCAGGGTGGACAAAATGGGACCACGTGTGAGGTTCTGTCCAGAAAAAATAGAAGAGGAAAGATCTTCCTTGGAAGTATCTTCCAGGAACGGCAGGGCAAACAGTTCAAGCGTCTGGAAAGGCTGAGGAAGAGATGTCGAAGGACAAAAGAAATGCTACTCTCTCCCTGAGAAAATCTTTGGATACAGTTGTGGTTTGTAAGATGTGATCATTGTAATTTTTACAATTTTACAATCCTTGTAAAATTTCCTTGTCCCCGAATCATTTCCTGATTCTCCCACGTGCTGGGGTGCAGTGCAATGAGACACTGTGACTTGAATTAACTTCCTGATGCCACAGAAAGCAGTCATTCCCTACTATGTAGTCTTGCTACTTAGTCATTCTAGTGCTTTTGTCCGAGTTCATCTCATCAGCAGAGAACCAACCCGGGAAAAAATGAACACTGCTCTGCTGGACACTTCCCTGTCGCTGCAGGCAGTACCAGGGGGTAGGGAACGGGCAGAAGGAGAAGGTTTTTCAGCAGCAGGAAGCTGTGAACTTGTCTCAGCCGTAGAGCGCAGCGTTAGTAAGGGGCTCTAGCCCCTGCCTGCGTGTCTGATGATTCAAGGTAAAGTGTGGCTACTTCAGCTGTGTCTTCAGTATGCCCACACTCAGTTTCAGCTTTTCTATTGCAGCTCAGTCTTCCTAGCTTTCAAGTTTTCAGCGGTTGCACCAATGGGAAGGTGAACGGTGAAGGCACCAGCCATGAAAGCAATTCTCCCACCTTTCTAATGGATTTTTATTGCCAATTAATCTCAGTGGAAACAAGCAGAGAAGAAATTTTACACCTACCCGCCCGGGGAAGACATTTATCTCCTTTAGCAGTCCTGTTCCTATTTCTTCCAGAAGCACATCCACTAGCTGATCACTAGTTTTCCCTGCAGCCAGACAGCCCCACCGGTCAGCTCCACCAGGAATCACCTCTGCAACAGCAAAACCACGCTGAGCTGCTAGGAGAGGAGAATGTGCTCACACATACTGGTTTTGTGTGAATCCCAGTAGAAGCCTTATGATAGATACAGATCTCTAAGACATCTAGTCTGTCTCCTAAGATGTCTCAGGCAAAATGAAATACCCTGCAAGCTCCTCTCTCTCAGGCCACTCCTAAAAGCCTTGGGGGAATGGGGCACTGCAGGTAAAGAAACACACCATAGCGAAGTATTTAAAGATGAGCTGCCTTAAGCAAACCACTGCTGAATACATTTGGCACCTGAACACTTTGCCCAGTTGGGCCGGGGCGTGCAGTTGTGCCGAACGCGCTGGAGTTCAGCGCAGAAGTTGTCTCACTCTTCGGCAGTCTCTCTGTGAACGTCCAGCAGTGTTTCATGTTCCCTACGGAGCCGATCGAAATCCTTCTGCAGAGTCTTCATCTGAAGGATACAGAAAGGAGGATTGTAACAAACTAACCAGAGTAACAGAAATTTTCTGTTGTTTTCAGACAGCTCGTTATAGTCCATGGACTTAGGGAGACCTGTCCTTGGCTAATTGATTCTAGATCGGAAGAAAAATAAATAATTTATTAAATTTTGTTGTTACCCTCTACACAGACTTCTGGCAAAACCTCTCAGTGACCCTTTTATACCTGTTTTTGTGATTAAATCTTAATCTTAAATCTTCATCCACAAGGAGAGCGTAAGAGAAAAATAGGCTTCTGTCCTAGAAATGTTTACATGAAATAGATGATACACTTCAGATACGCTATACTTCATTTAGAAAGTGTTTCTTTTTTATGTGGTTTATTTTTGCTCTACTGCTACAGCGGTACACAGCTCTAGTCTGGGTTTGTGGGCTGTGTCTGTATTTATTACGCCACGATGCAGGGACACGAGCAGCGAATCCAGCTGTGCTGATGGTCAGGGCTGGAATGAAGCTGCCAACGGCCCAAATGTATCTGGAACAGCCCAGCACTGCTTTTCTGAAGCACACATACAGGTAGTGCATTTTTGCCTTGATGGAGATTTTCATCCATCCATCCATCCATCCCTCCCGACAGCTGTGCACTGTGTGGTGGGATGCAGTCTGTTCTGTTTTTCATCCTCCTCGAGACCAGGTCACTGCCGTTCTGGCACCCTGGGGTTGGAAGTGGACCCCATCCTAACTGCTGGTGTGTGCCGTCCCTTTGGTGCCTTGCATGTGACACGGCTTCGCTCCTGTGCACCTCCAGGGCAAGCTAAGCAGTCAAACATTTATTCTGAAAAGGCAGCAGATGGATATCTAGACCGAAGGCAGCATGAGGAACCTAGTCCAGTTCTTCCACAGCTGGGAGATGCACTGATCAGCTCCGTAGTGGGGAACCTTGGAGATCCAATAAGCTAAAGAAGCCATTTAATACTACATGAAAAGGCAAAACCCCAGCGAGGCAGATAAGCATTAGTAGGCCAGCAGCAGTTTCGGTTAGCTGTGGTTTGGACAGAACAGTGTGATGTCTGTGAAGTGACCCTAGTTCATTTCTTTATATGCATGATGGATTCAGACAGGAGCTCCCAAGCTGCAATCTGTGGGCTCCTGGCGGTCCGTGGGCCATCATTGCTGTTATGGTATTAACTCAGTTAAACCCGGTGCTAAGGGTTTGTGATGGTACACTAATTTTGAGTGCTCAGGCAGTCTGTGATTCCAATAGACAGGGAGCTTTGGGGATTAGAAGACAGTGGCTTTTCATGTATTTCATGTACAAAGAACAAGGAAATTCCCTTCTGTGAGCTCTAGGTTTACCGAGTCCCTATCCCAACCTGAATACCGAAGCATCATGTTCTGTTTGTGTTTATGTGGTATAGCTTGAAACTTAGGAGCTGATGCTCACCTCCTGAAGTAAACCAGAGTATTTTTTTTCTAGTGAGTCAAAATCTCTTCTGGGCACAACATCTCCATAATCTGCTATCATTGCATCCATCTTCAGCTGGGCTTTTGTGAGGTCCTGACGAGCTATCTTTAATGCCAGAGTTAACTTCACCACATCTTCACCCTTGACGTCTTTAAACAACAGCCATTGATGAAAGCCCATGACGGGAAAATTGCAGTCATAGTTTTCTAAATCATCTATTAAGCTTTTAAACCCTACGAAGTGTCAGCAAGAGCTGAATGGGCGTAAACTTATTAAAGAACTGTACGTCCAGGAGCATATTATTGCAGTGTTCACACTCCCACTCACTGTCCTGCCTCCTCTCCCATGCACGCTTACACGTTCAAAGGCGCAGGCTTGGTTTTGGTTAGCAGAAAGGATCACAGGTGGGGAGAGCCTTCTGCAGATGCAGTGGCTACAGCCAGCGAGTAAGAGGCTGCGAGTGCCTGTAACCCAACTGGGTCAACAGGGACCATGTACCGAAAGGGTCCCTACCACCATGAGTTACCTCTGTGCCAGGATTTTGTGGCACCTGAACTGTGGACAGGCACAAAGCTGCCATCTGTGGCTGGGTAAAGTGCTGACATTTGGCACTGGAGTAAAAAAAAAATTAAGGAACTTTTGCATTGGGCAGCTCCTGCCTTCAATTTACCTGTTGTGCTAAGCAAGAGCGTACAAAAATAAAAGCGATGACTTAGTGAATCAGATCAGACTAGTAGGTACCTCCCTGCCTATTCCATTTCCTGCCTGTTTATGGACTTTTTGCCCATGAATTTGTCTAACTTCTTTCGAGAATCAAAGCCTATCTGAAGACATTTCAGCGATATTCTGAACTTTCCATGCAATGTCGCACCCATGCGTGTGCCTGTGGATCTCTGTGCAGGACGAGTTCTTGCAGAGATCCACTCTCCCTACCTTGGACTTGGTGACGTGCCTTGTCCAGCTGTTCGTTACACAGATCATTCACTTTTGCTAGAAGCAGTTTGCGGGCAACGTGCTCGTTGAGATAGCAAGTATACTCCTCAGCTACGCTTGTTCGCAGATGCTCCACCTGCAGGAAACAGAGGCCTGAACTGATCGGGAAGCGCAGCATCAGTGGGAATTCTTGGACTGGTTTGGTGGGTCTAGAGCAGAAACCAAGGAGCAGAGAGTGGGAGAAGGGAAGCAAAATGGGAAAAACTGGAGCCGGAGAGTGGACAAGAGATAACACTGTAGAAAAGGATGGACCCGATGGAAATATGACAGAAAAGTTCAAACTCAGATGTAGTGTGCTAAAGAGTGCTCCATCTGAGTGTTTAGCCCTTTAGAGAGTGCATTATATACATTTAATCATCTGAGTTACACCATTTCTCTTTTGTAAGCCTGTATCTAGAAAACCTTCCAGCCACTTATTCTGTCCCTGTTGCCGGTCACATGGGAGAAAAAAAGGCTGCTACTCTCACCAATTTGCTCCACTGGAACTGGTGACAGGGATGTATGGCAGTATGGGATTGTACTTGTGTTGCATTTAAAAGTTTTTTGTTGTAATTTTTAATTTTAATTGCATTTCAAATTCGAGGCAAAGTAAAACTATCAGAAATCTGGAAGCCTAAGAACTGCTGACCTGGCTTAAACCACGACATGGGATTATGTGTAAGACCACAGTTTATTCCCACGACGTGCATTTCATTACATGATCACGTCCTGTCACTGCCCACACCCGCCTAACCTGATACTTAGGGAATGAATCAAGATGGTGTTTTACTTGCTGCTCAGAAGACAGCTAGTGCCTCGGGCAACTCTGACTATTCTGAAGAGAATTCTGAGTTCTGTTAGTCTCATAAAAATACAAGCCCTCTGTAGCAAAGCTGTTTTGCCTGTGTCCCTACACCACCATAGCCACAACCACGCTACCACCAGCAGACAGGTCAGGAGCTTGGATGGATCTTTCCAAGGAATTTTTGAATATCTAACCATGCCACAGTATTTGAATGTTGTCTCAAAAATGGAATTCCGATTTTAGCAGAAGTATTTTTCCTAACCTCCTTCACCCAAATTACAAAACTTAAATAGCTCAAACTAGAATTTGGATTTGGGGATCTCTTCTTAGCTAAGGCAAGTATAACTTTGCATAAATTCTTGGTTGCTCCTTCCAGAGATGGTTCTCTATCTATGGCTCTGCGGAGCACTGAGGCCTGTGAATACCAACAAGTGGAAGTGGATAGTTCTAAGTCTGAAAATGAAATATTTATGACCATTTTGGTCTAGCTGGTGGAACCAAAGCCTCTAAGGTTCACCAAGTGCTAGCTAGATGAGTAAGGAGCCTACATAGCCTGTCCTGAAGCTTATTCTTCTTCACCTCTGCCACTTAAATTTAGTACTTAAACTACTGGATGAAGACAAATTGAGGTAGAGTTCCTCATGCTGTCATCAGACCTCTGACTACAGCAGAATTGCTGTGCAACAAGGACAATTTGTTTCTTCCTCCTGCTCATTTTTCACCAGGATGATGGTACAAACCTGAAACAGGCTGCCCAGGCAGGTGGAGGATCACCATCCTGGGAGGATCTCCAAAACTCAGCCAGACAAGCTCATGGCTGATCCGATGTCACATAGGCGATAGTCCTGCTTCATGTGGGAGGTTGGGCTGGTCACTCTAGATATTCCTTCCAACCAACACTTGTTTGATACTTCCTGAATTAGCTGCAGTAGCTTATCAGGGCCCCAGGAACCTTAACGGTCTGGATCAGCCTGAGCTGGACCCACACTCCATCTGCCCACAGCCAAGGAGCTCTGTTTAAACTCAGGCGGAGGCTTTTGGTCTTTGTTGAGCTATGTTGCAGGCGTATGTGCCTCCAGTCCTGTTTCTGTATCCTAACTGGACCTTGGACTGATGTTGTCGGTAGCTCTTCTCCTGGATGGACCCCTTTGGCTGGCTGTTGCAGTTTTGTCTTCAGTCCTGACCCCGGCCCTATCTCCTGCTGCTCCTGAGGGCTTCCTCCCTGCCACCATCAACGGACCCCCGGCTCAACTGCCTCATCGTGAACTGCTGAGGATGACTGCTACCAGCACCTTGCCTCCTGGTGCTGTGAGGCTGTGCCCTGGTCAGCAGGGCTCTGGCTGCCCTGCGGTCACCCTCAGCACCTGGCTTGGCCTTCCTCATTGCAGCAGCCCTGCTCTTGTTGCTCTCCAAGTAGTATCGTTCCAGCCTGAATAGCTGAAACTGTTCGAGAGCTGTGTAAAGTGGTAATGTAAATTGGAAAGACTTAACTAATCTTGCCTGCAGATATCAATGTGACTGCACCGGCAGTAAGATGAATGATGCACATTTAAAGATGCTGAGATACAACGGTGTTGCCAAAGAGTGCACATACTTTTACATTAAGAACATAAAGCATTAGTACCAGGAAGGTATTTATTTCCTCCCCCTCTTCAAATGTGACACTGGAAGAGCCAGATGGGACAGCTGATACAAGTGGAGACTTCTGACAGCGGCAGCACAGCCTGTCCCAACAGAACAGGATATTCTCTGGAGTTGGCCAAGATCCAGCAGCACTACTGTGCCAGACATTCAGTGCCTGCTCCAGAACTTCCAGTGCCACCAACGGATGAGAGGCTGGGAGGTAAGAGATCAGATGTACAAAATGCATCCAACTGCAGCTGGAAAACATTTGACTCATTGTTGTCTACTTTACCTGAGTCTGAAGAGACTTTTTTCTTCCTTTATGTTGTCAATGAACTTTAACAAATGTTGTTTCTCTTGCTTCAACATATTTATTTCATCTTTCTCCTTTGCCTGCAGTGCCAGTATCTGCTGGGAGCACTCCTCAGAGACAGTTGTGACCATAGCCTTCAGGGGCTCTAGGGCACGAATTGTCTTCTTCTGATGAGCTAAAGAAAGCAGAGGTGGGGGTCTCACAATGAGCAACCAAGCCTGAATTTCACTCAGCTGGGCTGTTGGATATTCAGTGCCAAAACAGTGCTGGTGGGAAGCGGGACTGAACATGGAGCTTTTACTGCTTGGCCTGGTGAGTTGCCTAAGGACTGGGAGGAATATCTGCTGGGATTATAGCCTTTTGTTTATCCAGCTGTGCATATGGACTTCATAAGATTTCAGTTCATGCTATTTATCCTGGTTTGGAAAACAAAGGATGAACAGTATTTTATTTTATTTTCTTGAACACTGATGGCTTCATCATGTTTCACTAGGTGGGAAGATGTCATCCTTTAAGCACAGCCAGCTTATGGGGCTAAAGACAGCTGGTAATTAACAATATATCCTTTTTTGTGAAGGCAAATTTTTCATGAACTTTGATCTGCTTTCTTGTCTCCAAATGCATGGTCTCATGCAACCCTTTGTATACAAATTTGTTGTCTACCCACTCTCCTCTCTTTTCAGGTATGCCTTGACCCTCTCTTCTTTTGCCTTTCTCTTCAGTACATTTCATACAGAACTCGTGCTCTTCTTGGCTTTCTCTCCTGTAATGTGTGCTTTTCACTCCCAGTTATTTCCAATTTGACTTGAAAATTTTTCTAAAAGATATTTACCTGGGGAACCCAGTGACACTACTTGACCCGGGTCCCACATCCTAGTTACAGTTACATGGTAGAACTTGGTCTGTTGTCACCTCCTTGGTGTGGAGGCTTGTTTTTATGACTAGATGGAATTCCACCAGGAGAATAAAATGACCAAAGACAGGATATGGTGTGATTCAAATGAGGCTGTGAGCAAGCCTCATTTTGTTTGTGAATAACTGCATTATTCAGCAACCAAAACTCCCTTGCTGGAACAGAGGGATAGAAATGCTGGTGGATGCTGAATAATCTGATTTGAAGGTATTTTTCCTCCTCAGTAAAATCTGGTATTAGTATTTAGGTACAAATACTATGCAACAAATCTTGCATTTTAAAAGTTAAAAGGCATACATAAATTAAGAACAGGAACTACTTTTCTTATTATACTTGGGTGTGAATTTCCTTCCCACGCTATAATTGTACCAAAGGTTTTGCAAAACTCTTTCACTACAGTACTTGTATCAGGGCAAGAGACGGCAAAAATGAGAGCATTTAGCACAGGGATTCTGACACTAGACTGTTTGGTAGCTCAGTGTGATCATGTTAAAACCTCAGCAAACTTGTTTCAAGGTGTAGTTTGAGTGTTTCTCAACTGACTCCTGACCACAAGCAAACCCCTTTTAAATTAAGCGCAACAGTATTTTTAATTGTAGTTGGCTAATATATCAGAAGTTAGAGCACAACTCGTTGGCTGCCAAAGTGATTATTTTCTAGTGTGGACACCAGCCAGTGACATCTGAGAACATTATCTCTCTGATGACCACTCATAACTCTCCCCATGCCAAGAATTGACAGACATTCTCCCACTTGGAAAGAATTCAAGCTGGGGTGCAGCTCATTGCACATCCAGAATTGCTGGATGGACCCAGAAGTCTTAGGAGTCCATGTGGAGGCCCTGTGGGCATAGCAACCTGAGTATTATTTTAATCAAGAAACGGATTCACCTGTGGACAACATCACTCCGAAGTGAAGACCTACCCTGTCACTGAGCTTTGTCTTAGAGGAGCTCCTAGCAACATAACCTTTGTCTTGGATCAAGCTCACAGTTGTAGGGATTTGATGGCTCTCTCCTCCACGATGGTATTTTCCATATTCTGCTTAGTACTTTCACATTCATGTGAATTTACTCCAGAAACAATGCCACGCAGCCTCAGTGCTGGCTCAGCACAGCCTTATCACCCGAAGGAGCTATAGTTGTATGCCCAGCTCTGGCAGAAGATGAATAGTTGCAAGCAGCCAGTACAGGCTGCACATCCCTGTACCCATCAGAGGCAGCCACCTTCTTTTTATTTTTAATTTTTTTAAAACCAGATTATTCTGATTGAACTGGGAACATGTTGTAATGCTACCAGATTTAAGGGGAGAACCCGCCCTGGCAGTGGGTGCAGCGGTGAGCACCTTAAAAGTCATATAGGCTAAGCTCAGTACACAATACATGACTAGGGCAGAAAAAAACAGAGTAAGACAAAGCTGCTAAATCAGACTACAAAGATAATAGCCAGTTGTCTGAGAAATACGATGTTCTGCTTTAGAGGAGGTTTAGTTTAGTTTCAGTTTCAAAGGAATCTGAAATGCTACAGATAGAGTGTGCGTTTTAGGTGGAGTGATGAGACATCTCTCTAAGCAAACTGTCCCATTTATCAGCTCCAACGCTTCACCTTAAGACTCCAAGCACTGTAGTGAGGGATTATAAACAGAATATAAAATTCTAATGTTAGGAGCCCTCAGAATGGCCACTTCTCACAGATTTTAAAGAATTTTTGTTAAGCACAGTCAGACATAATTGAAGAATAAAGATAAATACAGAAGAGCGCAGTTCTACAAATCAGTAAATTTCCTTCCTTTGCTCTTGTACTGTTTCTGCTCTCAGACATTTGATTTTTTTCTCTTCCCTAGCACTGACACTTTCCTGAGCAATTCAGCTCATTAAACCAACAGGAAACTGCAGCTCTAGGTGAGAGAAGGCCAAAACTATTTCTCTTGTTTAGAGCAAAGAACTTGTTTATAGTAGAATCCTAGTTGGTCAGCATGTTCTATTCATACTATTTTCTTCACTTGCATAGTTTAGTCAACTGCTAGGCAGAATTAATAACAAGATTTGAAATATGCAACTTCTCCCTGAGAAAATTGAAGTAGACTTTGAGATGGTTCGTTAAGCTTCCTGAGGACCCCTGATAACGAGGGCCCAAGATGCCAGTGTCAAAATAAGTACCTGGGAATTAGTTTACACTGACCTTCTTTGGAGCATCCCAGGGCCAAAGAATGGATGAGCTAACTCCAGGATCATATATGAGCAAAGGAAACCCAAAGTTCAATCAGTGGACACTGTGAGGAAGACTCTGAACGACCACCAGAGGGGGAAAAGACCCTAACCCCAATTTTATCACGCATGCTCAGACTCTGTAGATAAGTTCTAGGAAATCTTATGTATATGTAGATTAGTTCTCAGAAATCCACTGAATATGTATAACCTCGCAGCGTATATTCTCTGTGATTTTACCTGTCCATTGGAGCACTCGTGGTGGAGGGATCCCCAGCGCCGCTAATAAAGAATACCTGCTTAACAGTTATATTGGATTCTAATTGTTGAATGAATTTCTGTGTTTTGTTGGTCTTTGTTTTTCCTGCTGGATGAGTTGACTCAGCTCATGGAGGTGTCCACCGAGTTGCAGAGCTGGTGTGTTCTAAGCAGTGAGAGTGCACCATCAGGACTGGGGATCTGGGACCTTCTTCTTTCTGTGACCATGAGTGGTGGGATTACATAAAATTGCTTCCTTGGCCTGGCAGGTAAGCTGTTGTCTGTGCTAGGCAGGGAGAAAGAGGCCAGGAAATCACTTCCTGATAACCCCACCCAGCTAAAAGAGGATGGATGTCATGCAGGTCTCATTAGCAAGGTAAAATCTGTAATTAAGAAAATGAGTCCTCAATGTACAGAAAGGTGGAAGAATCCCAATCCCAATTTAAAAAGAAAAATAAATCCATTTGTTTTATTCTTAGAGCTTCGAGTACACTTGCTACCATGGCACGTTGGTTCCATGGTATTTAGTTGATTTCCAAAAATAAAGCTATCATAAAAGATATGTTTTGCTCTGTAGTCTCCAGAAACTTCAGAGAAAAAAAGGGAGATATCACATCCAAGCAATATGGAAGAGTCAGTAAATGAATGCTTAAAAAAAACCCCAAAAGCTTCAGAAAGCAGTACAATATCAGCTACAGCGTGGACACCAGTAATTTCTCTGAGAGCTGAAGCAAATAAATGTCTACTAAAGAGTTCTGGAAGGAAACAGGATTTAAAAAAATGTTTTTATATAATGATTAAAATTTACTTATTCACCTGGTTGAAAGATACTGCGCGAAGAAAGATTTTTGCCTATAATAAGGGACTATGATTAGGTAAGCTGGATAACGTGTGCTGGGATAAACAATATATACCTTTTAAGAGACTGTTCCAATAGAAAACTGTTGACATTTGATAGCTGCTCAGCACCCAGTGTGAAACGAGCTCCTAGTTACAGTCTATTTCTAGCTCTCTGTGATTGTTTACAAGGTACTGGTATCACTGTGGCATCTGAATGCCAAGCAAAGTTTAAAGCACACTAAGAATGGCCAGGGAACAGCCAGTTCAGTTCTCTGCCCTGCCTTGCTTCAGGAATCATTCAAGCTTCAAGTTACCAGTGCAAGTGCATCCACTATAAATGTGATTGTCCCAGAAAAACCTTGCAACACTGCTGCTGCCTGAACTGTGTATCTGAAGACTTTAAAAATCTTCAAGTCTTAAATCTAAATATAAAAATTTAAAATGTTATAGGAAAAAAAAGACTTCATTTATGTATGAAGGAAATAGACCTAACAGACCAGAAAGATGGTTTTACCAGTTGACATCTACTCAGGCTGTTCATCCTATGTATGTATCTGACACAACTAAGCTCTGTAAGAACATGCCTCCATTGGTGCTTTTTCCTCACAGGTCAAAGTCCAAGAGCTTACCCAAGGTAACTTCATATTCATTCTTTATAGCTGACAGCAAGGGCTTGTAGGTCTTGAAGTCATCTATGAAGAATTCAAAGATCTCTCTATAGGGCTGAGAGAAGAAAGACAGCTTGAGAAAACATTCAGTGGCACATTTTCCAGAATTCAGAGATAGCTGTCTTGTCCAACACAAATGGCATTTAACGACAGTGAGAATAAGTAGAAAAATACTGCTACCACATTTTATTTTGTATGTCTATCTTTGGTTCACCATTCCAAGTACATCATATGAAGGTGGAGTTTTCCCCCCTGTTGATACATACCACGGCATGATAGAGAGCAAACAAAGATTTTAGCGGCCAAAGAGAAGCTTTGATCAAGTCTGACAGCTCCAAAATATGGTACTGCCCAGATGGAGCTGACTAGAACTCGTGAACGTAACAATATGGATCTTAAAGATATGTAACAAGATCATATTGCTGCTTTTGTTGCCTATTTTGTTAAGTTAAATGGCACACACTGCAGAGCAGAGAGAGTCTCTCTGCAGATGTCCTTCTCAGCAGAATAAAACTTGTTCAGAGAGGATAATCAAACTCCCATGGTGTACCCGGGGCCACAGGAAGACTTCACTAGCAATAAGAAATGTTCTCACTGAGTGTACCTCACTATTAAATAAAATAAAACAAAACATGTCATATAAGACAGTAAAAAATATTTCCAAAACACATTTATGAGACCTCTATTTTCTCTTGCCATTAGTCACTCTTTCTTTCCCTCCATTCTCTTCTATCTACTGCTTTCTTTTCCTATCACTGCAGGATTCCTTCAGGAAAGAGAATTTTAATTAATTAGTGCAGAGAAAATAAATTCCAAATTTCCCATGGTCTGCATAAATGCTCTAATTGCAGGCTATTACAAAAACAGGAGTAGCCACTCTTCCTCTATCTGTGTTTTAAATTAACGTGATTGTTCTCAACATCTCCATGAGGCGTGTCCTCAAATACTCACAACAAACCCCTCAGGATCAGACCCATTAGAAACTAAGAATTTTGGGGAGCCTGATTAGGCTCAGACAAGATCTAGATGTGAAAGCCACTTCACGTCACATGCAGAAACCTAACTTCAGAAATGAGAGGTTTTGCAGTGACAACTTGGGAACCTACACCCTTGCTGTTTTATAAGTTTAGACAGGATTCTTCAGGACTTTAGCGTGTAAATTCTGTTTCACATTTACTTTAGATTATCATGTCTTTTTGAAGACTTGGGCTTCAATTTGAGAATGGAAACTGTTATAGAAGATGCAGAGTACACAAGATGATGTGAACAACTCAACAACATATAAATAAATTGCTTTCTGTGCAAGTTCTCTAACGTGAGCTGCGAGCCCACTTATCCAATACGACCCACAGGTGCCTACTCTTCTGATCTACTTTTTCCTTCGGATGGCAAACTTAAGTAATTCATCTCAGCACTTAGTTTCAAGTCAAGAGAACCTTGTATCAGACCTGTAACTTCAGTTCCTGGGAGCTCTTTTTAGCCAGATCAAGAGACTGCAGCTCTTTCCTTAAGTAGGACTCCAGTTGCTCCAAGTATCGTGGCTTTGGAATGGTGACAAGGGCCTGTTTATTGCTGCAGAGACACGGGAAAAGAATGGATGTATGGACTTACGTGTGTCATATATTCTTATGTAAGAATGAACTCATAATAAATCAGCTCAAGGGTCTTGGTTTTCTTCCTACTGCCCACTGCTTCACAGCAGGACTTTTTTTTTTTTTTTTTTTTTTTACCGTAGTAGATATATTCTCTCAAAGCATTCAATGGATGATTTAAATTTCCTTGATGGAGCAGGAATCTATTCAAGATATTCTGCTATTACTATTCTTCAGTTTAAGAACTTCATAATGCTTTTTGGTACAAAAAGCCAGGTGAGTGGGTTCTGTGTGTCAGAAAAGAATAAATACTAAATATGTTTTTTGAAATGGGTCAAGGAAAACAGTCATTTGAAAAAAAGAACCCATAACATAGTACATCTCCTGAGGTTCTAGGTTCCTCAGCAGGTTCTAGGCCAAACGTCCCTTTGTTGCATGTTATCATCCATATTTCATATTAAAACCAGCTAGAATTAAAAAGCCCAGCTATCCTTATTATACCATCCACACGTGCGTCCTGCAGTCTGTCAGAGCCCTGAGTGCACCCACAAGATCTGCAACCTCTTCCCCTACCCCTGGGGGTTTGGGTGCCTGTGTTCAAGGGGAGCTGGGACCCCACAGGGTGACAGCAAGAAAACCAGGGCGAGTGACCTGCCCAGCAGTGCACAGTGCCAAAGGACCTGAACAGGAATAGCAGAGCAGGACCCTTAATGGGTCATCCACAGTTCAGTGATGGTCAGGCAAGCCCACAACGATGCGGTAGGTCCGATGTCAAGCCCGGGTGTCAAGTCAGCAGGCTGGGGTCAGTGAGTTGCAAGGCAGATGTGGCTACAGCATAGCTCCGGCAAGAACCAAAGGTGAGTGATCCCAGGGGATGACTCCTTGCATCTCTTTCTCACACAGCTCTTCTCACAGCACCTGATCCCAGGTTATCCAGCTCTGCCATGCCAAAACTGGTCTTGAGACCAGGCACCCAAACACCTAAGACTGGAGAAGAGCTTGCAGAGCCTGTTGGTGCACTCGGGGCCCTGACAGGATCCTATATAATGTCAGTCAGTGAATCATTAAACGATAGCATTTTATGGTAATGTTTATCCTAAGCGTGACTCACTATTACGTAAATACTTGCCATCTCCTACAGAGCTACTAGTCAGAACCAACAATGCCTTCTCTGTCATGCTGAACTCTTGTGGGGTAACCAAGCATCATTGTTCTCACTAACAATGGAAGAGGTTCTGTTCTGTAAGGTCTTAGTTTTCAAAAACTGCTCCCAGCAATCCTGGGGACTTAACCAGTAGTACAGACTGAGCTTAGCTAGACTGTCTCTCCTCTGGGGCGCAGCAGGGTTTGTGGTTCTTGAGGACTGTCTCTCTGGAGGCAAATGATGCCCTTGTGGACCAATGGCCTCTAACAGAAAGCTGAAAAGATTGAATGGAGGAAATTCCTTTGCTGTATCCGAGAACTACAAACTCACAACAAAGAGCCAAAATCCAGACTCAGTACAGCTGCCTATCACAACGAAGGCTGTACCCTGAAATACTTCTCAGCCAGGACTGACAACACCTAAAACCCAAGTAAACATTTTTTGTTCTTTGAAGAAACCATCTTCCCAGACTAGTACCATTTGTTAAACACCTCTGAACAATCTCCTGGTAATTATTGTTCATGCTGCCTAGACGACATGATTGTGGGAAAGTGTTCACATCTTTGGGTGAAAAATGATTTCTTGGTCCACACTGGCATCACTGAAAAATAAAGCATGACACAAACAGTCAGGATTTTGCATTAATGTAGATGAAACCCAAAATAACAGGTTTCAATTAGGTCTTGTTTCCTCCAGGGAGTTTTGCACTGGGGTGTGTCCCCCACAGTAAGGGCACACTGAACTAGGTTAACTCGTACAGATTATGAGCTTTAAATGCAGGTTGGTGACCCTACACAAAACAGCTGATTCTGCATCAGTATAGAATGCAGTGAAGATAAAGTCTGAGGAACAGTAAAAAGAACATGATGAATTAATTTTCCTTCAGAAGCTACAAGCTCTTCCATGAGCAAAATCTTGTTAATTTTAAGTCTGTTAATTTCTATCTTGGAACTCTCAGTGTTTCTTTGGCGGAAAAAAATGCCAGTTATGCTGAATTGCTCTACTTTTATTTCATTATTACAACCAAATAATTAGTATGTGGTTGCCCGATACAAATCCCTCCCTAATCTCTCTGTAAAATTTACAAAAAATTAATCATGGACAAACAGGAGCATTTAACTTTCAAAACCCAAATTCCAGACTGACCAAGCCTCAAAACAGTTAAATGTAAAGCCTCCAAAGTTTAAATGTCCTAATTTCACTGCAAGAAGCAGGAAGATTACATTGGAGAAACACTAAGATTCAAATTTACTGAGAGATGAAAATCTTTTCTACAAAGAGGAAAGTGCTTACAGAATGTCCAAGCTTTAGGGACAAAATAATACTTTAAGTTGTTGTGCTAATGTAGCCCATACAGTTTATCATAGAAGTGGCATATTCCTGAAATATAACCAAAATGTTAATGAACCCCCCTCCCAAATATATAGCATATGACTTTTATAGACCTTAACCTCCCATTAGTTTGTTGTATACATGTTCCTGCAATTTATTTTCTCATAATTTGGATATAGATTTTTCCCATGCTAGTTTGTTTTATTTGCTAAGACTGATAAATACTAGGGAGCAGATGTTCCTGCAGGATGCTCTTAGCCTATGATTAAACAGCACATGGTTTCTTTCTTTTTTTAAACTACATGGGTCAAATTCTGGCTTCAGTATTTGGCATATACTTCCACTCATAAAGCTGCAGCCAAGAACAACATTTAAATTCCTCCACCCTTAAAAACGCAGTAATTAATTCACAAAGATGACATCTGAATCTGAAATTCAAGAGTTATCAGCAACATACAGATTTTCTCTCCCTATGTATTGAAAGATTAAAATGATTAGAACTTGCTTGACGTCCTAATAGTTTGGGATGGTCCCTGGGCTTCCAGCAAGATTCAAAGTTGACCAAGTTAGCCGAAGTTTGGATGTTTCACTGGAATTCTTCAACTCACCGGAGTCTTCTGTTTCTTGGACAGGATGTATTTCAGACTGTTGATACGTGTCTGGCAATCTAGGGTCTCAGAGGAAGATTCAGGACCAGTCCTGTGCAGTAGTAAGAAAGAAAATTTTCAAAATATATAGAATTAACTAAATATACAGTGGAGATTGAAAGTCCAGCTCGTGTACCTAAGGTAAGCAGCCAATTATGAAGTGCCTGATGGATGAAAATATTCAATAGGATAATGTACAGGGAGGGGCTGATGGAAAGATTTGTGGTGCAGCTGAACTCCAGGGTTTGCTATTTGGTAATTGGCACAACATTTTGTACTTTCCTCACTGTCCCAATGAGAACAAGGCTGAACAACCTGCAGCTGGGCAAGCCTGAATGAATTGGTCTACTGAAGAGGAGAAATAAGAAACAGAGCTAGAAAATCTGTTACCCATGGGTCAAGAACAGGGATTTGGGGCCCCAAAAGTGCCTGCAAAGACAGTAGTGTCATGGCACTGACTGCCTGCCAGTCAATAGAATCAGGAAACCATGGAACAAATATAACCAGGAACTTTCTTTCCTAGACTAGAAACTGGCGTGTATAGGTGAAAGGCCTTTTAAGAAGTAAACTTACAGTTGCATGTATATTTTAGGGAAAATTAGGGTGGCCATGATATTGTTAAAGAAATCCAGAGATCACAGTGAATTTGCAGATGCTGCAGTGGCACGACATGACCGCACACTCAGATTGATATCTGAGCATTCACTTCAGCTGCCAGCGTGGTTTCACGCTCAGGTGGCAGGGAGCTGCTATATCTTAAGCAGATCTAACTCTCCAACCACCCATGTCCCAGGGGAGTCCACTGAAGGCCAGCACAGCGTTTTGGGGTGGGAGATCGTACCTGCTGGGCTGTTGAATCTCCCACCCTCACATATAAAACAGCAGCCTCAAGCTGCCGCTCTGTGAAATGTGGTAACAGCTCAGTACTGCTGAAAGGGGAGGTCCTGTTTCTCCCCCAGCACCACAGGATCCTGATGTCTAGGTAGTGTTGCTCTACTGTACACTGGGCAACTCTCTGAGCTGTTTTAGTTTGCTAGTCCAAGGGAAAACCTGCAGTGACCCAGCTTAGACCAACTACAGACTTAACACGCAAGTTCACCCCTCAGTGAGGGAACGGTTCTGCAGCTGGAAGTGAGGATGAAGATGGAAACCCCAAGCAGTTGAGTCAGCTTGCCCAAGGAACCTTTGGGTGAGACTTCCTGAGACACTGAGCTGATCTAGCAACTTACTGCTCTGGAAAAGCCATACCATCTCCTCCTCCTAGCCATATCCTCTCACTGTTTACCTTGTGCTGCTGCCATTGCTCATCAAACCTCTTTATAAGCTGCTTTAAGTCATCACCTCAGCAGAAGAGTAACCCAGAGTCATCTTTTAATTTTGCCTAGTGATCAGCACAATGAGGTAGACAAGAGAAGATTGTCCCTGGCACAACATGCTTTCATGGCACACTTACACCAGGAAGTGATGGGAGCTTGTGCTGTGTGCCTGGCTACAGGGAGGCATGGAAAAGCAGCAATAACTGGGAGCCATGTCTGAGAAGGTCAAACTCTGCTGGCCAGGGACATGGCAGGACCAAGGAGGAGGATGAATATGAAGTGGCCTATGGTCAGAATTGTAGAGTGTTTTGAAAGTCTCCAGTATACAACAGACCATTATAAAAATAGTAACTCACGTTTTAGAGCCTGAAGGGCACTTTCCATGCATTTAAACAAAATAAGGCTCCTGGCTATCCAAAAACACATCTTATCTCTTATCTTCAGCTAAACTTGTGACCAGTTTGACACTCAAAGTACTAAGCACTCTCTGCTTTCATTTGCTTTCATAAAAGCCGAGCGTACGTACCACCCAAGAAGATATGTCTCTTTCTCTTGCAGGGTAGGATCTGGGGATAATGGCAATCTTTACAGCCACATCAGTCAGCTAGGCAGTTACTACCAGACATGACAGCTTTTCACCTACCTGGCAAGAGCAGGGTCTCTGACTGCAAAACCACATGACGTTTGGAAATTGAAAGGTGCCTGTTCCCAGGTAACCATATTAAGTGAAAAAAAGAAGTGCCTGCACCTTTTACCATGAGCAAAAATGATTGTTACTTGGACTGTGGCACAGACAGCCTGGATTTGGGACCGATGGATTTTTCAGCATTGTGCAAGTTAGCAAAATTGAAGCAAGGAAAGCTTGCTTGTTTGATGAAGGGTACTTCCCAGGAGTGGAAAACTTCAATATAATCGAAGTTGGGTTTACTAGATATAAATTTTCTTGAATGGATGTAGACATTGCTGTCCATACTGGAGCTCCCAAGCAGAAAAGGCAGCGATAGAGTGCTTTTAGACTACCTGCATCATACAACTCTGAGATCTGAAGATAAAAAAATATCTGTGGGTATAAATTAGTCCTTCACTGTGCCAGAGGGAGGCTCAAGACATACAGAGAAAAGTAGACCATAAATACTCCAGAATTTTCCTTCTGAGGTAGCCTAGGCAGGTGTCAGGGCCTCCAACAGGCCTTAATTACCCTGATCAGCCTCAGCCGAGACCCTCACTCATGCACCCTCTTGCCAGTTGATCCAGGAGCTCCATCTAAGCTCAGGCCTGGGACTTCACACCCGGTGGGGGCTACTTAGTAGTTGTAACCATCTCCAACCTTCTCTCCTGGATGTGCCTTGGGCCTACAGCTTTGCCTTGTCTCCAGTGCTGTCTCTGAACTGCTCACTCCGGACCCGATTCATCACTTGGCCTCATCTAGGACTAGAGGTAAGTGCTGTTGGGGAGGGCTTTGCCCGTGCTGCAGTCAGCTTGCCCTCCCTCGGGGAGCAGCCGGGTGCTCTCACAAGGCAGGCAGGGGATGGCCAGCAGAACAGACCCAGGCACCAAAAGACACCAGCCCCTTCCAGGACAGGAAAAGCAAGGAGACTTCTCTGCTTTTGTAACTATTCTGAACTGTTTAGACTAACTAGAACCAGGTATCGATGATAGAGGCAGGTGCTTTGATAAAGGAATGGTATGGAAAACAACTAGTAAGGAGAGGTGCTGTGTTCCAAGCTATAAAGGAACTATAAGCAGAGACAGTGGCAAGGTAAACGCCACAGGAGTCACTCAACAAGCTCTTTGCTACAGAAACTCCGTGTCCTGAAGTGCCCAGGGCAGTTCTTGAAAGCCTTCCCCACCGTTTATTTACACCTCCAGACAGGGTGCTGTGGTGAACCACGTCCTGCCGCCCCCGACCTGTTCTGCCGCCGGCTCTGGCGACAGCCTCCCGGCCCGTACGTGTGGCAGGGGGGAGGGCAGGGCTCCGCTCCACTCTCCCTGCCGGGCCCGGACGCCGATCGATGGATCGATCGATCCCTGTGGCCCTTACCCGCCCGGCGGAGCGCGGCGCGCCGCCATGGCCCGCACCACCTGCGCTGTTGACACTCGTCACCATGGAGACGCTTCCCCCCCCCCCCCCCCGGCCAGGACCCCATCGCGCGCCGCCATAGCTGCCCCGATCAGCGCCGGAAGCGGCGGTGCCGGGCGGCAGCTCCGGCCCGGGCCCGCCCCGCCCCTGCGGGAGGAAGGCTCTGCGGAACGGTCGGGACCGCGGGCGAAGTCTCCAGAACGGCGTCGCTCCCCGCCCCCTCCCCGGCGGGGCGGTCGAAACGGGGGGGCTGCGCGTAGGCGGCCGGCGGCCCCCGGGCACCGCTCTGCCGCGGGGCACGCTGGGAGCGGGAGTCCCGCAGCCGGCGGCGCTCACCAGAGCCGGGCGGCGGTGAAGACGCGTTTCCCAGCGTGCAGCGCGCCGAGGGGCGGGGCGGGGTCTGGGGCGCGGAGCCTTTCGGGAGTTGTAGTCCCAGCAAGCGGCAGGGGCGGGCGGGCGGGGCCAACACGGACTCCGCTTACCGTCGGGCCGCGCGGCCCCATTGTGGCCACGCTCGCAGCCCATTGGCTGGCGGCAGGAGCCGGGCCTCGCTCTCCGCCCGGTGACACAAAGCGAATCCAAGATGGCGGACGCGGGCGCGGGGAGCCTGCACGGGGGGGACGCGGCGCTGCCGTGCCCGCCCGAGGAGCAGGAGCTGAGCCAGCGTCTCCGCCGCCTCTACCCCGCCGTCAACCAGGAGGAGACGCCGCTGCCGCGGTCCTGGAGCCCCAAGGACAAGTACAACTACATCGGCCTCTCGCAGGGCAACCTGCGCGTCCACTACAAAGGTGCCGGGCTGGGCCGGTCGCGGGTCTGGCGGTCCCGGGGGATGGGGCGCCTCGGCCGGGGGGGCAGCGCGGGGGCCGGGGGTGCCGCTGGGCTCCGGCTCACCCCCCCACACACACCACCCCCGCGCGGGGGTTTGCTGGGCTCGGGGGGCGGAGGTGGGTTGGAGCCGAGGGTTCGCTCCCCGGCGGCGTGTGCTGCCTTACAGAACGCTTTGCAGTGTCACCAGCCCGGGCCCGAGCGCGGCTGGGTGGCCAGATCGCCTGTTTACTCCGTCACCCTGCTTAAAGCTCGGCCGAGGGGGTCGGATGGCACCGACGTGCTGCGCAACTGGGGCTTTGGCTCCTTGAGTTGACACAAAATAGATGCTTGCAGACTTGTAGGACTTGGGGAATCACACTGATGTTTTTCTTTCTCGCTATTGGAGGCTGTTCTCCCTACCCACCCAGTGGAGAACTGAATATTCCTTTTCCTGCCTGGTTAGTAAACACTGATGTCATTCCCCTCTTGTGTAATCATTTTTTGTCCTCTGTTTGTGTACACTGGTCTTCAAATTATGTCTGTGGGGAGGGGGAGAGGTAGTACTGTGAGTCTTTCTCAGTAACTTCACAGTGAAAACAAAGGAAAAAGTACAGTGCTCGTAGTGCAGGGATTGTTCACGGTGGCAGTGCAGGATTGTATATCCTAGTACTCTGAAAAGTGTGCTTTAAATTGGAGATATGTAGAAACAGATCCCCGCCGTGTTCAGATAGGGGTGGTTTAGACCCAAATGTGGGAGAGTTCAAATCCCATCAGTACTTACTTTTCTGTTCTTTCCTAGGTCATGGTAAAAATCACAAAGATGCTGCCTCAGTCAGGGCTACGCACCCTATACCTGCAGCCTGTGGCATTTATTACTTTGAAGTGAAGATCGTCAGTAAAGGTAGAGATGGGTAAGTGCCTTATTCCAGTTCAGTGGTTGATGTGTATTGAGCAGTTCTGCTGTACTCTGACCTCCTTTCCGGAAGGGTTAGAGGTCCCGTGGCTTCTGGGTGTAACAGGCAGGTACATCATGGGGAGGTTATATTCTCTTGGTTAACAGATGTAAATGTGGTAGAATGCACTGGAAGCAGAGAGACTTATACAGCAGTTTTCTGTGCTGTTTGATATGGGCAGTTTAAAAAATCTAGGAAACTTTGGGTCTCTGGTGCAATCTGAATTGAAATATGTTTTCCTCTTGCTAGCTAGGTCTGGTCACTCAGATTTCTGGAATTATGCCTCAAAAGTGGGGTGAAATAGAAGGGAGGAACCTTGAACTTAATTTTGGACTGTTAGAGACATGTTTGTGTGGAAAAGAGCAGTCATAGCAGTACTTGAGCACTGGAAGGAGAACTTATGAGGTCGTTTTTTAGAAACCCCATATGCATGATTGAGGAAAAGATGTTTGAAGAGAGGACAGTGAGATGATTGTGAATATAATTCTGTCATCTCTAGTCTAGGACCTGAATTGGGACTCAAGTCATTACCTCAGGATAGATTACACCACAGAGTATCATGACAGATAACAACTGTGGAAGCTTGGGAGACTGTGCTGGAATCAGAATGCTAAATATGAGAACGTGTTTCCCTGACCTGATCATGGCTTTTGTGGTAATATTTAATACTGTAGGCTGTTGCTGAGGCTGGTTTTGCCCTATCGGTCTATACTACTTTGAACAGTAGCAAGTGGAAGAACTGCAAAAGCAGCAAATCCTGTTGGTAGCATTAGAAGCAGCCATCCCTTACTAGATGGCACCTCAGTGAACTGAACTGGCAGGGGGTTCTGGATCTCATCCAGTCTTGCGGTTGCTGTATGGGGCAGTATTTTGATCCAAGATGAAACTGAACCAGGGTGTATGTGGAGTTCCTTTAAAGCAATATTCAGGTTGTTGGGGAATGTGGGAAAGCAATAAAGGGGCATTTCTAACAAGGCTTGGGTTTCTACTGCTAGTGTAGATTTAATTTTTAATCATTATAATGATATCAGCCTGCTGTGTGTGTATGTGTTTGGCGTTTTTCATTGCTAAAGGATGAATATCGCAGATTCAACTATCCAGAAGGGAAAACCACACAGAAGTTACTGAGTGTAATTAATGAATCCAGTCCTTCAAGAATAATATTTGAACTGTGGCCAGTTTAAGGGTCTTGGAGAAGGGCAACAAACATTCCTACTAAAAACCAAATTAAAGTCATGACTTCATAGTGTTGTAGTTTTTTGCTGTCGTTGTTGAATTGAGAAGTGTCCTATTTGTAAAGGGATTTGCAAAGAATCTTGAATTGTGCTGCATTTTGGCCTGTAATAATTATTAGGTTATCTGTGCAGAGGTGGATGCTGGGCTGAATGCTTTACAAAAGCAGGGAAAATACCATCTTCATTCTTTCATTTCAGTGCCTTGGTGATTAACTGCTTGTCTGTTTTGAAATCCTGCATTTGATTAGTTTATGTAACTGTTAAAATTGAAATAATTTGCAGTGAACTTCAAGACAATTTTCCAAAGAAATCATATTATGAAAGGTCACTGAGCAGCACTTAATCCTTACCACATTCTAGATCAATCTTACAGGGAGATAATGGAATTTGCTGCTTGTTTCCCAAGATCAGAGTTTTCTATATTAATAGTCCATTGTTGTCTTTATTGTTCTGGAATCACAATTACTTTCCAGAAATACTTTCAAAGATACAGAACTATGTGTATTAACCTCCTAGCAATACAAACATGAGATGTTAATAGCTGTGATCTGAAGTTGGGACAGTGGTGAGCCTTTGAGAGCTTGTTTGATGTCTCAGCCATTTCTGTGCCTTGGGGTTTTTTTTTTGTTTTGTTTTGGTGTTTTGTTTTTTTTTTTTTTTTTTCTGGTAAAGAAAGCTTCGCTTTTTATCTTTCACACTGTGGTGCTGGGGATTTGTAATTGTGAGTTTATATTGTAGCTGCTGCCCGTCTGTCACTTAAGAAGGCACTCTTGTATGTCTCATCTTTAATAATTTGAAGTCTGCCCATTGGAGGGTTGGTATGTTGTAACAGTGAACTGAGGCAGAGACATCTCTTCTTAGGAAGCTCTCCTGTGTTTTACATCGTGATGGCTTCAGTTTAAAAGAGTAAAAGTCCAGAAATCTAAAGAAGGGATTGGAGGGAATGAAAGGAAGTTTTCAAGTGGCATAAGTGGCAAAACATTGCCCATAGGAACTCTGTGGGAAGGCCTTTAGCAAGTGGAGAAGAAGAGGAATATTTCTGAGCTCCTTTCCAGAAGAGGTACTTAAGGTGTAAGGTCTCTGCTCTGTAGCTTGTTGTTTATGCTGTGTGGAGTAGTGAGGTAAGGACCGTGTGACGTTATTCACTGTGTCTGTCCTGCTGGAGTTTGTGATAGCTTTTCACATTTAGGTTTAAAATATGAGCAATTGGGTTTTGAAGCAAATCTTACTCAAAAAATACTTTGGTGGAACAAATTTCAGGAAGTATGCTTTGAAGAGTTGTGATTTTTCTTAGTAGCTCAAAACTATAATCTTTCTGTGCTAATAATTGTTAGTCGGGTGTTCTACACCCTGGTTAGATGCTGACAGTTGCTAATGAAGGACGGAAACTAAGATTGCAGGTAAGAAATGGGATAGAAACTCCCAGTGTTTTTTACTGGAGATGTGAGAGTCCTGGAGCTCACATGATGCTTTTTTGCAGCCTGACAAGAAGTGTTGCCTGTATATGATATGGTGTGATAAGAGAGTTCTTGAATTGGCATCAGACAGTGCCTGTTCTGGGTTGGTGGTTGTCACTGTGGTGGAGAAACCTGAGCTAGAGACAACTGAGGTATCGCTACCACCTTTTTTAACTTCTCCCTTCTGTTATTTTCACGGGCCTAAGGATTTAAATCCAGTATGTTGTGCTTCTCTCCTTTGCTTCCTCCCACCACATTGTATCCTAGCAGTAGAAACACACACCCTCACCTCCCTTCATTTTTCAGGTGGGTAACTTCTCTGCTCAGTTTTGCAAACCCCAGTGCCAGTGCAAGGGAAGAGGGAGGGTCTGCAGCAGCAGAGACACAAGTTGCTTTAGACTGCCATGGCACTGTACCAGTAGCTGGCAGAAAAGCTTCCCCTTTTGCATTGACTTTCTCCCCTGCCCTTTAATGCACCTGACCCGTAAAGGTGCTTTTTTGTTACAGAAGCGAATGAGATGCCTTATGGAAACTCTCCCTTCAGCATCACTAGTCTTTTCTGCCTCAGCATTGGTAAAATCTAGCTTAGTTTACCAGATATTTCAAAACAAGTACAGTATGCAAAAAGTCCATTTGGGGCACTTCAACTTTTAAGATATATCAGCTTTTCTTAGCTTTGGATCTTCCACTGCTCATGCGCTGAGATATAACCGCAGTCCTCTGAGGTAAAGAAAGATGACTGAGACTTACTTTTAGCTGGATTGCGGTCATTTATTATCCTGGTGGTTTTAGTCTTTATTGATAAGAGGCTGTGTTTATTTACTTGAGTTGGCTTTTGTGTGTTTTGGGTTTTTTTTGGTGGTGCATGAGTGGTTGTTTTTGTTGTGTCTGTGTGTTTGTTTTGTTGTTTTCTTCTGGGAGAGGGAAGGCTGCCAGGCTACCACTGAAAAACTGTTTTGAAAAGGAGGTTAGGGTAACATATGACAAATCAGGTCCATCAGTAGATTGATCTGTTGTTTATGCAAATCTTTGTTTGGGGAGATGGTTCTTATCCTCAGAGAGTAGAGGAGAATTTAGCTTAAAGTCTCTAGTTTCAGCCTTCTTCTTACCTCCTTGTCTGTGCTGAACACACAGGGAGTGGTTCCATGACACTTTAGGATGATATAAGTCAAGACTCTGGGATTCTGCCTTTTCATTTGCCGTATGTTTCTGTGACTTCCCTCATGCTGACTAATCTGCTACCCAGTCCTATGGTGAGCTGGTTCAAGCAGATAACTGGTTGAAAGCTGGCCACATCAAAATAATATGATGATTTAATCTATTGATGTCACTGTCAGAAATAGCTTTTTTTTTTTTTTTTTTTTTAAGTTGAGGACTACTTTTCAGGCTTCACCCTGATGTGGGTTGAAGGCGAGTCAATAAAAGGGGTGGGCTGACTTGGGAGGGGGAAGGGTAGGATTGCAACAACCCTAATTCAGTTCCATTCAAAGTACTGTTGAACAGTTTTGTCTTAAGACTTGCTGGGTACTTAATTCCTGAGCCATTGTGTGTGTGTGTCTCCTGAGTGTCGTCACCTGGAACAGAAGGACAAGAGGCAGTGGGTCGCAAGTTGTGGCAAGGGAAGTGTCAGCTGGAAATAAGAAAGTATTTTCGGTGTAAAAATGGTTAAGCACCAGAACAGGATGCCCGGAGGGGCTGTGTCATCTCCATCTTCAAATTTGCCTGGGCAAGGCCTCAGACTGCCTGATACAACTTTCAGAGTTACTTGTGCTTTGGGCAGAAGGATGAAGAAGGGAAGGTCCCAGGGTCCTTTCCAGTCCAAACCTCTCCATGGTTCTGTGTATGGCTTGCTTCCAGCATTCCTCAGATGAGCAGACTGGCAGAAATGTATGCGAGTCTTATGTTTCTGAGCTGCCAGAAATAACTCATGCTTTTATCATGGTGGTGTTTATAACAGTTCAACCTTAACTATATTTGAAACACCATACTCTTATCCCCTCTCTCTCTCTCTCTCTCTCAAATACGTGTTTCTATTCGCTGTTGATTTGTCAGCACATCTCACAGCTTCTGTTTCCCCATTAGATGATCTCTGCTTGGTAAACAGGAACAGTGTAAGACTCATCAGGGTAAGGCAGTCAACCCACAACTTACAGGCTGTTGTGACTCAGGAGGACAGTTCATCTTTGTTGTCCTCTTTATGCTGGTGCAAGGTGAATTGTCTCATGGGTGCTAGTGCTTGTTTCTGACTGCCATTTCAGTTTCTTGA